AAGTAGCAACAACGCTACACATAGAAACTGATGATGGTGGAAAACACCGAAACGTATTTTAATTGATAAATAGACAATAAATGACTGAATCCCAGGAATTGATTTTGATTTGGAATTGCTAATACATATAGCAAAGTTGTAAGAAGTTTTTCAGCATAAGTTCCAATTAGTTTTATTTCTGAGCTCCTTAAAGGGAGATCAGTAAGATTAGATTTTTTCATAAATATTTATTTTTTAGAAATACCAAACTGTTCACCATTTTGATAAGATTATTTAATGTACCGACAAGGAGAAAGCAGGAGCGAAATATTCTAGTTAGATATTTTCATATTTGGGCGGATGAAAATTCACATGTAGTTATCCAAAGAATCGGAGTTGCCAGAATCAGTATAGTGTAAACTGATATAAAAATACGTACATTGCAGTCCGAGATCAACTAACTCAAATGAGAATCAAAGGCGTTTAACCGATGTCGATTTTCGATTACATTTGGACATGAATATCAAGATGCCGTCTAATACGCAAATTGAAGCAGGCGATCTAACGTTATTTAAGGACAATTCAAATTAATTTTTGTATGAATATATACATATATTATAATTAATTTACTAGTGAAAGCTGGCTTTGATATTATTTACAGCTATTACCAAATTGTGGTCACATGGTTCAAGAAATCGGGCTGAAACTTGATATAGGCTTATTATTATAGAGTTCCGCCGCTGTCAGGATATACATTAAATACATACGTATAACGGGCCCTTATGAGAATAATAATACTATTAAATATCACGTTTTTGAGGCATTTCACGTCATGCAAATGTCATAAAGACGTGATATTGGGTACATCATCAGGGTTTTTTATGACATTTATTTCACGTTTTTTTAACGATTCTTTTTACATCGCTTTATGTTTTTTTCTTTCGTTTTAAAAGTTTGTTTCTACGTCATTTGATCGGCTGGGTAAATGTTGGTACTGTATGTATAATAGAAATTATTTAGATGTTGTAAAAGTGAAACTTCTACAAAAAAAATAAGAGTACAAAAGAGAAATTCCCATGGACCACGGCTTTAAAGCCCGAAAAACATTTCCATATGTGATTTGGCCGGCCGTGAAAGCCTTCATAGTCTGATAAAATAAGAGTAGTTCGGCAACATGAGCCATATACCAGGTGGTATAGTTTCCAGGACGGAAACTTCAGGGAACGATAGAGATGAATCGAAAATTATTGGAAATACCACGTAAATGTTACCATTCCTCTTTGTCAGCAAAAAGGAGAAAAGCCATAATCTATGTTTTATTCAGAGAATTCGACTCGTAATTTTGAGTCGCTGATCTAAGCATAAATGGTTAAGCTCAACCGAATTATATCGATTAATTTCAGTCTAATAAGAGAGCCTTAAAGAACTCGTTGTGTCACCAAGATAATAAAATACGTTCTGCTTGTGTTGAGATAAATACATAGTTATTTTATTTCAATGCCCTTTTCCCTATTAATAATCTAATAAAAATAAGGCGTCATAAGGAAATGCAGGATATTTATATAAGTTATCCAAAAATAACTTTTGGATTCTTTAATCATTGGAAATAAAAAATTGTCCATTTTATCTGTCTAACTCGGCTATCTGTCTAACTAAAATCACAAATTTCATCCGCGGAGAAACACAAGAACAAACATCTAAGCAGTTGTGTGAAATGTAGTCCATCCACATCAATAAATTTTCCACATCGTCTAACTAATGAATTTATTGCAGCTGACTCTTGATTGGGATTTTGATTAGCGTATCAGCTTCGTATCTACCAGCACGTGGCGTGCCTAACACGTAACCAGTCAGACCACAGACCACAGACTACATACTATTGCCACAGACAACTCTCACGTAGACACAAGAATATTGTTCTGCGTATTTGCTGCCAACGCATTCCTACGCTTGTACGTATCTTGGTCTATGTTTATATCCATGACTCACACTTTTACTCATTTCAAGGTATTGGAAGAACCTATCTTCATCGTCTGAAATGGTCTGAAAGATCCTTGTATAGAGTGGAAAAAATCTGCTTCCATTTTTTATGCATATTATGTTACTTTATTCCATACTATATTACTATCTATCCACACAACATAGACTAGGATATTGAGTTTACACTAAACATGCATGCAAATCGACTTAGACCCATCCCGTTCATAAGGGTTTTGACTCCCAAGATCTCACCCAAAATCTGCTTATGCCCCCAAAAAGCGAATAAACTGTTATTGGCTCTAACTGAATACCTACATTTATATCAACCAAACCTTAAATAAGAATAAACACGATCATATGACTTATACCATGGCATAGGTATATAAGTACATATTATATCGTATATGCTGGTACAAACAGTCGATCCGTAATTGTTACTAGGCGACGTGAGAGGCGCTGCATCAGTTGCATGGTGTTTGACTTTGTCTATAGACATTAGACATCTGAACCGATAACGTTTTGTACGCCTGTGTCAGCCCCAAACAAGAGTTTTATATCGTCGAGCAGCTCTAAGTAAGATATCTATTATTTCAGTTTCTTGCTAATTCATGTACGTATTTTGTCTATTTCAGCTATGGTTCCCAATCCGCGAGGTTTAACCGAGCAATCAGAGGTATGTATATTTATTATTAGAGAGGTTATGAGCATTCACTGGGCTAAGTACCTATAGATCAATCTTTAGAGCGTAAGACTCCGATACTCTGCTTCAAGTCAGTATGTTTAAGATTTAACGCGAAAACCAATCAGTAAAAGTGTATATCCTGCAATAATCGTCGATGCGCAGGGGAAGTAAACACTTGTGGACAACGCTAGTTAGACCTTTCTTTAATCGTGACGTAGCGGCCTCAATGTTCATAGTGTGCTGTCTATACCTGTACTCTACTTAAATACTAAGACTACAACTCAACTATTTATACGGTTATAACTATACACAAAATGTTAATTAATAAACTTATGAATGAAACTGCACATACATATATACATTTTTTGGCGCTATGAAGGGCAAATGCTGATCAGCTGATAAGTTTATTTTGTTTGAACTGTTATAGTTAAGTTTAGCTATACGAATATAATATTTGAACATTTTGGTATTTGCAGGATATTTAATTTGACACAGTTAAACATGATTTTTGTTCAATTCGTACTATTTATATGAAAGTATAACCACAGTTTTTAAGAGTAACTACCCAAAAGTTTATGAACCCATTTTAATAATTTTGAACATTAGGATAGCTAGAAAATATCCAAATAATTTACCATTAAATTAAATTATTTCTGTAAAGGGATCATATAAGTATTGACAAATAAGACTCATTGAATTAAAAGCTGATGTTTAATTATTTCTCGACAGTGATTTTACCCACATTAGTGAAAAATCAACCTTTTTGTATTTTTTTCAATCCAAAAATAGTATCTGAAGCTAAAAACGAATGCTTTCGAAACGAGCAGTTGCCCTACTACTACAGCCCCTTTCGCTTCTCTGCCCGTACCTACATTAAACTAACTTTTCTAAATTCAAATTGCTGCTTTCACGTTGATAAAGTGGTAAATGTGTTGATCTGCAACACTTAAACAAGTGCGTAACTTAAGCTGGTGTTCGTGAAATCCAAATGTTGGCTGTAATAATTAGTTAAACATATTTAAATAATGGATAATTGCTGCACCACAGTCTACATGTTTTACAGCTATACATGTCTCACGTATTAAAGGAGCAAATTTTTCGTTAAACATTAATTTGGTGCCCATAATATTGTTACCTGAAAGCAAATTTAGAACTATTAAAAAAATAGGAAAAAGTGGGTCTGAACACACTTGATAAAATTCAATGCAACAGGCTTTCTTCAAGAGTGTCTATGTACTAATAAATAATATTTAATAATATACATATTATTAAATACAGTTTATTACAAAAAGCTTTTGAATTTTTTTTATTGAATTATAACTATTTGATCAGTTTCAATTGAATTTCCCCTGTTAAAGCATTGAGTTGACGAAAGAAATGTGCTGTATTAACTTCCGGTTTTAAACAAGTCCTCTTGTTAGACCACATTCTGTTCTTATCATTGTTTTATTGTTTATGTTAAGCTGCTTTATTAGGTTTATGTGGCACTTATTAACATCTTTTTGATTCAGTTGGTCGATTACATCCTTAAGCTATACGGAGTTATATACTTACATGTTGGTGATAAGTTATACAGGAGTGCGAAAGCACGTTTTGAAAATATCGTAAAATATTTTTGAATAAAATTAATATTTTGCAATTTAAACCGCCAAAAAACAGCATCAATTATTTGTTTTAAACATATCCGAATTTATGAAACTTCCCATTTTGTCAAGAATTGTGTAGTTCTTAAGATAAATATAATTATATTTAATTGTATATTGTTTTGGCAGGTGCCTAGAAATAATTTTCATTACAAATGGAATATGCTGTTTGAGAAGGAAATGAAAGAATGGATTGCATTTGAGCCCACGTTAGGACATCACGTCTATGCGTGCTATTCATGCCGCCACATGTTCTACTCTAAGAAGTCATTTCTTGATCATATTAACAGAAGAACTGTAAAGCTGAATTATAGATGTTTTGGTTGTAGTGGCGATTTCACATTTTATAACAGGTATTTGAAACGGATGTATTACATTTGTGAAAACTTAAGATCTTTACTCTGCAGATGCTCGTTTCTACTTCACTGTCGAATGCATTATAATAAGGATAAAGGAGTCATATATTTAAATAATTTGGAAATTAAAGTATTAGCCTTTGATCTGGTCGGTATGGGTAAACATCCGGACATACCATATCTATTTGATGTCGAGGAGGATTACGTTGAAGGTAAGCCTAAGATTTACAGATGTCGCAACAAATTTGCAATTTAAATGGTAAGCCGGCAAATGTACACGAGCCGTAAAAAATGGAAGTTATTAGAAAAAGTTCATTTGTTTTATTATGGAATTCGACAAAGAAGACACGGAATACTCTAAATTATTTTATTGAAAATTTTCTTATTTTTTTTTATTAAAAAAAACTGAAAAATTGCCCTACTTGTTAACTTACTTAAACTATTTAAAAGTTATTTTTTTACAAAAAAATATATAACATTTTGTATTTATTTTAGGTGAAACGTTTATAAATTCCCAATTTTATTCGCCACGAATCGAAGATAAAGGAAAATATTTAGTCACATTAATTCCTTCAGAGGTGCTGATGAGCGGTACCAATTCAATTGGAGAAACAGAAATGGTGGGATTGAAGCAGATTGCAAAGAACATACCTAAATGCGAGTTCATCAAGCTCGAAGCACTTCGCGAAGCGCGAGTATTAGTTAAATCAGAACCGGAGGATTTACATTCTGTACAGGTAATACTTTCAGTAATTTATCTAGGTATTAATACTCACATTGAATCTTGTATCTTAATAGGTTTCAACGGCAGAACCACTCGAGGAACCTAGTAATAATATTCATATTACCACATCTGACCTACAGCCCCTAGCAGCAAAAACACAAATTATTTTATCGGAAGCCCCTCGAATTTCTTCGCTTGCAGACAATGGTGACATGACAATGCCTGTAATAACTAAAGTTGAAACTGTAGTCGAGGCCCCGTTAGCAAGCAAGAAATGCCCAGAATGTGCTATGGAAATACCTGATAAATCCGCGACTCACTTTCTAGGAGAGAACAAACCACAAAATGAGTCATATCGCTGTCGGCTCTGTAAACTCATTTGTCCTACAGAATGTTCTTTTAAAGTAAGTATGTACATGCACCTCGCTATTTGAGTTTAAGGAGTTGTTACACATTTTCAAGATCTTACCAGTTTCCCTGTGTATTTACATTAATTTACGCCTCGCGTTACTCGAAGTGCTTCGAGGAATTGGCATTTAAGAATGTTCTTTGCAATCTGCTTCAATGCTTTAGTTTACTGTGCACACATATTTTTGCACCTTTCACATGTAGGTGCCCTTTAGAAAACTTTCTAGAATTTTTTCTGCTTCTATTTACCGGCTTGTATGAAAATGTGGTCCTCTTGGATATTCTTGAAATAATTTTTAGGAAACTCCACATCAGCGCGTCGTAGCTTCGCAACTGTTCTCGACATTCGAAAGAATATTTTTATTAGACGATATTTGCATTTCATTGACTTCTAGGTGTTAGTTGTGATTTAAATGTATATATTTTAAAGCAGCTTGTTTTCAATCAAATTGGAGAGGCCAACGCAAGTGAAAGACCCACCTATTTTCTGAAAGTCTTGAAATAAACTATCCTTATCACTTTACAACAGTTTTTTTGCATTTGTTTGAAAATCTTGGATAAATATAAATTTTTTTACAAACTTCTTTTTGGATATTTCGCCTCAAAAATTTTTGTCTTTAAAAAAGACAGAATTTCCTCACGTCTTTTATTCTTGATTACTTTTTGATAAATAATTCGTTCTTATTGCGAAATAGGAGCACTATTTATCAATCTGTAATAAAAGACGTGAGGAAATTCTGTCTTTTTTAAAGACAACAATTTTTGAGGCGAAATACCCAAAAAGAAGTTTGTAAAAAAATGAATCCGCCTCAACAATATAGAACTTATCTATAAATATAAATGTTTCACTCTTGGTCCAATGCAAAGAAAAAAATGCACAAGTCCTCATCATTTTCACAATAGATAAGATAAAAGGAATTAGACTGGGATTGATTAAGAATCAATTGATCCTTCATTGATTTACAATGAAACGTAATTAAGTATCTTTATGTTCTTGCAGGCACATTTGAGAGTTCATAGCAAAAAGGCACCGTACGTTTGTCCAGATTGCGGTATTGAATTTCCAGCTTTGAAAGAGCTGATGACTCACATGGATGAAGTGTGTTTTCATATGGCCAAATCAGTCAGATTCAGGTAGGTACAGATTAATCAGTTTAAAATAAACTTTAGTCAATACCTAGTGAAGTGTGAGACACTGCGAACATGTAGAAAGCGTATTTCCAAAGTCAAAAAAAAACATTTTGTGAAGAAAACAAGATAGAGCACTAACATAAATGCTCTATAGCATTTTTCAATAAGAAGTTTCAAGAGTACGTTCAATTTTAATTGAACGTTTTGAAGATTACAGCAAACTCTTGCCAGTAATTCATAAAGTTTCCGTGCAGTTGTAGGCGAAGCTGTTGAAAGAAATCAATTGTCGGTTTTTTAAATAACTTGTTGCTTTCCACTTAATCACCCTTCTTTTTTACAACATTTTTAATATTAAAAAAATGCAAACATGCGATAGTGTTTTAGGTGCAAAATCATGTATGCGTTCTTCCAAAACTCTTTGTAATTTGGGTCAATAAATTTTCAGGTGTCCAGGCAGGCGCTGTGGAAAGATTTTTGCATCGGAGGCTACATTTGGGCCGCATTTTAAGTCTGTGCATATTGAGACACTTTACGGGTGCGGAACTTGCATGGATACGTTCGCAGAATTGGACGATTGCGAAGATCACTGCTTAACACATGCCGAAGAGGCTGTAAATATTTTGAAGGTGTTTGCTTGCCCAGTAAGTGAAAATATCAGTAAAACAAGTAAACATGTTTTAATGTTATTATATTTTTCATAGAGCTGTGAAGAAGAAGATATGGATTGGGAAATGCTAAAAAACCATTTAGAATTCCATTGTTCGGACTTGTCGCGTTGCATCTATATTTTCATGTGCAAGTTCTGCAAATGTTATTTCAGGTAAGGTTGACTGTGGGTGAAAATTAAGTTTCTCATCGAGGCATGCGTCCGTTAAATGGTTTGCAACAAAAAGCGAAATCGAAGCGAGCGAAACTCAACTACAACTTGTAGTTACTTGCACATCTATGATCAGTAGCTTGTTGACTATGACGAGGCATAGATCCGCAAATTAGCGGCAAAATATAAAAAATATGACGCGTAAAATAGCGCAAAAAATGCTTACTTTTAGCCAAAAGGAATATACATTACGATGAAGAAAACTTTTTTTGTTGGGAGAATGATCCAGATTCTGAATTCTAAATCTGATCATTTAGATGATATATCTTCTTTGTATATTAAAATAATACATGCCTTCAATAAATGACGCCAAACGGGAACTTACTAAAATCAATAATTTTGTGCAGAAAATTTCTTCTGACAATACACATACAGACCTTGAACTACAGGTCCTTGTGAGTAATCTAAAAATGAAGCATGAGTACGCAATAAGCAGCTTTAATACTTGTATACAATGCGCTGAGGAAAACGAAGCAGGATTACTAACAATATTTACAATATTAAGAATGAAGCGAGAGTGAGAGCCTCACCAAATCATGAGAAGCCAGAAGCACTCATAGTAAAATATTTTTAAAAAAGTTAGCAAGGCCCATGCTATTTTCCAAGCACCGTTTGACCGCCTCATGAGTCAACGAAAATAATTATATATTTAGACAGATATATTCAGACTAATAAATTTTCACCCTGTATATGTAACATTAAATTTAGCTCAAAACCTAAACGAGCATTCAGTATTCTTACAGAAAACTAACACGAGTAATATGAGTGTACTGACTGCGATACAGTAGTTCGAGTAGGGCCTACCAAATTTGAATATTAAATTTTTTGTACTGACCGACATTTATAAGCTCAGGGAACACTTTATTATCTCCCTTCACATCACTCCCACATTTTCTTTAAAAATGCTTGCTTTCGATGCTAAGCAATCGTCCGGAAGAATTACCTTTGAACCAGACAATAAGCCCGGACACCGATAACTTACGTCTTAAGTTTTATTACCATTATGATTAATATATTTTTCCTTAGGTCAGTACAAACGATGGCAACTCATATCGGCCATTGCAAAGGACACAAAATTAGTGCACCAAAGCGAGCTCGTCCCATAAATAGTGGAAATGGGATTGCGGAGAAGAAGTTATCAGGAAATGGACCTGCAAACGCAAAGTTTATGTCCTCAACATGCATTGCATGTGGCAACAGAACGTTATACTTGAAATCAATGCCTTCTCCATATTGCTCCAAATGTTTCAGTCAGCCAATTCCAGTTGCTTATAAAAAATCATCATTTACGCAACCTGGAAAATGCGTTTGCATTCTTTGTAAATCCCAAATCAGCGTTACGGAGCGGCGACGCCATCAACACGAATGCAAATACGGAAAACCACAAGTGTTTGTCGAAAAACTGGATATACACAAGATAGTGGATATTGGAAATTCGACTAAAAAGTGTTCGAGTTCTAGTGGTAGCGATATGGATGGTTCACCACAGAAACATCCTGCAAGTTCAAGCGACGAAATACGTCCACGAAAACGACACAAATTTTCAAGTCCGAAGAAACCACCTGTCCAAAATGATTTAATAGCGGATAAACCAATATCCTTTGACGGTACTTACCAGTGTCGGTTATGCGAATATAAAAACACGAATCGCAAAGTTTTCCATGAGCATATAACAACTCATAGAAATATTTCCACAGCTTACCAATGTATGGAGTGCGGCGAATGCTTCGTGGTCAAACCTTCATTAATTAAACATTTAGTACATTTCCATAATATTCTAAATGATGACAAATATTTCCAACAGAATGATTGTTTCGACAAATGTGCTGTAACGGAATTAGCTAAAGTTGTTAAGGCTCCTCATTTGGCAAATAATGTTAAAGATAATCAATGTCAAGTGTGCATGGCTCAGTTTAACACTGAAGAAGAACATAACAAGCATTTTAGATCTCATGGCATGGCTTTCCTAATGAATAAGTCGATTTAAATAATTGTTGATAAATATTTTTTAAGAACTTCGTTTGTTTGTTGAAGAAGTTTGCATTATTTTTGTAGTTTTATTTCCCACTAGAATCATCAATGAAACTGATGTAATCATTTCATTGAACAATTTATGAACGGAATCCACAACGCATTCCTTGGGAGTCCAGCTTTTTCGCCCCAATATGAAAATAAACTCACGCAGTTTTTAGACAACAACCTTTAAAGCTAAATTATCGGTTATTTTAAAGCACTTGTGCAATTAACACCAATAAAAAAGCTTATTAATTTTGTAGAGGCTCTGATGATGGCTTATTAACTGTGGAAAGTATTAGGATAATTTTTTTCGGAAAGGTTGGAAAACGACTCAAAAAAATATACACTTCAATAGAAAATCTATTCATTTATTACATAAAATAATTGCTTTATTACATTTCGAACATAACTTCATCATATCATTTGTCCGTTTATACAGGTATTACGCTCAGAGATCATTATTAATAGCTAAATTTCTTTATTATGATTGCACGTATGTAACAGTTAAGATTCACTGGTGAGTTCGACATCAAACCTCAAAAAATTATTGAGCCAAGAACAATGTCTTCGTATTAGTTCGTGATTTGAAGGAAACGTTAACTTTTGAACCAATTTTTTCTCAGCACTAATTAAAGCTTTGTAGAAAGGGCTGGTAATGATTTTGTTGCGGGCATGATTAATAAATATTGGTTCGTCCACCTTGTAATTGCTATTAGAAACGGTGAATAATATGTTTGGATCTCGCAAGGTACTTTTAACATGGATTACCTCGTTACCAACGTCTAGTTTTCCTCCTAGATTATAATATATGCTTGAAAACATCATGTAGAGGATAAATCTCCTATGAAGCCAAAAGTTTTCGTGCATATAAAATAGTTTGTCTTTGAAATCTTCATTTGCAAGATCATTCCAGAGAACGCATATCCACATGTTAAATGTTTTTGAACAATCGTAAAAGTCGTTATTACCTAACTGTTCCCAAAAATTATCAATATTTATTTTGCCATCCTCGACTGACTTGCAAGCACTTCTTGGTACAATAACCGAATTATTGGCGAATGAAATAGAAGACTGAGGACCATAACGCTTGTTCACGTTGACAAAATTGATTAAAAATTGTTTGTAGTGATAGCCATTACTTATTTTAGTGTGTCGTTGCACCCACAAATCAATAAATTTGAATTCTTCACGTAATGTATCTTCTATAACATTTTTCATATCGAATATTACCATGCAACATTGTCGGTGTATCCAGCAATGGTAATTGTCTGGCGCTAACTCTAGAACCTTGTCACATATCTGCAGTTCACCATAAAACAAACTTCTGGTGACTCCAAATACTACGCATCGAGCAGTTTCGTCTAAGAACATTCGCTGTAACACCCATCTTCGATAAGTAAACGCGTCGGATGATTTGTAATTCCTGGTGAGCACTATTCGACTAAAAAAAATAATATATCAGACCTAAGAATGTTTATAATATAGTAAGTACTAAACACGTTTATAATATTGATCTATAAATTGCTGAAGATGAGAGAAAAGAGAGCTAAAGAAGCTTAAGAACACTTAACGAGGAAAATCTACAGCAAAAATGACTGCGACAAGTTCCTATATCACTTTTGCGAAAACTCAATAAAAACGGATCCACAGGGCGCTGCAAACAAACTACAAAATATTTAGATATGTGTGCAATCGCTTAGGAGAAACAGGATATTTTCGTCCACATCGAGCACCATAGAAAAAAATTCTGTTGAGCAAGAAGAGAACGTTATACTAAGAATTACTGAAAATCCAACTATAAGTACTCGTATTTTAAGTACTACAACAGGCGTAACTCAGTCTACGGTTTGGAGAATTCTGGAAAAAAAACTACATCCATCCAGACAATTTTGTTTACTGATGAGACGACGATTACTCTCCGTGGAATTTTTAACTTGCAAAATAATCATCTTTGGGACTCTGAGAAACTCCATGCTGTGAGCACTTCCAACAAGAATTTCAAATAAATGTTTGGTAATTTGAATTGAACATTTGAACTTTTCCAAAATTCAATAGCCAAATGTATTTACAATTTCTTCAGATAAATTTGGCCATGTTGCTTGAAGATGTTCCACTTCATCCAAGGATAAAAATGTGGTTTATGTAAGATGGAGCTCGACCATATTTTTCTCGTCAGGTCATCAGACGAATCTGCAACTCTTCCAAATCGTTGGATTGGCCATGGGAGCGTTATTGCTTGGCCATCCAGAAATACTCTGAATTTTTCAATTTGGTCTCAAGTTTACAAAGATATAAAAAAGACAAAAAAAGCAAAAAATACAAGTCGCTGCCAACGAAATCAGAGTCAATCCCAATAGGTTGTTTACAACTTTCCGCGGGGTTTGTGTAGAATCGTACTTTGCTTCTCACAGCTTAGGAGTAAACAGGCTTGGCCTCAAAATTTTTATGTAAAACAGACGACTAATGGGATTGAGTATCCGGTTCTAAATTGTGCCTCAAAACTACCAGTAGCAATCAACTGGTCTCTAGCTTTTACTAGTGCCTATTATTTTACCTAAATTCCAGCTCCACCGAAAAAGCTACTGCAGCCTGTAATGCCAGGTTTCGTCTCATATTCCAAAAGGTGGTCACCTGTGGATTGATTAAAATAGCAGCTATCAACCAACAATTCAAGTTTCGCCTTTCTTGCAAAGATGTTTTGCCTCTTGCTAAGTGTTTTCGCAGTGGAAATATTTTAGAGCATACATATTGGTAGATAATGTCAACACTCCAAGCTTCAAGACCTAAATGTGCTTCTTGGAATAATATAGGACTCTTGTTGTAGATGCCCCTTTCCTCCGTGACAATGGCAAAGTCTTTACTGAAAGAAATGCGAATGTGAGTCAACTAGTTATTATTTGGAATTTTTTTATCTACGAACATGCCCGATGATACACCTTTCCTAAAGCGTTTTGTTACCTAATGCTTTACTTCCCCACACGGCGTGTAGAAAAACTACGTTTATCTACGACTGATAGGATAATACCGTTACTTCAGTCTGTGATCTATAATGTAATAGGTACTTTTACACTTAAATGGTGGCGAAAATCGTCGCTAAAATTGCAAAGTTCTAATCACTAACTCTTTTCCCACGTGCTTAGCATGGGAGAGGATAAGTTTATGAGTATAAACGCAAAATATGTAGATTTTGGAAGATTGATTAATAAGTGAACTACGACAAAAGTATCCTGACGATTTTAAAAATAATTTTCGCATGGGCCGTGAAACATTCAAAAATTTGTAGGATTTAGTCTCACCAATTATTTCAAAGCAAAACACAGACATGAGAGGAAGCACAAATGCCGAAGAAAGGCTTTAAACATATAGTAAAACATTTTTGTTGTATACTTATACGTAATACAATCCCTACATTTGCATTTAGAATAATTTATTGTTAATTTATACTGTGCTTATTTATAGAGAAAGGCAAGAGAGAATTAAGATGTAGATATTGACAGGAGGGCACTGCGTTCTCGAATAGAAAAATTAAGTACTGAAGGCAAAAAAAAACAGGTCATATTTGAAGGTTGAGTACAGTAAACCAGTAGTCTTAGGATAGTCTGCAGCTATATGTATGGATAATCAAGAATGTTTCGTATAAAATACCCTGTACATTTTTATTCTTTGATGGAAAAAAAAACTGTACTACACACATTCAAGTACAAACAAGACTACTTACACTTTGAACGGCGGTGTGTTAATCGTGGAGGCGAGGACAATTTCTCTAAGGTCTTTGCAAATTCTTTCCGACATAGTTTCATAGTGCGCCATGACTCTGACTTCTGAGTTCTGAGACTAGCTCAGACTCAGTGTACAGTTTCTAATATCTTTCTGGATCCAAAATTCTTTCTGAGAGCTTAAAAGGGTACTCAAGTAAACAGAACCTAAATAAATCACGTACACTTGCACATGACCTGCATGATATTGGTGAACACTCGATAGTACAACTAGGTGAAAACACAATAAAACCAAATATACAATAAAATCCCAAATATTTTGAATACAATTTATAATGTAAACAAAATGCACAAATCACATTAGGTTAGTTTAGACCATAGATAAAGACGACTTTAGACCACAGGTTATCAAACTATAGATCTCCCAAACTATTTACAGCGCTCTTGCGGCCTGATCGACCAAGCGTTCAATTTGGCGCCATATTCAATTTTCTTTTAGACTGTTTAGGGTTTTGGGATAAAAAATTAAAACAAAGCAATTGCATAGTTATGTATTGGTATTTTTTAAACTGAAACTATAAATATTCGATATAAGAAAACTAAAAAAAGGTAAAATAAACAAAATCACTATTTAATAATGGTTTTTGGAGGATATTTGTCATCGTTTTAAAGCAAGTTATGAATAATCGGTTGAATATCTTTATATCAGTTATTACAATTGATGATGCATAATTATATGCTCATATAAATAAAAGCACCGGTACGTAGTTAGTATACGTGTAACAATCAAGAACATTATAGCAAACAGGTTTTTTATCTTCTAATTTTAATATCCATAGATATAGATTCACTTTTTACGGGTACAACTTTTCTTTTTTGCTCCAAATTCACCTTGGTAACCGCAGCCAATCTACGTCTACTTAATGTCTACTAAATACTAGTATATAAAGTATTGTAATGTCTATAATTTACATGAGCCCACATGCATTGAAATGTTGATTTCCTGTTGATAACGCACTGTCTCGTGGATTTTGTTAGCAAGTTATTTTTATATAGTAATAGAGTGAAGAACTCTGCATTCGCTTTATATTGCAAGGCACTAAGCCTAAGGGCAAAGAAAAAGGCACTGTGGAATAGTTGCAGTGCAACTAAAACCTTTAATCGCTTAATCAATGTAAAATAAAGTTTTAATCGATTAATGTACTTGTACAAATGCCCCCCCAAAAAGGGTGTAATCACGCGCAAAAAAATAAAAAAATACATCGGTGAACGTTTCTAGAATCAACGTGTATTTATCAACCTTTTGATTCGATCAAAAAGTAAAATTTGTATTTCTTGTTATTCTGTTTCTTATTATCTCTGTAAGTGTATAGTTTCAAACCAGTATTGAAATAATAATTTGTACCGTCAATAAATTAAATTTAAAGTACGCGCTTCTGATTAATATAGCTGATAAGATTGAGGTACTTTATTCCGATCTTATCTTTGATCTGTGCAAGCTGAAATAAATCATTTAAAAAGCCGTGCTTATAGTTTTAAATGCGATTAATTTAATTCTTGGTGAATGTTATACTGATGGATTATCAGGTAGAGACATCATGGCTTTCGGTAATTTGCGGTTTTCCAGATCAGATATTCTTAAATCTCATGTCTAATCCTGATAATACAATAATAATAATCTATGTAGATGCTTTTAATATTTCTTATCTCAAATTGTTTATATAAGGATAATATGCTTCTGCCTTTTAATTATTAAGGTGTTGATTAGGTTTGTACCTTAAAGTCCAAAAACAGTTTATTGCGTTAGTTTGTGCAAAATGACTGTTATATATTTGAGCGGTATTTTCTTTCTAATATTTTGCGCTTTCGCAAATGGTAAGTTATTAATTATTTCGTGTTCATTGCTCTGTTTTTTTCATCCATATGTATGCTTTAGTAGCTGTAAACGATACCAAACTGATAAGATGAAGATACTTGGGCATCTTATGCTTTTTGATTTTTTGCACACTTTTACATTTTGCAAGCTATAGTATGTAGTTGTATTCAGATCCGTTTTGTCCCTTACAAGAAATTAAAACACGGTGTTTCTTTGCACATTACCCCGGTAGAATTCGACTCAGTTTAATTGGTTCACAAACTAGTTTATAACTAGGACTAATGGCAGACAAATATTCTTTTAAAATTGGTCAAATATTCTGTACAACATACCGATTTTCAATATAGGACATTATTATCATTTTTAACTAAATATGAAATGGCCAAAAATTGGAACCCTAAAAAAGCATCATTATGATTCTCATTTAAATTCTCAGAAAATGACCGAAATTACCAAGTTTTATTAGTATATTTTTATTACTAAGAAAAATGTCCAATTCCTACTGCAAAACCGCTTTGGATGTTCACCAGGGTATTTGATAGGTTTTATTGTGGAATAAATGTGGAAATTAATCTTTAAAAAGGCATTTTCTGCGGTTTTTACTTGTAGCAGGTTGCCAGTGCATCTGCAAATTATGCGGATTTTCAAATAAGTACCGTGCAATGTTTATGCTCAAAAGGAACACAAAATGTTATTAAAAACGAACGTACAATCCCCCATTCTTCGTATTTATAATTCGCTGAACTGAAGATAAATCAACAAATCGAATAAAAAATAAGAAATAATAAGAAAAACTCTATTTCCTTCAACTCGACTAGATCGGAAGGAAAGAGACGATAAATATACAAGGTAACAATAAAAACAAAAAAAATAAAAATATGTTGTGGAATTGTTTCTATAAAAATAGGCCCAACCATTTAGTTGCCAGCCAAACTGTAGAATTTCACTTGACAACTCACTACTTGTTATATCCATTTAATTTATAACTCTTCAAAAATACTTTACCGTTGCATTATATTACATTAAATTTGATCGGGGATAGGGATCTGATTCAAAATACGTATTTCGTAAATATTGTTAAAGTTTTCCGTCTATAGACTGCCTAGATTTGTACATATGCAATATTAATAAATTCTTATTTTTATAGGAAACCCCATTTCAAACTCGTCTCTCCGACGCATATCACAAAATTCCTTCGTCCGCATAGTTGGTGGACAAGATGCTGATATTGCAGACTATCCTTATCAAGTTTCAGTCTTAATCGACGGGCAGCATGCTTGTGGTGGTTCAATTATTGCAAATAATTTTATATTAAGTGCAGCACATTGCTTTGCTGAAGAGTGAGTATCCATGGCTAATTTGACCAAGAGCTACCAAAATATTATGTGTCTTTCATTGTAACTATATTTTTCTTTAAGATCGAGAGCAAGCCATATTACAATTAGAGCAGGATCTACATATCGAACCACGGGAGGACAAGTGGTTCAAACCAAAACGATTACTGCACATCCTAATTTCAATGAAGATACCTATGATTATGATATTGCTGTTGTCGAACTTGCGTCTCCATTGGTAATTTAAATAATACAGTTTGACTATAATAAGGATTACATTTGAAAAGAAGTCGCCAATACGAATAGCAGTTAATGTAAACATAATAAATTTACTTTTAGGTACTGGGAACTAATGTACAAACAGTTTCACTACCACCCAGTGGTACAGCATTTAGCAATGGTGAAAATTCTGTAGCTACAGGTTGGGGCCTTACCCGCAATGACGGTGATCTCGCTGATGTGTTGCAAGTAAGTATTTAGTCTAGGTGTTTGGTACAAGTAATTAATGTTCCCGGAACAAAGATGTTCTTCTAGCTTTCATTGATCAAATACGCCCAAGGTGTATTTGATTGTTTTACGCAATTTGTTTCGCAATCTGTTTCAACTTTCGTATGCTAGACTTAGTTGCATTCACAGAAACGGCAAAACAGAGATAACACGAATCTGCATGCTGCACGTGAATACATTTAACATATTCGCTGCCATGAGAATCACCGGTGATCCTCAACAAATATTTCCCTTTTGTACCGTGAGGATCACTTATGGTTCACGGTACACCTCGTTATGAAATATCTCGATACGCCGGGTGATACTCATCACACATAAGCATGAAGTATTACAAGGGTGCCATTCTCTTTGAGATCACCGGTGATCTCAAAGTGTTAAGAAAAAAATCTTCATTTTGTTTATTTTGTTTGTATTTACAATTTATTTGTCAATAAAATTAACTTTTGAAGCATTTTAATCTTTGGCACCTGAGCAAATCCATACTCGCTCTTATGCTGGCAATAAATTTGTTAAAAAAATTGTTCCAACATGCTACCTGAAAAAGTGCTGCACACCACCCATATAAACATGTGACTTTTTCAAAAGCTGATCACGGTTCTAGGAGAAAAATGGGGAGTTATAATTTAAAAAAAGCAAATTGGAGACTTACTTGTTTACTCTATCTTAATCTAATCTGTGTAAAAGCAGAACTTTTTTTACTACTCTGAAAATTCTCAAAGCAAAATATGTTATAATTTAGGGAGGATCAGTGAGAACGTTCAGAACTGCGTCTAAATTCCGTAAGCACCTTAAGTAAGTGTAACTGTACTTTGTGAACAAGTTATGGATAGCAGCTCATATTCGGGGGACACCCTGTATAATAAAAATAACAGTTCTTCCGTAAAAGGAATGAGGAAAATGCGATCAATAATAAGTATTTGCCTTTTAGGTTGTCACTCTTCCTTTAATTACAACTGCAACTTGCAAAAGTAATTATTATGGAAGTGCCATTAGTTCAAGAATGTTTTGTGCAGGAGCTGCTGGAAAGGACTCATGTTTTGTATGTATATCCCATTTAACATTTAATGTATACTTATAAAATAAAATAAATTCTTATAATATTTTAGAAGCAATTTAGAAAGAGTATTAGACCTTTTTTACATACATTGAAACATTTTCTAATTAAAAGCAAAAGTACAAAATGATATAATTATCAAAAATAATTTTTCATGATCTATTTTATATTATTTATCAGACACACACACACTGACTTACTAAACAACCTTTTTTTTCTAGGGTGATTCAGGTGGTCCTCTTGTAAGTGATTCTATTCAACTTGGAATAGTTTCATGGGGAGACGTATGTGGGCAGGCATCGACTCCAGGAGTATACACAAAAGTTACTGAATTTTTAAGTTTCATCAACAATATTATTTCTGTTAAAAAGAAAACGTTGTAGGAACTTCGATGTTAATGTGTTCAATATACTTGGCTATATTTATTGGCTAAAACTATCCTGTCCTATACCTACGTTAATTCAAGCTTGAAATAGAGTAGTTCCTATTACTGTGGAAAAATATTGATCACTATATAATAAATAGGGTGATTGAAAATTGGCGTTATTCCTCGGGAAGTGTTTAGGGAGGGTACATTTTGCAAAATAAATATTAAACAATAATTGTTATCTTAATACACTCACTAATTCGTTTATTTACCACATATTTCAAATAAATTCACCCGAACAGAACGGATATTTTTTTAAACTTTGCAATAAAATTTTAATCAACCTATCGCTTGTAAAAAGTCAAAAGTTCCTTAGCTGTGGCTTAAATGGTTGCCTATTGCCTTATTTACAACTTTTATATCAATGAGATATTGCCATAGGAATCAAAAAGAGCCGCAACACCTGAAATTTACTAATTCAAGAACTGATATGTTACAATTTTTTTGATATTGTTGTGGCTTTGAGACTTTGCTCCGGTACCAGCCTACAATAAAATCGTGAGCTTGGTAAATTAACGAAACATTCGAAGTATGATGAATTATTACCACCTCGTCAGGTTTATGGTTGTTAAGGCTTGAAATTTGGGGATTTTCAAACTTGGCCTTCATTTTACCAAATGATTTCGATATCTTCCACTATTTCATTAACATTCAGCAATTGATATTTTCGTGTTAATTAAAAAGTCCCCTCAATACAATTGAAAAAGTATTAAAAAAATTCTGGCTTTAATCTGACCCGCACAATGTATCTTAGTGTTTATGAAATCATTCCTAAACGGTGATATTGCAGGTTTGTTATGCATGTTCATGGATTATCTTTTTTCAGTATAAGAAATGCTATTTTCCTAATGTTGTGGGTTGTGCTTTTTCAATTAAATGTGGTACTAATAGGTTCTATTCAGATTATTAACGCAAATAGATTTCTTTTTATTGGTAACCAACTTTTACATATAAAATATCTATAAATTGTTTTATTATTGTTGTTGTTTCTTGTATCCAAATTTGTTTTAATCCGCTGATTTAGAAAGGCATTTTCTTGCCGTTCTGAACTACAGCAATAATCGGCAGTATAATCTCGTAGGTAAATTTAACCACCTTCATATATGAAGAAGTTGCTGTTTAATCACCATAGATGCTTCTTCTCTTGAATACTGAATTCCAAATTTCAATATCTGAAGCGGTTCTTTAGCGAGACGAAAGCTTCAGATGAGCGAGCTTCAATTAATATAGAAACACAAAGCCTCCCAAAATATTCCCAAGGTTTAAAAATTAACTACGAAAGAATCCAGAAGAAGAATCAGAATGATGACTATGGGACTAAAAGTTCTACATGTACATGGCAATTAGGGGCAAACTAATGCTGAGCTTACTGAAAGCTGCGTCGTGTCACCTGAAAAAAAAACAAGAAACTGTGTTTAATACAGCAGGAAATCTGTCCAAAGCCAAATTTATTTGAAATCAGCAAAGCAAAGAAAAAAATATAAAGAATCCATAAAACTTCAGTTGTTGCATTCTTACCAGCTTTCTGCAAACTGGCGCCCCATCCTCCATTTCCTACCCATAAGCTACCACACAAGCCCTAAGCTGCAGTGATTAATGCACAACGCGTACTAACCGAATTAATTTTTTTTGTTAAAAATATTGAGTAACCCAAAAAAATCGCGAAGAGATCACTTAAAAATGAAACTTAATTTTCGAACGATGATAGAAACCCACGAAATTTATCGAAGAACATGGTAATTTATCGATAGGCGGTTCATGAATGAAAAAATGGAAGTATAAGTAACACCAAAATCAAGTTTTAAAATTTAAAGCTTGCACAAAATATAACATAAGGATGGAATAAACCGTAAAAGAAGTACAAAACCTTAAGGTTCAAAACACAATTCATTAAAGACTGCGGATGTTTTTTTTACTGCAGGGGACATAAAAGCTGCAGCCCGGAAACGCTACAGGCAGCTATAGGATACAGAAGCAATCGCCACGGATAACTAAAAAAATCTTAGCATTACTATTCACTCTGTAAATTGCAAACAGGCGGGCCAATGAAGTTTCTTGATTTTTGGATGATTATGTAAGCTATCATCTTTCCAGAAACGTTCGGAACAAATATATGTGTCCGAAAAAACTACCCCTCTTACCTTCACAACCCGGTCCGAAATGAAAGCCAAAATTGCTTAAGTACTTTAATAGGCAGACAAAAACACGCCGAACAACTGAACTATTTATAAAAAACGCCACAAAAACGGGTGTGGTAACTAACAAAGAACCTAAACACTATACCACCCTGTGCGCATGCGGGCCTTACCCTTTTTACCATCCGCTTTCTCGGTCTACTGTCCCACTAACGGTACTTTAAAAAAACATTTTGATTCGACATTGATGCAGGGTTGATTCTTGGCAAGGTGAGTCCTAAATGGCTCTAACAAATATGTTTTTTTGCTATTTCTCGGGTAGAAAGAACAAAAATTTCACAACATTTGCGTATCGTCACCATTTAGTTGACGAAAGGACGAAATTTGATATCGTAAAAAGAGTATTTCCTAATAGACGACTTTCCTGTGTCGAGGGCGACAAACATATAGATTTAAGCAATTGGAAAACCGGAACTGAGTTGTCAGAAGACTGGATCCAGATATTGACCAACAGCTAAGTCATAACCATTTAAAGTTGAAAAAATCTTTGCTTCAGCACAAAATCACGTTTTTCATTACGGATTGTTGGCGAAATGCAAGTGACTGCAGAACATCCGAGAATAATCCATCATCGTGATGGATAATGGATCTTGGGTTGTGATGAATGTGGATATGAAAAATACGTATAAATATCGACCAACTATTTCAAACATGAATAAATCAATCAGATCATACTTAGTGGAACCAATTCCTTTCATTTTTGTTTGCCGGCATGGGTACTTAAGTTGCCGCAACAAGTCGCAAACGTTTTTACCCATTCTGCGACTTGACCGGTGTAGTTTTATGAAACACTCTCTAAAAGACACCGGAAGGAATTCCGTTGGTGATTAAAAATAACATGGCTCAATCAACATTAGCTTTCGTGGTTTTTTGTTGTTGTTTTCGTGTATTTGTCTGTGTGGAACAAAATCAAAATTCTTTCGCGATAAATCCACAAGCGGACTATTTCAATCCCTTCACGGAAAGTGGTATTGCGGAAAGTCAGCAAAGTGCTTCGGTGGTGCCTCGACCAAACGTTATATCAGTTCAATCGGATATTTTTCGAAACTCTTTTAGGAACTTGATAAAACCGACCGTGCGGAGTATTGGAAAATATAGTGGTAACGCTCAGCAGCTCAATGCTCAATTATGGCAACCGAATTCGTTTTTGGCCGATTTTGCTAAAATGAGTGAACAAGCGGCTCAACATCAACTTGCCAGACGTAATGAATTTGCAAACACGCCGAGAAGAATGGATATTAGTGTGGAGCCTCAAAAGCTATCCGATTTTAAATCGGTAACACCGCAATTGGAAAACCCGATAGGCATCCAGAACCAGCCACTTATACCTTTTACACCACGAACCAACACATATATTCCTAATATGCTGCCCTATAAGAAGTTGAATGCACAACCCAGTTATACAAGTGATCAAATTGTTAGACCCAGTTTTGTTCAAGTTCATCCGAGTAGTGAACATGATGATCATGTATTGGCGCAGTCGGCTGATTGGCAGACGCATGCAGATCCCAGTGTGCATTCAGGTTAGTTTTTAATTATATTATGGTGTATTTTTCTACAGCGTATAAACGAAATGGTAATGTGTGAAACACTATTTGGCTCTTTTTTGAGGATTTTGGACCCTGTCTCACTGACCACCCATTGATCAACATACATATATCAAATTATCATTTAGAACATTTTTTAAAATCGGTCCACGCAATTTACTAGAGGCAAGAGATCCAAAATTTAAAATAAAGTTTAATAACTCGCAGCTTAGATATTGGAAACGGAGCACTCCGTATATGGTTCCCGTTACAAATTCGCTTGAACATTTTGAATATATAATTTATTTAACGATATTTTAAATTTCACATAAAAAGTTGCAAATGCAGAAACTAATATATCTAATTATTAAGTTTTTGTATAATTGGTAACATTTTAAATTTTACGCTGCATTGTTTACATTTTGCCGAATCCTGAAAGTATTTTAGAGCGCTTGCCTGAAGTGAATTTAATGAAATTAAACGCCCTATTTTAGAAATATGTTTAATTCCATTTTATCCTAATGTAAATGAGCGTTTCGCGGTGAGACGAGACTTGAAAGAACCCCATCTTTGAAAAATTAAGAATAATCAATTTAGTATGAAAGTAGAAATCGTAACTACAAATATATAATAATTATTTCTGCAGTTTTATACGCCGTTTCTACAAAAAATATGAAATGAGCTCAATAGTTTTATAATTCAATAAATTAATATTTTTTTCTACAGTATCGAACAGGACATAAGCAAAAGTGATCAGCAATGAAATCGTCATATAAAGATGCAATTACATCAATCTACCATAAGATACAAGATTTGTAATTTTTCGAAATATGTGTGATCTGTAGTTCTTCAAAATGTACTGTAATTGAATGAAAACGTAACGTTTAAATTTATTAAATCCTTCTGTTCTATTCATTACGTATTTAAATATCAAAACTTTATGTCACAAATCCATCTATCAAAAGCCCACCACCGTCTCTTTCAAGGCAATCAATTTTAATAAACTAAAATTTGATTAATTATTTAATAAACAGGCGACGTAAATTGTGATTAATTATAATTTTAGAATAACTGAAAAAAAATGGGAAAAATTAATTATGGTAGATGAACAACTAGCAATAAGTTTCATATTTAAATATACTTTACGACTCTGACCAACTAGAAAGGTATTCATATAACAAAAAAACTAAAATTTGATTGGGTGATTTTAAGTTTGAGACCGCGTTGAACTTTTCACAATAGTTAAAGCGATTTTATGTTTGTATGTGCATGTTTCCTTTCAACTCGAAATTTTATATAATATATATAATATAAACGCTTTAACATAAACGTGCAGTTTCAAAGTCCTTCTAAACGATGAAAACTGATTTTGTAAAGTGTAGTTATAAAGTGAAGTTGAATAATTCTGCAATAAACTATGCAGACCTGTGATAAAACGTAATGAGTTAACGCAGTAAATTTCACTCAATTGAGAATCCAAATTTGCAAACTCTTCAAAACTCTTATACATCTATCAAATCCAGAAATAAATATTACAAATATGAAATCAGTGTCAGCAACGTAATTTGTATGTTAAGTTTAGTTTAAGTAATCGAAAATTGATTTAGGTATTTCGCATGCCTCACCTTGTATATTATTACACAGATGCCCTCGAAAGTGGTTTATCTACATTGCACTTTCAAAATACTAGCAATTTACTAATTCCCAGTATTCTATACAGTTTTCTGCACTACTTGTGACGTCCATGACTACTATTAGATATTGGGTTTATGCACAATAAAAGCAGTGTGAACCAGAACTGAGTTGCTATAATTTCTATGCCATGGCAAAATTTCAGAATTGGATACATGAAACATTTATATTTTTATTTGGAAAATTATCATATCTTATTGTAGCAGAAACTTACTATTTAAAATATTGCCTTAGTTTTTAGAATGTGGATGCAGCTATACTAATTTGACACATATTTAGTATAGTTTTTTAAGAATTTCTCTACTTCACCAATATTTTTCTATGACCATTTTATTCTGTTTCATTTTTCTACGCAACTACAGAGTTTTAAGATGAGGAAAATACTTTCCTCACCAAATAACTTGTTTCTTCCCCGTTTTGATCGCATCTCTTCAATTCAGATACATAACTTTTACTTAACTTCCAGAAGTAAATTATATGCAACAATTTTAAAAAGAAAAATTTGGCATCATTTTGCAAATCCGCCAACATATCTAATTAATGACAATTACTTATTAAATTTTACATCTTTGTCTCCATAACCGAATGTCACCAATTGAATGTTATTGTGGGGTCTATAAGTTTGTTTCGTTATAGTCAAAAAAGTGTTTGCAGTAGTAAAGTATTTTTTACTGAAGCGTTTATGAGATTTAGCAATTATTATTATTAATAGCTTAGATGGCATAATTAAACTAGAAGAACCACAAAAAACCGTTTACTTTATTGACTATAAAAAATAAGTATGTTTTGGTTAAAGCTTTATAAACAAAAGTGAAAGTCTTTATTACAACACCGACAGTGCTTTTCAACGCCTTGTCAGAAAGTCTCTTACAATAGGTGTAGTAAGAAATTGATAGGTTTTTATACATCCTTGCTTCCGCGGTTTTCGGTTTATTTTTAATTACATTAAATTGCACAAGTGGAAGTTAATATGCAGCAGAATGTGTCCATTGAAACACAAAACCTTTGGATTTTGCGAACAAATGAACGAACATGAAACAGTTTTTGAAGTATTTTGGAAAAAAGCAGTACCAGTGTTTGGTTAATCTTTGGTAATTTTCGTGTAATACTAATTATTTCAACTGTTTTATCCAGGTTCAAAGTTGAAAAGCAATGGCAACGACCATCATGACGGACATTATAGGTCTCATGGTGAAAGTGATGAGGAGGATTATAATTCCAGCCACCATGATAGCAAAGGAAATCATAAGAAATATCACGACCACGACGACAAGGCTTATCACAGAGAAAAAGGTGGCCATGATGATCATCACCATGATGATGGGGCACATTACAAAAAACAACATGAAGGTAAAAAATACAACTTTCAAGATTTAGTTTGGGTTAGCTTTAGAGTTGAAAATATATCACAACAGAACAGCTGTTAAGTGAAATATTTTATATTCCTGTTAGCATTAGCGGCAATTAAATGTTTGCTTCGAATAAAGGTCCAAAGACATAGTTTCGAAAACTTATATATACATAATTATTAATTAAACTTAATTATAAATAAGCCCAAAAAACGCTTATTTTCGAAATTACCTGTGAATTTGAGTCCAAAGCTACTGCAACAATAACATAAACGATTCAAAAATTTACATTATAATGCAATATGATCCATTAGAAAGTGCAAAGATGCAATTTAAGAAACAATATTTTTTTTAACTGTAAACTATATACGTCTATGCTCGGATCATACCCCGGATATCATGTGATTTTAATTGAAGTTGGATCAAGCATATTTATCTAAAATCTCGAAAATTACGTTTTGCTAGGGGATCATTTGAGAATCAAAGAAGCCTTTTGCTTCTCCGAGCATATCCAGGAAACACAGCTGTTAAATAATACGACAATTTGGATTAATCGTAGACCGAAGCTTTTTCAAGTGATTAATATCTGGACTTTTAGTTTTATAGATTGTAGGTTATCAAATAAAATAAAAGTTTATTAATACCTTTTAAAAACTTTTTCATATTTAGTAATATTTAATTGACTGTAATTATCACTATAAGCTTATATTAAGCAAACAGCATTATTTATCAATGTGTTTCCAACAATAACACACACTTTGTTACAACAATATGAAAATGAAACTTCTAAATAATGACCCAAACTGGTAACACTATTTCTATAAGAATTTATAAGAATTACAATTCATTTAAGCAGCAATTTTTTATAAAATTTATTGAGTAAACACAGATAATTATTTATTTATGTATATTAGCTTCTCAATCACATAAAGCTGCAAAATTCGGCGAAAAGAAGGGACACAAGAGAGGTCACAAAACCAAAGGGTACCATAACAAATTTCATCGAGATGAATATCATAGGGAGCACAGATTCTATGACGATTACCACAAGGAGGGATTCCATAAGAAACATGGCCAAGGTCATTCCCATTACAAAAACAAAAAAGGTACGAAAACTGTAGGTATAATTAGCATAAACCATCGTTTATTTCAGAAATTTCTCGTAGTCGCATTATGGAAATAATCCATTATACGGTTTTTAATTAATAATGTCGACATCTGATCATTATCAAATGCATCATTATAAAATCGATACAGTGTTGGTGGAAAACCACTGAAACGGTACATTAACTGAGAAACCACTCAATCGGTTATAGTAAAAGTCATTATATGAGAGCAAATTAATACGAAGAAATTGGACATAAAATCGGCATTGTTGTAGACTTCAGCTTTCACTAAAATTAGCGTATTTAAATTTTCTTTTTCTCGTTTTAATTTTAACAGTTTATTGCAAGTCTAACAAATTTATGAGATTGGAAAATGAGTTTTTCCTCACAATTGTTAAATCGAATGGTTTATTATCGCGGACAAAGTCTATGCACACTCACAATTTGCAAAAAATGGACCCACAATTTATGACAATACCTGAGTTACACATAAACCGCTTTACCAGTTGAAGAATGAAAATCGGAAATTTCACTTTTCCATGTTAAACTATATTTTAGAGCGGATAGAAATTTTCTAGAGTTTAATTTTATTTCTGCTTCTAGCTGATTTTTATAAAATCGTGTTTGCGTCTTGTAAAATGTTCGGCAAGCATACAGTTTCTGTAACAATCAATTTGGTAAAAACAATTATAGAAATTCTATTTTGTTACCACATGTTTTGTATTGTTGTGTAGAAATAAAGCTTGATTCCAACTTAAATTAATCTTTTATATTAAAATATTTAATTTAGTTCCAACTTAAACAAATTATTTCGTACATTTGACCGATAGTTTCTACTTTTTTTGATCTTGAGCAAAAACTTAGTACTTTTTGTTCTTCTAAAATGAAACATTGTTCTATCGCTGAGAAAGTGGACCGCCTTTAGTCAATAAATTATGTGAAAGAAATAGACGTTTGAGTGTCAGAGTTTATAGTAACAAATATTTAAACCGCAGAATTCGAAACGATCAAACATGGCCAAATAGTTTTAATCGCAAGTAAACAATATTAAAATTAACATAAATGATTCGTAATTTCAGGCTTAAAACGTTGATTTGTTTTGTGTATCACTCACAATCCATAGTACACATTTTTACCACATTTTACACATACAATTATATTTCAAATTAAATTTAATGTTACTAGGTGCTTTTAAAAAAGGAAGAAATCACAACTCCAGCCATAGTTCAGACAAGAAAGGTAAGAAAGGGTATTCAAAGAAAGGAAAACTCAATGACGAACATGAAGGATTTGATGTCGAAAGTGGACATAGGAAATATCACAGACATCATAAAAACCACCAATCCAAGCAAGGCAATACCAATGGAAAGAAGTATGGCTATAATCGAAAACACTGATACAATTTTCCGAACAAATTTGGCAATTTACAGCACCCATGTTGAACTAGTCGTGATATTTTTAGGTCTTTGGTACGATTGTTTCACTCTGCTGGATTGTATAGTTTCTGTTTGTTTTGCTAGGTTTTCCTCTTCTGACTCTAATTTAAAAATGACAAAATTGTTAAAATTTAGTATTGAGAACTCGCATTTTAATAGCACTGTATTACAACTTTGCACATCAACACTAATAAGTTATGTGTTTTTACCCATTTATTCTCTTGCTTATTGCAAAAATATAAAATATCTGTTATTTATAAAGTTCTACTAAAATAGTTATATTTTTATATTGTTATTTTTATATTTTTGTATCGTAAATAAACATTGAATTTGTTATAGATCGCCTTCCCCTTACATACTACTATATTTGACTTATGCACGCTATAGGAACTGAAAAGGAGCACTTAATGATTTTTTTTAACTAAAAACGTGAATTAATTTGTTGATTTAATGTAAATAATCTGTTTTTTGCTTTTGTGCTACGATAACACTGAGCTAATGTATTGGGTAAATGCAATTTTGATTCTCAAGAAAGTGTTCCAAACAGTTTCCATTTGAATAATTAAAAACAATTTAAATTTGTAAAAAATGTCTGCTTTCTCTTCCAAGTATTTGTGTCTTACTGTTAAGTAATCTTAGTATGTTACTATTTACCATTTAGTACGGGTTTTAGCAAAAATTTTATTAAGCAAAAACTGACTTATTTTACTTAAATCAATTGGATAGTTCCCGCGAACGTCGAGAAGTCATTTCATGCTTGAAGACCCAAAATAGAAAAAAACAAGGAAAAAACATACTTATAGTGAAAGTATTATTAAATTGATTATAAAATAATGTTTTTCATTGTTGATAATGTAGTAAAATTTTGTAATGGAGTAGTTGGTTTAATCGAATATGTAACGGGATATAAAAAGCATTTCTGTTACATCAACTTTTAAATGCTGGTAGGTTTTTAGCATGTATTAGGCAATAATACTAAGCTGTGTTTTTTATTTTATATGTTTCAATGTATATGCTTATGCTTCAGTTAATCCGGGATAATGTGTTAGATAGAGGTAGCTTTTTATGAAGCCGTTAGAATATTTTCTCTTGCAAAAATTTCACATTTTGTGCACTTGCAAAATAACTATATAATACAACGTAAAGCTAGGATAATAGAGCAAATGTCAATTTAACAAATTGTGAGCAATAATAATAAACGATTGACACATTTAAATAATCAGGGTTATACTCATATGGTAAGAAGAAGCGTTAAGGCAAAAGTTAAAAAGGACCAGTTTTCGAAATTAGACATCACAATCAAAAACCCCGTGTAACAGCATTACATAAAGGATCAACGCCATATACTGTTTTCTAATGCGCAATTTTTCGTAAATAAATTGTATTTATTTTGAAATTGTTCGTTTTATTTTACCACATGCTTTGTTCCAGTTAGCGGAAATTCATGTCGTTAATATCTAGGTCTAACCGCAGAAAACAATATTCCTGCGTTCTAGAACCTTTTATATAATCAGCTGGTTAATCGATTACTCGAAAAGGCCTTTCTAGACGTTAATGCAATATTGCGGCTGTTTGAGAACTAGGTTGTAAGAAAATTCATATTATTTTGAAAATATCTATCTAATTAATTATAAAACATAGTAGAATAAATCTAAAATATCCCATTAAAGACAGATTACGCATCCAAAATGTGCCTACGAGCCCAAACGAGACCTAGTGAAGATCTGGTAAAACAAGATTCATATGAATGTTAGTAATTCGCAGAAATCATTTTTTGAACAAAGTATATTAACATTTGCTGAGTGCTGTATTTAGAAGACCACGAAGATTGGAATTTTAAGATATTAAATATAGTTTGCACAAACTATGGAAACTAAAAAGAATGGAAAAAGACATCAAGATAAACATATGCCCAGAACTGAAGAGTTTTTACGATACTCTAGGTTAATTAAATTGATGACAAAATTTTTTCCAATGAATATATTAAAAACGCGTTCATCAATTTTAGTGCCAAATTCACAATTTGTTTATTTCTAACCAAACTAGGCTTCTTTTGAACTAATTACGGCAGATACCTACAGCATGGTTAAAGATGTGCATGCGTGTTTCGTCGAAATTTTACAATTTTCATAGGATTACAAGTTAATGGGTTAATTGATAAGGTCTTGTTTATTGATGCAAATGATCAACATTTTGAACAATTTATGTAATACTAATAATAAATGTAAATGGTAAGTTAGCAAAGCTATACTGGGTCAAGAGGAATTTAGGAAACAAAATGTTGGTAAACCGAGAACAATATCAATTAATTGAAATAAGTTAAGATATTCGCACAAATAGGTATTGTATTGACATGAGACATTATAAGATTATTCAATTCAGTTTCATTCTGGCTATTTTTATCCAATATTTTGTACGACGTGATTTTTCTTAATGTTAACGATTTTTGAAGTTAGCTGCAACAAAACTAAATTAATCTCCATACTTGCCTTCAATTTAATCGAATACGTGTGAAAACGTTCATCCGTTTTCTTTAAGTAAAAAGGATCGTATTCGATCCGATATATTTTCACAGATCTAAACTATATTGTTCGTTTAAAAACCGCAATTTTTAAATCAAGCAACTTCTTATAGAAGGCAAGCACCGCATTCTTCAAATACACCACCATTTTTCGTGAAAATTTTGTGATTGCGATGATTATGAATAACCCAAACACAGTTACTTAATTTATTTCATGTCACCTTTTTTATTTAGCTTAACATTTTTTTTTTTTAAACATGTTCATCTTTGGATTGACTACGTTTTTTAAGGTTACGAAATTTTGAAAAGCTTTTTTTGTCTTGAAGAATCTTTTTCAATTCATGATATTGAGGAGAGCAGTCGCAGAATATCTTAACGCTGTCGTTTGGCCATGGGGGCTTAAAAATTGGTTCTAATTTCTGATCCAAGTAGGTACAATAAGGGATTTCTGCTACTTGCTGCATTCCCAAACGTTCACAGATTTTGGCACTAAAATAAGGAACAAAATTTGCAGATTAAATTTTCAAGGATTTTGCATTGTTTACGTGTGTACGTTGGTTGCGTCACACCTAATCACCGGAAAACCAGCATCCGCGCCTAAAGACTTCGACTCTTCAAGTAGCCGATATGCCAAGCCCTTTTTTCGATGTGGTCTTTTAACAAACAGATACGACATCTACAAAACAGGACAGAGAAACCTTTGGATTTCTGTAAGAGATCTAAGTAACCTCGTAAACTTTCTGTACTCCTAAACATCGCCACAAATCAGGAACTCTCATCATGTGAGCATAAAACATAATCAAATTGCGGACATTGTTGCACTCAACAGTGCAAGCTAGTTTTTCCTCCATATCTGGATCCCATGGATTAGTGGATTCATTTATACATGCTCCAACAATGCAACCGTTGTACTTACATTTGGCAACTAAAAGTTTGAACTTGCGTCAAACATATTTTGCTGCATAAATTATAAGATTGTTTTTCAAAACTAGTGTTCTGATTTTGTATCTCTAAGATCTATTTCAGAGTTGTGTTTTAATTGATTTACCCAAAGTAAATCCTTCAGTCATAGCATGAATCGCTCTTTCGTCGAGAACCGCATTGGGAGTAATGTTTAAAGCCGCCATTGTGGGTTCTCCATCATAATAACCTTCATGCATAACTTTTAAAATTTCTCGAAAATCCTCTTGTTTGGCCCTTACGATTATGTATGGAGATATGCCTTTCAAATCCTAGAAATAAGTTAGTGTGAATCTTTGTTTAAATGCACTAGAGGCTATAAATGAAAATGTCGTACTACAAAGCAGAGAATTTTGAAATTTGTCTCTCCGCAGTTATGTAATAGTTTCTCAGTGTGTTGCAAACCTCCTTAGATCGAAACAGTTAATATAGGCCCTATATTTTTTAAAACAACCTTGTAAACAAGAGAGACATATCAAACATAGAAGAACCCGTGTCCAGATATGAGTCTGCACTAAGAGTTGAAATCGAAAAAACTTTTTTTTCTTCAATCGTAATAATGGAAAGGGAAAACTGTTGACGGGCTCAACAAAGGTCCTACAGGGTGATTTAAAATTGGCGTCATTCCTCTGGAGGTGTTATCCAATTAGCAGAAGGAAAAATGAACTTGATAGAAATTAAATCTTTTGTCAAATTTTCAATAAAAGCATGTTTGAAAATTATTATTTCAAAAACTAGAGCGGCAAGTTTTGTCTCGCTATATTTCTTAATCTGGTCAATTGTAAACGTAATATAGTAACTAAAATATAATTAAATCGACAAACAAAGCACTTCAGGTGTTAAACCAACGTCTTGGCAATATAGTTTCTTGTCCCATCTGTAAACCATTCAAGCTTACTCGAATAAATGTTAAACACTTACCTGTTTTTTTGTGAATATCGAGAAGCTCTTCAATGATCCAATATTTGCGATCTGTGGGGTAGAACTTTGAAGAATTTTGAAAATGGTTTGACCGAAAATGAGTGACATGTTAAAGTTTTGACTGAAAATTTATTTTTCTGTGACATGATAAATAACCGGTATAATCACTTGTCGCACCTTTAAATTCTGTAAAATACTGAAAACGTCACCATGCTATATTGAAAAATAATCGTTTTTGCGTTATAGGAACATACATTGTTGACCTTAGGAAGATGCTAATCCATTGCAAAAAACTCTGTAGTAAAGTAGTGAACTTGTACTGCATGGGAAAGTGGTAGTGAACATAAATTGTACTAAAAAAAAATTATTGAAAATAATTGCGTGTATTTCTTATTCAAAATTACTATTAAAAATCCCTTGCCATAGTTGCCTCTGCTTGATGATAAATTATTTTGAACCATACAAAACATAAAAATTAAGCCGGGACTCGTTATAAACATAATCATATTTTTATCCAAATTTCAATAATTTATTAAAAGGCTAAATTATAAAGACAGGAAAAAGTATTTTCACTAATTTTTCTTCTTTTTAGGTTTAATCATATTTAGAGGGTCTTTGTTGTAGCGCGAGAAAATCTCCTTCTTGAATTGATCAAATTGCCTTCGATTCAAGTTGTTTTGGTGTTCCCTCCAAGGGGGGCGTGTCTTTTTCACTTGTAAGCCCCAATGGCAGGTAAATATTGGGGATAAGACCAAAAATTCGTAGCCAGCCACAAACATTTCGTATACCTAAAATATGCGATTAATATAGGATTGCTTTCCTTACTTTTAACTTAACTAGTTTTGCCGTAAAATTTTAAGCAGTGTGCGAGTGCATACTTTAGGAACATATTTTTTTAGTATGTAGCTGTTTAAAATTAAAAATTAGTCATCTAACTAAATAGTTGTAAGCTAATAATAGATAACAATTTAAATGAATTAAATCAATCAATTACCAAAAACACAACTCCAAGATGATAAATTGTTTCCATTATGTTAAGATCCAAATGAAAAATTTGCGGACCATATAAAAATAAAAACTATTAAAAAAATCCGTACCTGACTATTCCTGGTATAACCATATCCAATAAATCGTTCATCATGTGGCGGAACCGTATCATTAGCTATGTAAAACGGCTCGTAGAGAAACTCAAAATTTGTCACAGTGTGACTTATTCGAATGTTCATATCTGGATCTTGAAAGCGTTCCCATCTAAAATAGTAGAATACGTAAAATTTCCTGTAGGCGCAATTTTGAGATGCATTTTCCAAGTCACGATAAATAGATATGAAATAATATCAATATATAAAGGGAATATTACCTACTGAAATTCGTGGCATATTGATTGTAAATAAATACTTTGTGATGAAAAGGTCGAGCTAATCCCTTATTGGCCAACCGCACTAAATCAGTCTTATCCGGTGGGAAAGCAACCCGTTCGTATAATTCGTACGTTGGCACAACATAGGCACATTTACCCTGACATTTTTGCGTCCCTGAAATAGAAAACAGATTTTTTTTAATTTTCAGAACAAAAATGTATATTTTTTCGTAATTAAAAGCTACTTTTTAAACTTTACCTAAAAAAATGTTCAAGCTCTCTGCCATGCCCTTGCTGGGAATGATATCGACATCAATGAGAAACGTGTATTCACTACGGCAATTTTTGCGAGCCAAGTTTCTTAGAACATTTTGTGGGTACGGAATCTTAAATCGCCATGGGCTTATCCCCTAAAATATACACAGTTAAAAATGCTGTGTTATAAACATATTGGCAAATCGTGGATCTTGGTACGTGCGAGTTAAATTCGGAACTACATGTAAAGCCTTTCATTGAACAATAGAAAATATAAATACATAAGCCGGCGTTTTCATTGAATTTGTAATTATCTAAAAACTCAATTATCTAGTCTAACTAATCTTTCACCAATCAAAATATTCACAAATGTCCACATTTTGGCGATGCCTATAATAACATAAAAAAATGAACCGTGGACTTTTAGGGATTGTTCTCAGCAACAATAGTGGGCATATTAGTATGAAAACCATCTCAGACATTGTCTGCATAAGGCGCTGAAGCTTTATGACGAGTTAAAACCGTTATTTGCAAAAATGTGTTTTTTCTGTGTTAATGCATGTTATTTAATAGTTTTTGCCATTATACACCAAATTTATTAAATTATTAGCACTAAACTAGCCGATATTTGTTTTCACGGTTTTATTTTCACTTAGACAAGCCTGATTCCAGAAGTTTTAAAAATTACTTTTGTACATTTTGGCCCAGTTGTACAATGGAAACTTAAGTTTGATTCAACTGAATTCATATACATTCAATACAACTGAACTTGAACTCGAAGTAGAAACTAAATGTATCAACGTTGCACGAATTTCGTACCAGTTCAAGATCAATTGAAATTTGAACCTGTATTTAACTTTCTGAACTGAAATGGAACTACTTTCGTGTAAAGTGTAAGTCTATATTTTACACAAAAAAATATTTATAAACTTTTTGTTATAATTGCCACAGAAAAGTTAACATTTTAAGTTGCGACAAAAAATTTCCTATTAGCAATATTTTATAGAAGCCTTCTAGTCCTTTGCCATGACGGTTATGCAGCAAAACATTTTAATTAAAATATTTTCAATAAACTTTAGACAATTTTTCTATCTGGCAGTGGCTTTTTCTTACATGAAGAGCAAAAAAAAACGTACAAGCCAACGACTAAATTGTTAAAATTCTTGCCATAACAGAAACGTTCGAAACTTTTGTGTTTTTTATTGGAAGTCAACTGCTTCTATTGAGAAAGCGACATAAAGCTAAAAAAGTGAAATTTCAAGCTCATCTACCATTGCTGTGAGGCCCAAATGAAAAAAATAAATTTTGATATATTAAATTCCTATTTTGTACACTTTCTAAATACCCCCAAAACACGCAGATCTTCAGAGGAGTGACGAGAATTTTGAATTACCCTCTATCTAAGTCAAATTACGGGCGGATATCTCAAAAATTATTTCTGGCTGTAGACATAATTAGAGAACTTAAATAAGCAGAGAAAGCATGTATAAAGCAAAATTGTGTTGGGTGGCGACTTGAAAGCGGAAAATTTCTAAGTCTAATATAGTCTAATACGCAAAATGAAATGAAATAAAATTGCAAAACCAAGTGTACAAAGTGTGCCTAAAAACTTTATTACCTTCAGAAAAAAATTCAATGAGCTTTTTATATAAATGTGTGCGTCACTTACACCCTTATTTACTTCCTTCAATAGGCTTTTTAAGACTCCTATAGGGTCGTCGCACCCCATTTTGCTAATTCTTTCGTCATCTATTAAAATCTTTTTTGGCCCTTTGTCTTTTAAGATTGCCAAGTGAAAGGAAACTCTTTCCTTAATTCTCACATTGCACTTTCTTAAATATATTATGTACATTAAAAGACCGTTCAATTCCTTTTCTGATCCGGCGAAAATAGCCAGTGAGATGGGTCCACCTAAAAGATCGATAATATAATCTAGCATCCTAATACAGAAACCGTCTTTTAATATTCTGATTGCTAAAATAACAACCTATTGTCCTATTTACCCCAGTGTAGGCTGCTTTCAATAATCGAGGCAATTTTATCCAAGGAACTTTGTGTAGCCAAACTTGTTTTATACAATCCGGTGAGATGTACAAACTTGTCACCAACAATTACATTATCAAAAAGAAGGTATCGCATTCTATCGTCTGACCTTCCTAGGGCCAAATCCAGTTTTAAATTATATTTTACAGTCAGTGGTCGATTATCATTCTCAATATCTCTATTATCAGGCAGGGACTTGCTGGTTGAACTTTTTGAAATTTCTGGTTGACTTCCATAACTTTCGAGTACTTCTAAAAGAAACCCTAAGTTATATTGCTCGTAAATACAAATAAAGGGTGTTCCAATAAGAACTGTGGATTTAAATTTTAAATAAAACATATATATTTGCTTCATAAGATTGAAACATTTATTGAAAAATGAAGTACACATCATGAGGTTATGAATGGAATAAGACATCGGACAAAGACCGCCTCTGCTTTGCTTGCTTTTCATAAAATTTTCAAGGACTGTTGCGCATAAATGCAGCATTGAATTTAATATTTTAAGGCTTCACTCGTTGTTGGTTTGTTCTCATAAACTTGTGACTAAAAAAACCGCAAAGAAAACAGCCTAAATAAGTTAAATCGCATGATCTGGGAGGCCAATGCCGATCTCCAAGACGAGAAATAACACGACTAGGAAACGAAAACAGAATAAGTTTTCATATTTTTTGGCATTGTTTTATGATAATATAATAGTGTTGAGGGCCATCCATCCTCTTTTTCTCTCGATAGTTCCTCGATTCTGTCGATACTATCCAGTATCATTTGAGTCATTTAATGGACATGCAAGAACATTTTGTACATTTGAACAAATTGTTCAATAATACAACAAATTTAAGCTGTTTACCTAAAAGTTAAGTATTTTGCTAAATGCCGAAGGAGGCAAAAATACGTCTTGAAACGCTCAGTCAAAATCGGAAGACTTCTGTCTACAATACATTCTACATCATTTCCGACATGCATAAACGCTTTAGAGGTAACTTTTTAAAATAACAGCCAAGAGGTGTAAAAATACTCTCCACTGCGAGTTCCGAAAAAAGGCCAATCGTAAAAATCAACCCTAAACCATCGTGTAAAATAAAACTTTCCCTCTGAGTATTAAGTATTTATATACTTCTAGCTAGAACTAAAATGTTCTAATGAACTTTCTAATGAACTAAAGGAAGACATAGCAATTACAAAATTAGCTAAAAATTACATTGTATTCTGTTAAAAAGTATTAAAATGTATGGCTTAAGAGCATGTATGTATCTGTATGTATGTAAATACTCACTATCACTACATCCTATTGCAGGTGGTTCAGCTTTTATGGGTTCAAAGAGAACCTCTGGTTGATTTTTATCGCAAGATGAGGCGTACATCAATTTTATAGTGAGGAATATGTTGTACATGGTTAGGAACAAGAGAATAAATATGCTCAATTTCCAGAAACGCCATTTGCTCTAAAAGAAATAAAGCTTTTATTAGTATCATGTAACATGAACTATAACTAATGAATGAATGAATTATTTAGGCAAATGCAATTCCGATTACACGCACCCTTAAAATTCAAACACGATTAGATTGACTAATAGTTGTTAGAGTCCTGTTAGAAGCCTAATTTCATATGAAGTAATTGTAGGGAATACTAGTAAAACATGGATTTATAAATCAAAGGAAAAGGTAATGTCGATCACGAATTTGTTCGATTACTATAGCACAGGCCGATAAAGTTACTAGTTCAATTTTAAATGCATTTCACAATTTCTACAATTTTAAATGCATTTCACAATTTCTACAATTTTAATTGGAATTTCGCAAAGTTTTAATAGTATTTTATTCGCGAAGGAAAATTGGAATTTAACCTTAGTATCCACGTACAGAATCATAAAAGAAAATTTTTTTACATGAAATACCTATAACCTGTTTGTTGTCGCCAAACGAGCCCGTATTTTTGCAATATTGCCGATTTAATGAATCAATGAATCAACCAAACATTAATTACATTTAAATCAGCACTTTTAAATTTACTTCATAATTCAATATTTGAGCAGAATATCCACCATTGAGCCAACCACATTTTTTTCTTAATTTAAATATTGCCTACTTCATCTCTTATCATACAGTTACCAAAAATTGGCTAATTAAGCGCAAATCATGCATATTTTACTTTAACCAGCAATATTTTGAAAATAGATCAATAATTTATATATTATATCATAACAACATTTGCCGGTAATTGTACCAGGGAAAACCCACGTTCCAACTTCTTAGAACAACAAATGCTAGAAATTACGCCATGTATTTTAATTTGAAATGGGAATTTTAATGGTTTATCTTTTGCATTCGGGCAATATTTTGCTAAAACATCTTTTGGGTAAAACTTGTTATTTTGACATCTAAATGTGCAATTATATAATTACTAATTTATTGTAATTGGTCTGTAATTTAACTAGAAAATAATAAGCTTTGGAATTCCATAATTAAAATAGAACCTTAACACAATTATTTCATGAGAAAGTTTTATTGGTAATTCTTACGTCGCAATTGCACACCTTGCAATTCTTATTGAAAGTGAAAATTATGTTTAGTCTTCTTCTAGTGGACAAATGGAAGCAGTACTTTGACATACTTTTAAACATGGATCACAAAATGAACAGACTACAACTGAGTATCAAACTGCAGAACCGCCGGTAGAAGAACCCACATAAAAAGAAACTATCAAAGCTATCAAAAAGCTCAAACATGACGAAGCTCAAGGAAAAGACAACATAACAACAGAGCTGCTTGGTTCGTAGGTTCGTAGCGAACTTCATATGTTCGTTATATTTATGAGAAAATAATTTCTGTTACTATATGGAAAAAATTTCAATTACATTTTCTTAATAAATCCAAATACAAAACTGCCTAAAGTAAACATAATCCACATGTTGCTTTTCAAATCAGCACCACCAACGCTTTACTTTCTACCGACTTACCTGACACATTAGTATCTTCAACTGATTGGCCACGTTTAATATTTGATTTCCACTTCCGTCTTGAGTTATCTTTTAGAAATCTTTATTCGATCAAACACTTTTATTTGCAGACACATTTCTATTCAGGAACAATTGTTTGTGGCACTGCAGAAGGTATATGCAATTCAGAATTTTTTCTCCGTTTTATCAAGACAATATTGAAATTTTCTGCCAATTTTGCGCTCTCATCATTTTACTGACACGGTTTCTGAGTTCACCACCACTTCGTTCTCTCTCTGCTTATTTCAGCAGATCCTTAGTGTAGCAAGTTTTACTACGACAACGGTATAAAAATTTCAATCCATACATAAAGATTTAAGTACCTGGAAGATTATTTGCAAGGTTTATAAAAATATATTTTTATGGGTTCAACAAGCTCCTTATTTTAGACCATATAGCAAATTTGAATTTCCAATATAGACCAACAGAATGGATAGGTAGATTGATTATAAAGTTTCAGTGTTGGAAAACAGTATATATTACTGCAAAATGTAAACGTTTTATTTAAAATACCTTTAGCAGATCCGTTTTAAGAAATGGAAATCTGCTCTTCTAAGTTCAATAGGAAACTCACCCGCTTTATGCGACGTATAAGGGAGGGAAAACTCGAGTTTTAGTTTACGCTTGCGTAGAATGCGCATGAGTTACACCAGTATTGATCCTTAATTTAATGAATGAAACTCTCCCGAGAGACTGCGTTACCGGCAGTTTTGAGAATTTATGAATACGATTAAATTAACTAATGTGTTATGGAGTTAATTAAAATATGCATTAGAAGTGTTCTTCCAAATATAGAATAGTATTTACCGAGTTTGCCATTAATATGCTTATATGTCAAATTTAATACAGCATTAACACTATTTGGAAAAACCGCCAATTTCCTTCATTCCCAATATTACACTTTTACAATTTTTGCTACATTTATATAATATTACTTATCAGGATAAATTTTTGTACAAATGTACTTTTAAGTAAGCCATATTTTAAATTAGTTTAAATCATCTTGACCAATTACCATCACGGTCATAAGTAAACCACAACATTCGCTTAAAGGTTATTTGCCAAACTAGTAGTATAGCAAATATTACAAATAAATACACGCAAAACTTGCTTAAACTGGGACAACATATTTATTACAATAGCAATCATGTATTCAAGCATATAAAGTAGTCTGGGAAAAGCAAATGTGAAGTTTTGAAAGAAAGTAAAAGTGGAAACAACTGAACAGCTAACTCTTTAAATCATATTAAAGGCAATACTCATAAGAACGATTAATACCGTGTTTAATTTGATGGAAATAAGCAGACCAACAATAACACAAGAATACGTCAATTTGAAGACACTAAATATCAAGTAATAGTTTGAAGAAGGATCAGTAGTTTTATCGACTTTTTCTATGTGAAAAGAATTACGCTGAACATTACTTTCAGTACTAAAATGTGCTTCTAATATTTTGGCCATACATTTTGTCGTTTCGAAGATACTGTTTTGTTTCTTTGTTTAACTTAGTTTAACTTAGTAATTTTTAGTTGAGTATTTTTGGCCGGAATAACGGAAGTACCCCCACGTTCTCTATTATGAATTAATGACAAACTCGTCTTAATTGGAAAAATAATCTCCTTACTCGAACGCAATATAGAATGGAACAGTGAACGTGGTCACGCAGCGGGAGAAGACGGGGGCAGATGTAAGTTTGTAAATATTTGAGAGTAGGAGCGCTAACCTGGAAGAAGGGGAAGGGAATGAGAAAATAATTTTAGGAAACAGTATGAAAAATGTTTGCAAGAAACTGCATGACTCTAAGGAAATCGAGGCGAAAGATAAGAAAAAATCGCGCTTCCTGAGCATTAAAGCTCAGGTTAGTGACGCCGAAAAAACGATAAAATAATTGAACGGAATTGCTCGAAAATTATAACACCGATGGAGAAATATTGGTCACTAGTTCACAGAATGCATTAAAAAAATATTTTACGACGAAGAATTCTGATCGAGAATCTGTGTTTCTTGGAAATGCGTTCATCAGTTCAGATGCTGGATTTTATTAATCGGATTAGTTAGAGTTCAGCATTACAGCATTTACAAAAACTGGTTTTATTTACACAGAAATAAGAATTAATACCAGGAAGTTAACACATTATATTCGATTTAAGTTAAAAAATCTAGGAAAGAGAAATCGACCTTAAAATGCATTATATTTACTATCGCATTTAAAACAGTGTGTCAAAATATATTGGTATTCGTAATTTAGTAATAATTGCTTCGTGTAAGTTTGACAAATATCTATGTTGTTAAAATTATTTCAAAATTGAACCATCGACAGCTGAAAACTTTTGTACGGTGATAATCGGTTTAAATAGAACGAATTATTTAGTACTTTAACAAAATCTTATATGATTTGAGCAAATAATTGAATAGCTAACTGATAGATATAAAGATTTCTGTTTGTTAATATATCACACTGGCATAGAACTCATTTGGGAGCTATTTATATATGCTTTAAATATTATTTTTTAACATTACTTATTGTACATTATACAATGTGTGCAATACAATGTATCCAAAAACCAACTTCTCTCTCCCGTGCTGTTAATCCAGTATGGCAATATTTATATTATATGTGATTATTAACAATAAATCACATATGAAACAGCTTTTGCATGATCTGCAAGTAGTCCAAAATCATTTCGTGTGACACAGTGAGCAAAACTTTTGAGAGGTTTATGAAAACCTACAAAATTTTTCTACTGACTTAATCATCTATTTTCCATCTAGTTTACTACTAATTTTATTAATTAAATCGAATTTTGAATACATTTTCTGGCTCTAAATCTTGATACCCCAAACCCAAAATATAGAACAGGCATTTCACGGATAGTTCATTATATTTATAAACGTATTAATATGATTTATCACTTTCAAAGCGTTCAGTTAGTTTTTTTTAGTTTTATACAGAACTTAAACTTTTTTATGTTTCTACCGACACTGATTGATCTCTTCCAATACAATTTTTAAGCTATATAAGCTTAAGCGCCATTAAAATTTACTTTTCAATAGTTTAGTTTTAAAAATTATTATTTTATTTATGTTTAGCAGTTATATTATGTTATTTTCAATATCTTAATTTTAATTCAACTGTTTAGTGGTTGTTAGTGTCCCAAAGAAATCAATCATTACGTATTGTTGAACGCATTTACAATTGAATTTTTATGTTAACTTACACACCAAATACAGTACACAATAAATATCGTTTTTGCTATTGGTCAGATGAGCGTCTTTAAAACTTATTTCAAGAATGTCTTTTGACTGTAAGTTGGTTAATTGAATACTTGCTAGTTCATTTGTTGGTTGATTAATATGATGAAGAATCAGTTGATTTCCACATTATATTGAAATAAGCGTTAAATTTTATAATAAAGGCATTTTGCAATAAAATTATTACAGATTCAGAGTTTGTACTTAATTTTTACCTACATTGCACATTTATTGCTGCTAGTATTTCTGTTACTATAATATTTTCTTCAATTTAAAGCGATAATGTGTATTGCAAATAATAATGAACGCTCATATAATTTTTATGAATAGCCTATTATAAGTTCTTAATAAATTTGAATAAACTTGATTCGTCTTATTAATTAATACGCTAATTTGAATTTCTACAATTATTTTCTCCAACGCCAAATTTGGCGTCAAAAAGTAATTAATTAAAATAGAAAATACTGAACTGGCATATTCGTTCAAATGGAAAATCGGATTACATATTTTCAAAACCGCAAAATTGGAATATAATGCGAGACTTTTCCCGATAGGTTTGACCGGCGATTCAATCGTTTGGTAATATTTATTTAACAGTATCTTGCACCGTTAATTATTTCTTTCAGTATTACAAGAAAGCTGTGCAACTCGACTTATTATCTAACTTCAAAAAAAACCGCATCGAATCGCTGATTTTCCCTACCCAACATCATGGTCTCAAACACGAAAAAATAGTTTATAAGAGACCGATTTTTGTAATTACTTCTTTGTAGTAAAAGAAGAACTAGAAGAACAATATCGGTACTAAGTGGAGTTTTTTACACTTATTTTGGTCAATTTTTGACCTCAAAGTGATTTTTGGATATTCGGCTTTATTTAAACAACTGTTAATTACGGTAAGTTACAATCTAAGAGTGAATAATAATTTCCGTCTAACTGACTTATGTTTTACTATGAGCTATTATTGTTAATTGTTAAGGAGTTAATATGTAATAAGTATATTTGAAAAAATTGTATTTTATGCTTTATACAACAGTTTTGGGAGTACACAATTAAGTCGGTTTGCAAAAAACTCTAAAGATAAATACTCATCTCGTTCACAAAATTAATATTAATACACTTATAATTAGTATTCTAAGGAATGTTACACATTCGTAGTACTACTACTGAGACATCCGAGTCGATTAAAGTAGCCCAAAGTTGGTACAAAACTGTGGTAATTGAGAATAGGGAGCAATTAAGAATTGAGCTGATTTGCGCAATGTAAAGATCAGATCAATTGACCGGGCAGTTGTACCGAAAAATAGATCGATCAATTCCAGGAAACGGAATGTTGTTGAGCATTTATAACGCTAAAAGTAGCTCCTTTATTTCGCTTATTATTTTGTTTTTATTCTTTATCTAAATAAATCGATAAATAATTATTGATTACTTCTAGTCAGTTGATTGTGCGACTTAAAACCTTTATCATTCAAATTTGGCTCTTCTGTAATTTCATATTAGGAATACATTTTATTAAATATTAATAATGGTATTGTTAACAAGCCGTTTAAAGTTAAGAAGTAAATATTTTACAGTGGCATTGTAAACCGATCTCAAATATTGCAGTTCGTAATTTAAATGTCCTCCTCTACAGGAAGATGGAAACGTGTTCTAATTATGTGAACATTATTTAAAATCATTTGTTCAACTGAAATTAAAAAATAAATTAATTTATTAGAGAAAATTTGAGATTTCTTCGAATATACCTACCCCGAGAAAGTTACAATTTTTCAACATATGTTCAACATCAAAATCATTCACGTTTTTTCACGTGTTTTCACGAGTTTCACGGATATAAAGCGATAATTCTCAATATAAATTGTTTTTGTAGTTTTTTATTACCTTTTCCACCTTTTAGTTAAATAACTCTAGCAATCGCTATTGATTATTATGATTTGCTTATACTATTTAATATACTTGCATCAAAAGCTAATCAATCTACAGTTGATATCGACTTTTTCATCTAACTGTTCTAGGGTTCACCCTGTAACATTTGCTATATCTTTGGAGTTAAGGGATGGGACACCCTATATACTTTCTGAACGGGAGAGCTCTTGTTTCGCCACTGAGCATTTTTTAACCCATTTTCGTAGAAATGTTTCTTTAGTTTTCGTCTTTCGTATAATTGACTCTCGACATTTCCGAACGACCTTCATCTTTGTATAAATATAAAAAGTATGATATTTAAGGGCAAATCTACTTGAAGGTATCTATATGAAACTGATTTTAAACTGTTGACTCGAATATTTCAGCGATAAATTTCCTACACCAGGACTGGAAATTCGCTATGCTGAAGTATTTCACTTGCGTCACGTTATTGGCGATTGGTGCTTTCGGCACTCCCATCAAAGATGAATTGATGTTCGAAGGACCAGGAGACACAGCAACTGTAGAAAGTACAGTAAGAGAAGCCAGAGCAGCTCCAAACCATATTGGAGATTTACTACAGCCAGGTACCTGAATTATATACAGGATATATGAGATTTGAAGGGGTAGAAATCGGTTTCAGATAAATATATATTTAAAACATCTGTTTTTTATTAATAACTTAAAAACACTTTAGCGACAAATTTGTTAGTAAATGAGTTTATTAAAATAAAAAAGGGGCAATTTTATTCGATTCAAGATCCGACTCAGGAGCGCGCCCAACGAACAAAGCGGCAATTCTTATACAGAAAAAAGTAAATTTGTAATTTTGCATTTTGTCTTTGCGTAATATTCTACAGTTATGCATTCTTTATACAAAATAACAACTGAGTTAAAAAATTACGGGAATGATTTTGAAGATTCTGAGTAAATAATTACATGAAAATAATTGAAATAAAATGTAAAGACCTTGTTTGGATAGGCTTGAACATTAATTGAAAAAAATTAAAACTTTTACAACATATTAACTATTTAAAATCTGGTAATTTGCAGAAAATACATCGGAGTAGGTATCTAATGAAACTTTAAAGCACCAGAGAGAAAGGTCACTCCTTTCTCGATCGTCCGCTGTTAGAAGCTGATTGCTATCTATCGCCGTTAATTAATCGCCGAGAAATTAATTTTCAAAAATTAACATTGCCTATGAAAGTGGTGTATCAAATTATTTGAGCAAATTGAATGCAGAATTCAAAAATTAAGGGACAATAGATAGAGCTTTTAGAAGACACCCTGTATACTTGCAAACAACTTTCTTATACGTAAGTCGCAAAATTATAAAATCACCGTGTTTTTATTTTTTGCCTAATCTCTAAATCTCTAAGCGTTTAGACTTACTGAAGCTTTCATACTAATAGGATGCCCTGTATGCGTGCTGCTAAATCTACTATTTTGTACAAAATATGTTAAGATGAAGCTCCTTGGAATTAGTGCTAATTTTGGTTTTACCAGAGACTAGTAGACTACTAATCTCTGGTTTTACCTAAATGCTACGGATAACCCGCAGTATCTTCTATCCGTATGGCCTAGATTTTTATGTATTGAGAAAATACCCATGTTTGATAAGCAACGGGAATTACCGTATCGTATAAGTAACTTGCACTAAATATTGCATCATTAATTTCAAGCAAACACATTAAATTTAAACATTTCCCTATTAGTATTGATTTAAATAGTGCTATTTTAAAATGTGTGTTCGAAAAATGTGTTAGAAAATGATTAAGGGTAATTCTACATGCTAAAATCATGGTAATTTTTCAGAAAATATTCAGATTTCGAATTTTTGTTTCATGACTTTCTACCATTATTTTGTGATCTAGAATCACCCTTAAAAATTTCCTAACATCCTGTATATCTTCGTACAGGGCAAGCACTATTGCCGAATGGATATAATTTGTACGCTAAACTAGCAGCTATAACAACATTGAGATAATTTAATACTGCTGCTGGGTATTTATGTTTATATATATAATTTATGGCGGGTACGACAACAACGCTAGATAGAAGATTGATGACGTGCGACCATAGTTATAGCCTACGGGGTATAAATTGGTTTTTTGTAAATATTTCTACATAAAGTAGAAGAAAACTATGTGAATTCTAAATCTCGTTTTTGTATGCCTTTCATGTTTGTAAGAATTTTTCTGACGTATTGCATAGTTTATTTCAAAATCATTATTGCAATTCTTTGTATTGTGGTATCTGGGGACTATTTAAATCAAATGTTATCACACTTAAATTATGGTTTATCCCCGTTGGTTCTTGACCTGATTTACATATGCGACAATCATTATAAATGACTTAAATCTAGATATCGCTGTTGACACGGCCAATCCAAATTATTTTTAATATTTTACCGTGTAAATGTAAGTTGGAATTAAACTACTGTAATAATGGGATTAATTTTCCATAAATCAGTAGTGTTTGCTGTGGTTCCAGACTATTCCGGATTACTTTAATGCAATGTAAACATCGTTTGTTTTATCTGGTACGTGGTCGATAAACAATTGTTGGTAGAAGTTTACGTAAATAGGTGGACTTGTCATCGTTGGATGAGAAGTTGAATATAAATAATACGTATATTGTATATAATTCAAAAAATATTTTATATATTTTTATGCAGAGTTAGTAATGATATATTATTTATTAATTATAATATACACTATAATATTACCACAATTATTATGATTAGTTGGTTAAGTCACAGAAGTTTTCAGTTACCGTCCATAATGGAACGATTTCGGTTGTTAATAGAAAATGTTTGGTCGATTATATTGTTGAAGAAATTGATATAATTTAAAAGGGCCAAACAAATATTCAAAAATGAGAACGGCGTAAGAAAAAATAGAAATGTCGCTTATCATGATTAAGTAACTGCTTTCAAACCTGTATATGTTAATATGTTGCACGTTGCAATATATTTTTCCTTCCAAAATTAAATATATGCATAATATTATAAAAATTTTAATACTAGCAATTTTATAGTTATTTCTGCCTGTTGTTAATTTAAGCAAGTATTATGTGCAAAATATTTTACAGAAAAACCGACACAATACCTACTTGAATTTAGGTACCGATATTTTTCTTAATTGAAAATTTCAGTCACAAAGTTGTTCATTACGTCTATGTTATATCAGGTACGTGCAAAGATAAGCAATAATTTGCAATATATTTCTTAGTATGTCATGCCGTTTTCCAATATTTAGAGATTTAAATTTCGATATTATACTTATGCAAAGATTTAAGTAGTTGAGAGGCTGACTTTGCTATTAATTTTTCGTGGTTTTTGGCAATGCAGCACTTTTTTGCAAATGTCAAAAGCGTCTAAAAATATTTAAAAGAAATTGTAAAAACGCGCATCACGCGGGTTTGTGGTTGAACATATGTTTATGTGATTTATAATTTTTAGACTATGATCTTTTAGCGCCGCAATTTTCTATGAAAAATCTTCAATGTTCTTTGATCTGTGTTCAAACTTTCCAACACTTTTAGGTATTAAAGGTTTGACTGGGCAAGAAAAATTATCTTCAAAAAATATCTGTATTTTATTAATGTATTAAATTTAGTTGTTTTGTACTCTAAAATATGATTTACTAAATTAAGCACGAGTCAATTAATTTGATAAAAAAACAAAACCACTTTTATTCACATTTTGTGTTCTTCGGATACCAGCGGGATAATTTCAATTCTATTGGCATCATTCCTGTTTAGTTATTAGTGGAGCTTAGTAGCTCTTGAAAATGAGTAGTGTACTTGATTAATTTGCCAAATGTTATATAATTCAATGGTCATTTGGGAGTTTAATATTATAGATATACATTATGAATGAAACACTGCAAAATTTTGCAGCAATTTTGTATTTGAAAAAATTAGACGTTTGTTAGTTTTTAAATTGTGATCTTGCAAATTTAAAATGTATAAAAAAGTTAAAATTCCGCCAAGTTCACTTTCTTTAGAAAACTCTATATCGGTCAATTCTTCTACTTATCTAATGAATACACACATAGAACCAATGCTTTAGTTATACAAGTGAATTGATTCTAAAGTAATTCTTAAAGCAGTAGCTACTCAATTATATACCATTTATGGTTATATAGAAACAAGCACTAAAATAACCATAAAAAACTTTTTAAATGTTGGCGTTAAAGGAGAACATCTCGATCGCTCAATTAACTTTTGTCAGAACCTTTCTTTTTAACAACGAACTGCGTTATGAGAACCAAAAATTAATTATTTTAATCTATGAAAACTGATGTTGTAAAACGAGGTTATGAAGTGAAGTTGAATGATAAATATGTATACAAATAGGTAAAGCTCATATGCATATCAGTTATTCATAGCATTGTTCTGGTAACAATTTTTAAATAAATTAAATAAAAAACAAGTATAAATTATTTCTTTTGTTTATTGGCCTTTCTTGAATTGCCCCAAAGCAACATAAACTTACGTAAGAATCATGACAGAAAATCATAGCAGCTGCGAATAAGAAACAATGTTATCAAATTAGCTACTAATGTTTTTTCATGTATCTTTAAAATGATTTGGTTTTGGTATTCCTCAGACAACTTTTGTACACCTCCAAAGGAATAGCCAGTCATTTTTAAGTCCCTCTATATACATATATGTATGTAGTTATTTGTTGAACAAGTATTCGAGATCAAGAGAAATATTCATAAAATTGTTCAACTGTCTTCTATAATAATGTTGATGTACTTGTTCTACCAAGTCACACTCAAAATAATTATAATTGCTTTCTATTAACATGCGAATGGTTTCAGCCGTTTACTAACCACTCCATACTCGATCGAACTAAGACCATAATCACTATGGCAGTAATAAATAATACATTGTTACATCCGAAGATACATGCATCTATCATGCAGATGATTTGACCTATTGAGTGTAACGCCAAAGAAAATAAACTTGATTCATTGCTATAAATTATAGTATATATATATAGTTTTTATGATCGCAATTTAAAAACTAACCACAAGTGTATTGTTGACATGATTGCAATATGTTCGTCAAAGCAAATATCTTCCGGGATGCGTACTTGATGTGCGTCTTTTTATTAATTATTAAGAATTTGTAAACACGGACTATTCCGGTTAAAGATTCAAGTGTATTAATTTTAGATATTACTAGTGTCTAATCATAAAAATAGTCTGCCAATTAAACAACAGCTTTCAACTATTGTTTAATTGGACGAATTAAATTAAAACGCCCTTTCCGTGTTTTGGGTGTAATTTCCTGGATCCAATAAGTTCGATTTGAATGGAATTCGTGCGAAATAATGTTTGAATAGCTTTTAACTTCAATGTTCGTATCATTAAAGGTGTCAATACGGTATGTACTTAAGAAGATTATTACATGAATTTTATGGAAACGAAAAAAAAAAAACATTTAGTTATTATCTTAAAATTCCAAAATTAAAATCAAATCCTGGGTTCTTCAGTCATTTATTGTTCATTTATCAATTTAAAAAAACGTTTCGGTGTTTTCCACCATCATCAGTTTTACTAAAATAACAGGTAGTAAGAAAAAAAAAATTTTAAATGTTCTCATTAATCTAAAAAACAATAACAGTTTGTCAATAGCTGTGATATAACAAGCTATTGACAAACTCTTATTGTTTTTTAGATTAATGAGAACATTTAAAATTTTTTTTTTCTTACTACCTGTTATTTTAGTAAAACTGATGATGGTGGAAAACACCGAAACGTTTTTTTAAATTGATAAATGAACAATAAATGACTGAAGAACCCAGGATTTGATTTTAATTTTGGAATTGAAACACAGTCAGGAAAGTACATACAATTATCTTAAAAGCAAAGTCAAAAGAGGAAAATGCAAATTCTCGCTATGGTAGACCTACAAAAGCGACCAAGAAAATAATTAAACCACCGAATTAGAAACAAATAATTAGATTGATGGGGTCTCAAGGAGTAAATGGCGATGTACAAATTCCAGGTTATCTGCAGTTTGTCGCAACTAACCCAAGGCCACTTTCATACTTAAATAAGCTAAAGTTGCCGCAAGTTTATACATAATATAGAATACAAAAAATGGGGGAATAAAACTCTTTTTAAATGAGAAAATAAAAATACGAAAATGCTGTTCCTTTTTCAAATGAAAACCACCACAAAATGACCACACCACTTATGAGCGTCCCTGTATAGTTGGGTTGCAAAATATAAAACGTATGTACCCATCTAAGTTGTTGAGGCATTGTTTAAATTTCCTTCTTATTTAAGGAATAATATCAAGTTGTCGCTTAGCTCAATTACACTTTATTAAGAAAAATAGATATATTTTTTCTTAGAAGCGAATGAAGGAATTTTAAAAGTTTGTGGCAATATTACCGTTATCAGTTGATTCTTGTGAGATATTTCTTCAATTTGGAAAATATTTACGAAATGGAGAAATAGACTCTCCTTTTCAAACACCTTCATAGTGATTTAAGAAGAAATAAACAGAAAAATTGGTTTCGTGACTGACATGCTGTAGATAATTTTTTTGATGACATCAACTCTTTTCATCAAAACTAAGTTTTGTTTGTCTAAGAAAAAATTAAAAAAATGTTTTTTCATAATCTTTGAAACTCTATCTCCATAATTGTGAAGTTGAGAAACTAAAAGTTTCAATTAAAATATTAAAACTGTATTTACAATCAATAGAACAAAATTTTGAAAGAATCAGATAATATTTTATTACCGCATTGCTTGATACAAATTGGGCAAGAATTTCGCTATTAATATGCCCAATATTTGTTGCAACATTAGTCATAAACACCTATAATTTTGGTGTTCAATAAACGTAATATCGATTATTCGGAAAATCGGCAAATATTCGAGAGTTATTTATTTCACCAGGTGTTAAAGACGCTTTCCTATACGTGTATGGTGATGCAGAAAATGACGATGGAGATGTGCATGGTTATTCCAAGCGAATGAATGACAAAGGACAGGACGGTTATAAGCATCTCGACAGCTTCCACAAAAGGGACGGTGACAAATATGGCTATGAAAAGCATTCAGAGTATGGACAGGAACACAAGTCAAAGATAGACAATGAAAATGAGAAGGGTATCAAACAAGCCCAGAAAGAAGGTATGAAGCTTACTTTTTAATTTTCTGTTCATTGCGAAATATGCCGTGGGCAACAATGCAAAATGTAACTTTTACTTCACAGGTTTTCAGAAAATTTTCGGTTTCACTTGAAAATAAACTTTTAAATATATGTATAATACTTTTATGTAACTCTCAAATTCACTTTGCAATATTCTATATCTGATCAAGTCAAAAATCTTAAACTTGAAAAATCCACAATACAACAGCGCATTAGATGTTCTCCAATGTATTTTACCAAAAATATTTTAAATTGGTCATGGAATATTTAACAGAAGCAATTGGTTTTATTCATTGTAATTTCTAATACGTTTAGACCACCATCAAAATGAAATCAGAAAATTCTGTCATAATTCGCCATTATCTAATTATCTGGGGCTTATGCAGGAACGTTTGACACAAAATTTGCCATTTTTGACAAACGAAAATATATAAAAATTTTAAACACTGGAATTCTTTAAGATAACATTAGCAACCCAGTGCGCTTCCTTAACATAGGTTTACGATTTACAAGAAAACTAACTTCAAGCTTTTGTAGAATTATGCTCTTTTCCCTAATTTTGCCGGTGTGTGATAATTCTATCATAGCTTTAGCTCGTGCCAATCCTCAAATGAGTTATGAATAAATCAATTAACTGCAAGTAAAGACAAAATTTGATGTCTGGCTCGTTATAAAATTAAGATGTTCAGACTAAAATTTTTGTACACGTTGCGAGGAGGTAATGAGTTGAAATGCTTCGAATATTGCCAGAGGAGAGTTTGTCAATGATAAAACTTTTTAAATAAAATATGTGTTTGCATATTAAGGTACGTTCATTATCAATGAACTAGTGTCTTCTCACAACTTCAGAAACTGGTTTATGGAAAAAAAAGTTATTGTGTGCTGCGGAGTCTAAAGATGACAAAATAATTGGTCCGTTTTTCCCTTTTCTTCAACAATCTTTGTTTCTGGTCAGCAACAATACGCTAGAGTTGCATGGAGGTCTTTTTGGACCAAGTCTTGAGTTTTTTCAACTTTCGGAGGGATTTCAGCCATTCACATAAAATTTTACCAAAATCGTAAATATTGTTAACCAGTTTTGTTTACTGTTGCTCTTTAGTGGAAATATGCACTGCACTGAAACTGCACGTGTTGTAATATTTCTGGACCGCCAGGAGATTTTTCCATTTTGAAATTTTATTTCGGTGTTCAAACAATTTCTCCAGATAGTGCCTACAGAGATTAATTTTGGTTTGTTTGTCTATAATGATTCCTCCAGCTCAGTTTGATAGGTTTGCTCGCTGTCCAATTCTGCATCTTCCATTATATTTTGTACGTCTTCGTCTTCCATTTCTTCACATTTCTCCCCCAATTCTTTTACTTTGGCCTTTCTGATTCAGTTTCTGATAATAATCTTCAATCTTCCGTATTTCTTCGGGTCTTAGATCTTCATTTTTCCTGTATCATGTTCAATATCTAGTGGTTCGTTTATGATTCTTTATCGCCCGGTCTGCCTGCATTTGCAAATATATTTTTGTTGTTGTTTGTATAATTGTCCGAATATGTCTAATTTCTTCATGTTTTTCTTCTACACTAGGTACTTTAAAATCTGAGCAATTGCTTATTATCGAAGATCTGTCTGTTAACGTGGGACAAAAATATTCTTCCAACTAGCCATACATATATTAAGCCATTATAGTCTTTTCCAGATGGATCGGGGGCTCTTTCGCTCTCCTGATATTTGGCAAATATATTTCTGGGTTAAAAAACGATACATTTATCCTGGTACGCGTTGGTGGAAAACTCTGTATTAAATTTTAAATTTCTGTAAAAAAATCAAAATATTTGCCACAAACGGGATTAAAAATCACCTATCTATCTTTCAAAATAACAAAGTTATTGAAGGTCTAAAATGACGGTCCTTTAGAATTAATAACTCGGCATACTAACGATCGTTTGAAAACTAAATTTAAGACTTATCTACAAGTTGGAACTAACCAACGCTTTTATTTGAGAATATCCTATAAATGTGTGGTCGATTATTTAAAATCTGAGAATTATTTCATTTCAGTGCAACTGTATTTAAACAGAGAAAAATTTAAATAAAAATTCTTTGAAGTTTCTCAACAAATTTTTGGTTCGGAGTATTTTTAACAACTGCTAAACCGATTTCAAAAAATAGCAATGAATAGCCTTATTTCTTTTGAATTTTCTATCAAAACTAGCACCCAAACGTTATTTTGTACGTTGCATTCTTATATGTATGTACGACCTAAGTAGTATCTAGCTACTTCTAAAGTCAGGCCTAAGTTTAAGAAAATAATCTATGCCGTTTCTAAGTTAGCAGTGGTTGAGGGAATTATTAGCGCCTGCAGCGTATATTAATAATATTGAAGTTATTATTAAAAGTGATGGTTTTAACTTGGTTTCAGCTGGTGGAGGAGATGGAAATGGTGAGGAGTCTAAAAGCTTTTACTCAATCTTTGGCGAATCTGATAAGTGAGTAATTTTTTGTACTAACTATGACGATAATGAGCAAATGTAACATTCTATGCTATGGTCCACCAAAAGTATTTTTTTGTTAAACTACATCAGAATTTCAAAACTCAACTACTAGTTCCAATATGTCTGCAAGTTTATTTTGCTATTTAATGAATCTTGTTAGTTATGCAATTTTGCATACAATAAGATTTGAAAATGTTTCCATAGGTTTTTCTGAGCACAAACAAGGTGGCTTCGAAAGACCAATATGTTCGGGGAATTCCGATTACCGGGTACTCTGATTGAATTAAATAATACAGTAGTTATAAAATTGTTACTATTTTGGATCTGCTTACAAATTATTTTCTAGAATTTTCCTATTCTTATGAAAAATTACACTTCACTTTCATAACAATTTTTAATTACTTATTCTTCCGCTTCCTCATAAATTTTCCAGTGGATTTTGAACGGCATGTGACGAATTTACATCATCTGGCCCATTAGCTCAGTTGGTTAGAGCGTCGTGCTAATAACGCGAAGGTCGCGGGTTCGATCCCCTCATGGGCCAAAAAGTTTTTTTTTAAATTTTACCATTAGCAAAGTAAACTGATAAACATCGGGACAATGAAGCCAAAATTAAAATGAATAAACGTGATAAGAGGCCATAAAAGATAAGCACATTATTTTATTTAATTATAACAAAGCGAAAACTTGCGTGATGTAGGCACAGGATGAATTATTGAAAAATTCTACACACAAACAAGTTATTTTACAATTTTCAATCCAGTCATCCACAAAACGTTAAAAAGACATAATTATGTACGTCAAAGGCGCCGAGAAAAAATTTTAAAGTGCCGATCGTTACAGGTTTACAATATTAAAAAAACACTTCATTTAGGGAATAAATTAAATGTTGAGGCAATTTTTTTTTATTGTCCTATTTTGAATTAAGCATACCTAAGTATATTGCAATTTGCCCATAGGCAAAGAAGAAAGTCTACAAACTATTATTATAATTTTTGTATACATAGATGGAGAAAATTAATTTAATTACATAGTTTACAAGTAGTGTGTGGTTCGTCTGTGCAAAAACTCACCAATAGCAAAACCTAAAAAATTGTTTCTTTACGTTCCAAACAAGAGAAAGTGAGAGATAATTGTCTAAAGCTCGCAAAAAAAATCGTAATGAAAAATGGTAAAAAGTAACTAAAAAAACGAAAGACCGCGGCTCTTGAAGAATGTGATAATAATTTAGAAGAAAGTAGTATGGTTACGAAACATTGGATAACCGCAAAACCAAAATGGTATCAGTGTTATAAATAGCTTGTGGAAATTAAATTATACTCGTTATGTTGCATCTCGGATGAGGAAGTTGATCAGATTGAATACGAAAAACTCTAACAACATACATTTTTATGTTTTTTAATAAAACTTAACTCTATACACAATATTTTCGTAACGATTCCCTTAAATACCTTCATTTATGGACACTTTTTGTCTTAAAATAATGCCAACAAGCACGTCTTAAACTTTATCAAAGGTATTGTATGAAATATTCCGACTGACTCTCCCAGTATACAAAATTTTTAATTTGTCTACATTGGATTTTTCAAGCTAGCAACCTTAGATCAGAACTGGGACGAAAAATTAAGTATTTTGCAGGATATTAATAAATTAAAACTAAATTAATAGATTTTAATTAATAAGATAATTAATAATAAGATTAAAATTAATAGATTTAAACAAAATGTACTAATTTAATGATGACATAATAATGACTTGACCTGACCTCAGTGTGCTGGATGCGTATTTAAAACTCTTAACGCGATGTACTTACCATGCAATTTGCTTACTGCATTTATAGTCATATGGTTATTGCACTTCGCTTTCTTGATACGAATTCTTGGAAAACTGATATTTTGCCCTAACACGATCAGTCATGAAAATACCAAACTGAACTGCGTAGAGTGCCCTGTCTCTTATCAAAGAAACGGTCATCTTTCCGCCATAGAAAGCAATAAATAATAATAAGTGCCCACAAATAACTAAATATTTTGCTCAATCTTACCTGTAGTAATAACAATTTACCATCAATTTTCAAAAGTGCTGTTTTAAGTAAAACAAAAATGTCAACAGTCTGGCTTCAGCCCCAAAATATTCGGAATGATATGTTAAAAGGTAACCAAATTAAACAGTTTTTAAATTGGTTCCACCAAATTTGGAATGTGAGAGCTGGACTTCAAAAAGTAGAGCTCCGTGTTCCGAATACGACTTCCTGAGGAGGAAGTTTCGGTTAGAGCAACCGACAAAATGAGCAATTTAAAGAATCCATATTATGCTAAACCAATACATTTTTATCCTAATTTAAGGTGTTCGTTGCGTTGTTCAGACATTTTTTATTGGTTTGTCCAAATTTTTTTCTATCGTGCTGTATGTATTTTTTTTCTAGTGTCAATTCCTTTGTTTTTTTGTTCACTTTGTATCACCACGTAAATCCTCTATAAGAGCGTGTATGTGTTATGTGCTATGCTGACCTAATATTTAAACATTTTTTGTCATTATTTATTGGAAATACAAACTATTAAATCGCAGCTGCCTTTCGCAGGCTTTAAAAGACTGAAGAATGAAATCTGCTCAAAAAAAAACTAAGCTCAAATTTTCTTCGTTTTAAATGTATGTACATTAACTTCAGCTATAATTTATATTTTATTTTACTTTTCGGATACGATGATTATGTTTTTGTAATTTAAAAATATTAGAGATTTTATCTGATTACAGAGACGATAAGAAACAGGCCAAAAAGAATGTAGAAGCAGAATTCAACTACTATGGTGGAAACGGAGACAGTGGAAGCAGCTCCTACGGTGGAAGCTCTGAAAAAGCTGAGAAGGATGGAGAAGGTTCAGAATCATCGATAGGTTTGTTTTGTTGAATAATATAAAGCTTTAACTTTAGTATCTTAATCTCATTGATTCTGAAATTTTCGAGGCCAGCTTTTGTCTAATCAGATCTTGAAAACAATTTTGATTAATCACATTACCAGACATTTTTATGACTATTACTGAACTTTACGCCTCCGCGTTCTTGGTCAAGCCCTATTTTATATAAACATTTTATATTTATATATAAATATTGTATATTTAATATTCCTTCAAAATAATGTCGTGCCAATGTTAACCAACTTGTATCGTGATCCAACAAACCCACAAGTTCCAGCGAATATGATGTGGTTTTAGCAAAGATGAAGCACCGCCCGATTGCTATTGGCTATTAGCTATTAAAAAAATATTTATTAATTTATTTATCCATCTAAATTTAAAGTAGCAAAATTGTTATACCCATTCTTACTCGACACAACTTGAATAAAACGCTTTGGTTGAAAAAAACCGTGCAACTTAAAATGCCAATAAAATATCAAAATATGTATTTCTTTCATTTATCTATTATGGAATTTATTCATAGTCTCTGGTTAACTCAAACAATTTTTCCGTGCTATTATAGAATCCATGATGCATTTTCTGAATTTTTGTTGTTTGGACAGTTGATTAAAATCACATTAGATCAGTCAATAGACTTACTCATTCTATCCTTTGAATTGATGCCCTCAAGTGGCCTACAAATATTTTTAAAATCTCCTTTATCTATACGTGCTGATAGTATGAATGGCACAAGTAGGTAAATATATATTTCTTCATCGCACAGGGAATGTACCGCATTGTTCTACCACAACTAACACTCAAACTGCGCAACGTTTTGCGTTTGGTTATTATAGTTGCTCAAAATATTTTCTAGATTTAATAAACTGCTCGTCATTGAAATGTTGAAGATGACATTCTATTACTGAAATATTCATACTATGGGATTTTAGGTGATGATGGTGAAGGAGAATCATATGAAGAATCGGAGGAAAGTGGAGAGGGAGGCGAAGAAGGCAACGACGAGGAAGAATATTAAATCTTAAGCTATAAAACATTATGAAACCAAATATGCTCTACAATCTTTAGTGTTCAGCTTCCTTCATTTATCTCCAGCTAGTTTTTAGCCCACTGTATTCCTACTACCTACCTGAAAGTAATTATAATTTTCTTAGCCTCTGTACTTTCCATTACTGAAACTTTATGTTTACTATTTCTCTCTGATCTCTATTTATTTCTACTTCTCATCTATGCCTGGAAATTAATGATAGTCTTTTAGAAGTACCTGGTGCCTTAACTTATTTATTTATTTACATCTTTTTTCATTTTTCTATGATATGTTCCAGTTGTTGTTACCTTTCGATATCTATTTGCTAATTTTCCACTTTTTATACTCTTGTTATATACAACTTGTTAAACGGTAATATAGGGTGGTTTACAACACACGTACGACTTTTATTTCATCAATTTTACTTAGATACATTTACGTATTTACTTGTTGAGTTATTTGCTTAATTATATTTATCAAATGTTGTTTATTGCACATGGAGTAATAATTCTCGGAACGCGGAAACAAACGAAATCACATCTACAATTTTTGTTAGCTTAATCAGCTTTGCTCAACGGGAATTTATTGACCTTTCCAGATGTCATCAAATAAAAATAAAGTTTTATTTAAACTTATCAAAAAAGGAGACAGTGTTTACAACTCCGACTAGAATGTTTTTATGTATTCAGCGCTGTTTTTTTTTAAATCGGACCCGTCAATTTTTTACTTTTTGATCCAATGGTAGAAAGTAAGTAGTTTCGCCACTGTTTTCCATGGCGATAGCATCACTTTTACTCATTACAAATTTTCTTCATCCCGTGTGGAAAGTACAAGACTGCTGGTATAAGTCAGCTGAATGTTTTGACGATATTTTCAAAGTTTTTTTTCAAAACCTTATACTTTTTCCGGCTAGTTTTCACCGAGGATCAAGACAAAAATCCATGAGCTAATTTTTAGAAAGTGGTAATTATTTTGCTTTAATTCTGTGCTCCTACAAAATCATAACTTTTAAAGTAGGTATAGAACTCCAATAAAAGTCGCTGAATTTTGCTGTAAATTTTAAAGTTTTCCTTGTACAAAAAAACCAACCACATTCAGACAGTATTTGGTACAAAATCTTGCCCTTAGAAGGGCGGTTTAACCAGGCCCAAGTCTCTAAATCAACCGGAATACAATGGGACTAGCTGTTATTGGTGGGACATAAACTTCGTGAATATTTGTATTGATTACCGCTAAATGATTAGTGGTTTTTTAATATATTTTTTACACGTTAGTTACACGTATTAACAGAATTGCCCCCTTTAAAAGGTCATACTTCTTCAAAACGCTAATGTAATTCCATGCTAATAGACGAATTAAATAGAACCGTAATGTAGTATAGACGTAATTATATTATCATTCCCAGCAGACAATTGAATGGCTCTTTAAGATAGTGTATATATACTCACATATATAAAAGTTCGGTGATAATTTGTATGTTTTCCGTTATTTACTACAGCACAAGTGAATAATCAAAGATCGTTAAAAGCACGTCCTGTGAGTGAGTGTTGCTCTTAATCTGCAGGAGGCTGCTAAACAGTTTCTAGTGATTTATTAACATAAGTGCTCTTTCTTAGTTCAATTTAGTAATTTGTGTGTTAGTCTGTGATATTTCAATTTGAATAGTTGAAAAGATGGCAGCAGAAACTGAAATAAATGGAGAGGTACGCAACAATCAAATTCATAATTTTATTATCACGGTCACTGACCATTCGTCACCTGTAAATATTGTCACAACTGTCCGTTTATAATGTTAAGATCTACAAATGGAATTTAATAGAGTTATGTAGCAAACAAATTTTAAATCATCCAAACAGAACCTGGAAGTTAATTCAATAAATCACAAGTACTACAAAAATGTACTTTTTAAATTCTACCACAATAAACACTATTATTAGAGTTGAACCAAAAATAGAGCGTGCAAAAGTATGTATCAGTATTAGAATATTTTAAATATTGTTTGCAAAGCAGCTAAACATTTTGCTTCATTGCAACTCAATGCGTTATCTCATTTAAGGCCAATGGTCAAATAGAAATTTACAATAATAAATTGGAAAGAACTCATTTGATTGAATTAATTTTTAACATACCTACGGTCTATAGCTTTAAAGTAAGATCCAAATAAGTGGTAACAACCTCCTCTATGGTTTTGCTAAATGGCCTGCTTCAATGTAGATGAATAAAATTGACATGAATAACATACTTTTATGGTTAATAAATTGAAGAACAAGCTGAGTGTCTAAAGGTGGAATTTCGTAAAGAAATAAAATAAAATGGTGGAAATGGTAAAAAAAGTGCGTGTATTTCAAAATTTCTACTACAGGTACTCGATTGTTTGATCAATCTTGGTTTGTTAAAACTGTCGAAAATTTCGGATTTCGGAACGACTCTTTAGTAAAGTATAATTTTTTGAATTATACATGAAAGGCAAGTAAGCATTTGGTACTCCTCAACTATAAAACGTATATTAATAAAATTCTATAACTGTGCAACAATAATAGCAGATGAAAAACATAGAAATAATTCTAAACTAGCAGCAAAACTTTTCAAAACACGTCCAAAACGTAATCATAAAAGTCGTTCAATGAACAAAACCATTCCAGTAGCTAGGGTAAAGAAGTCAAATATTCAAATTAATGAGCATGACTTTCGAGAATGAGACAAAATCAAAATTCCAAAATTTTCAAACATTTGGAAACAAAATTCATTCATTTATTAAGTAGACGATTTATTAATTATAATTCCAAGATTTTTTTAAATTTGATTGTGTATAACAGCAATTCTGCTCACAAATAAATGTTATAACTAATGCCCTTTGACTGACCGCGTCTTATTGAATTGAATTAATTCATATAATACATTCTGAATGCGTCTTGAAAATTTTAAGATTCTAATTTCTAAGGCCAAACTACTTTCACATATTCATATTTCGATTATATTGTACAAACAAAATTTTCTTTTTCAATTTTGAAATGTTAACTTTATCTAGTTCAAGGACGGGATGTTTCTAAATTCAATTTTTCAAGTAATTGTTGTTTTTCACTAAATACTTTAGTCTAGCGGAATATTTTTAACGTTAATTATACAAATCCTCATCTAAAGATTATGCATATCGACAAGATGCACAAGCACAAGTGGATTTTCACCTTATGTCAAAAATTCATGAAGGTACTTAATACAATATATTTTTAGAGAAACTATTAAATAAAACAGGAATACATTTTTATTTCAAATTGATTTAAATGAATTTAAATAAATTTTAGAATGAAATTCACAATAGATAACCGGCCATTAATTATGAAATAGATTATTCGGTACAGGAAAAAGGGCTTTACAATTGAGAAGCAAAATTAACAACATTTTCCATAAGGAATACAAAGAATTTTAAAAGTAGTAAAAAATCTAGTTAATTAAATGCCGCTCTTCGCTCCAAAACATTAATTAAATTATAAATAAAAACCTGCGTACTACGAATCTTTCTTTTTTTTCTTATTTCTCAGTATACTTTTTGTTCTACAATCCTTCCACTATTCGTTAAAAATAACATTACTTTTTATTGAGCAGTAGTTATGTACTTAGTTACTGTTTAAGCCAATATTGAATAGCAAATATTAGTTGATTAAATATTTTATTTTACTCATGAACAATGGTACGAAGTGTACTTAAAATGTTGCAAGAGTCAACATTTGTCACAATTTATTATAAAATGTGTGAAACCTGATGTCGGGTATACCCAGTTAATTATAAGAGAAAAATTGCGAAGGTGATAAAAAATAACAACACCTAAGTAAATTAATGTTTAGAACTGTACACGATGTGTACAGACTGTCTACATTAACAGGATCTGAAGAAGCGTGTATAAAATTACTATTAGGTTTTAATAAGGCGGTTGCCACTTAAATTGTCATTTTAAAAAAATATTTAAAAAGGCCTCAAATAAATAGTACCCTAAAATTGGAGGCGATCCTGAATATCCCTTTTCAGGCGCTTGAATATTTTTCTGTAAACGAGGTTTACAAGAGAGGTGTACAAAACAAAATGTTTTCGAACGTAAACCAAGATTCGAATGAAGTTCTAACTATCTTAGAATTGTAAGTGACAAAGTGAAATAAATTATTTTATTTTTTGATAGTTGTCATCGATAATTTGTCAAATTATAATTTTTGTCAGTTCTGTGATCTTACCAAGAGCTTCTTAAGTTCAATTTGGGATGGCGGGTACTCCAAATTTATGTTGTTAAATATGTGACTCCATTTTCTTGCTGTCTTGCGTTTACTTCGTGATGCTTGTAATAAGAGTTGCTTGCATATTTTTGTAATAAAATAATGTACATAAATCTAAGAAAATATTCAAATTTATATTTCGTTGCTAGAAAAGAATTACTATAAGGCATATGCATTCATTGCAATAGAAACATGAACATAACTTTTATTATCTACTTAAAAATGTGTTTACTTGTTTCAGAAGCCTGCAATGAAAACGAAGAACAAGTCCTACTATTACGAGTCAAATGATGATTTAAATACTTATTTTGCAAACAATAGAATTGAAATTCCCGAAGTAGAGAAGGTAAGTTAAGAAACACGTTTTAAATAATAACAGTCAGAATCTCTACTGAGTTAGGGTCACAACGTTAGAACTGTAGAAAAACTTGGTAGTTATTTAGTCTGTTCAAAAAATTAGCTTTGATTTACAGGCCGAAAATTTAACAATAAAACATATACCATCTCAGGGTTAGAAAACTAAGTTCCTTGGTTTTATTGCATCATTCAGATCTTTCCTCCAGCTTCTTCTTGGCCTTCCTCTCTTCCTTTATTTCGGCGGAGTACATTCCAGTACTTTTCTTGGCCATCGATGTTGTCCCATTCGGTTGGTATGTCCGAACCATACTAACTGTTTTATTTCGACCTCATTCATAATATCGTTTTATATGCCGATATTCTGCCTGATAATTTCGTTTCTGATTCTTTCTGTTCTGGATATCCTACAACTTCTTAAATAATCCATCTCTGTAGCCAACATTTTTTTCTATTTGCCCTGCTTACATCCCACACTTTACTACATACACAATCACACTCTGTACGATGCTTTTTTAGTTTATAGATGCACAGCTTGGTGTTTTCCTTATAATTTTCTCCTCTAATATTGAATTTAATACTCCGGTGGCTTTCCTACCTTTATTCATTCTTCCTCTCACTTCATCATTACTATTTCCCTGCTTATTAAAGACGACCCCCCCAATACTTGCACAATTGTACTCCTTTAATCACACCGTTTTCCAGTTCAAGACCCTTACGTTCGTCATGGCCTGAGGCTTAGTATTAACGCTTGCTTCAATTTATTGTAAGTCCTGCTCGCTTATGCTCTTCCTTTAGCTTCCTCGTCATGTAGCTAAGATCTTTTTCGTCCTCAGCTATCACAATCTGGTCATCCACAAAAAAGGCTTAGAGTGTCTGGTCTTCCACTTTCAGACCGATATTTCCTATCCACCCTTGTAGGGATCGGTCTATATTAAGGTATACATGACCTGAATGTTTATTTAAATAAAACAAATGAAATAGGTACTACCATTAACGAAAATTGTAAATTGTTCATTATCCATAGCAGTAGCGTAGCAAACAGAACAACATATTGTCTTAAAAATTATTAGCAGGTTTCGACGATTTCAAGTTCAAGCATGTATCTAACGTATCTGACCTTAATGTGGCAGCCTTGAATGTTTCTGATAATTAAATAATAATAATAACAGTTGAACTATTTGCTGATATTATTTTAAGAACAAAATATTAAATAATCCCATTTAGTTTTTGAGATAACGTTTTCGTGGTCATAAGTTGTAGTATATCGATATTTAACTTTGTATTCAAACTAATTCGTTGCTGAAAAAGATTTACATTCGTAAAGACGAGATATTATGCTGCTGTTAAATCTACAATACATAAGAAACTCGATAAATGTTGTAGCAATATCAATAACTTTAGATAAAAGGATTAACATATTGCTGGTCCCGATGGGCATCATCTAACTCAAACAGAGCAGAGTATTCTATATGCACTGGATATGCAAGATACAATTTTTAGGAAGTTTTATTAACTAAAACTCTCCTTAATGGAGTCAGTTAATTATTATCATATTACATATTATGTACTGTGTTCATCATTCAATCAATTGTATTCGCAAATTGAATTTTATTGGATATCAACATAAAATTGAAAAGTACCAAGTTGATTTTGTTTATTGCCGAGATGCTTTTGATTAATGCCAGTTTGTTGGCAATTTGATTTTTACTATTGCTATTTTAAAGCTGATTAACGCGAATTTGAACTTGAAAAATCATAGAGTAAATTTTAACAATTGCCCAAGTCTTGCAATCGTAAACTAACCCTGTAATCTACTTTACTTGAAATCGCGGTTAATCATCTTATATTAACATTTATGTTTCAGAGTGGATTTAGTTTTAGAAAATTATGGGCATTTACAGGACCTGGATTTCTTATGTCCATCGCTTACTTAGATCCAGGCAATATCGAAAGTGATCTCCAGTCAGGATCAATAGCTAGATATAACTTACTATGGGTCTTATTTGTCTCAACCATATTGGGATTTGTTATGCAAAGTCTTGCAACAAAATTAGGTACAGTTTTATGATACAAAATTAACGAAGTATAAAATATGTAGTTTCTGTGTTACAGGTGCAGTCACAGGGTTACATTTAGCAGAAATGTGTCATCGCCAGTATAAAAAAGTTCCTAGGCTCTTGCTGTGGATAATGATTGAGATAGCGGTTATAGGATCAGATATGCAAGAAGTTATAGGAACTGCAATTGCAATTTATATGCTCTCTAATAAGGCGTAAGTTTATCCATGTGACCTTAGTGGTAAATCCAGTTCAATTCAAACGGTACTATGCAGGTTGATGATGATAATGCATATGTTTTTGCTTTTGGTGCAGAACTTACATATGCATTTTTGTATTTTTCAGTGTACCATTGTGGGGAGGATGTCTTATCACGATCATTGACACATTTACTTTTCTTTTTCTGGATAAATACGGACTGAGAAAGCTAGAACTGTTCTTTGTATTTCTTATCAGTATTATGGGAGTTACTTTTGGATATGAATACGTAATGTCTGCTCCATCTTCAGCAGATGTTACCAAAGGACTGTTTTATCCGATGTAAGTAACTCACAGTAAACATTCATAAGATTACTTTTTTTCCATTACGTTGTCTCACCACTGACCAAAAAATACTTTTTATAATTCGTTTGTCCTTTGTTAATACCTCAAATTTTCATAGATGCGAGGATTGTAACTCAGCCGTGGTGCTGCAAGCCGTTGGAGTGGTTGGAGCTGTGATAATGCCACATAATTTATATCTTCACTCTGCATTAGTGAAGTCTCGGAACATCGACAGAAAGAAGCCAGAGAAAATTTCTGAAGCAACGTTTTACTATTCAATAGAAAGTGCTATTGCTCTACTGTGTAGCTTAATAATCAATATATTTGTAGTAGCTGTTTTTGCTTTCGGCATGTACCGGAAAACAAACAATGATCTGGTAAGTCTTGAAAACGTTTGCAAAAATATTTATAATTTCTTTAATTTACAATAATTTCAGAGAGATGTATGCAGTAATAGCAGTTCCGCCATGTTCAATATTTCCTCAGACGTTTTCCTTGTGAGTAATTACTCTATTTACTGAGACAAAGACCCTGTTATATCATTATGTATCCTTCGTTAGGCCAATGATGATATAGTCGATGCTGATATTTACAAAGGAGGAATTTTCTTGGGATGTACATTTGGCATGGCGGCTATGATTATTTGGGCTGTTGGTATTCTTGCAGCTGGGCAAAGTTCTACTATGACAGGAACGTATGCTGGTCAATTCTGTATGGAAGGTAAGGTATATTTTCATTATTATGTCTTTGTGAAAGTCTAATATATTCTTGTGAGTTTTTATACAGGGTGGTCCTCAACTAATGTGACAAAATCCAGTATAGACAAAAATATTTCGTTTTAGGCAAGTTTTTGAGATACAGGGTGTCAACGTATAAATCAAAATTTCGTTTATATTTAATAGGTTCTTAACCAGTTTTACTGTGACCATAACAAATTGCGTTTGGACATTTTTTAAAGCGAAAAATCCAAATTTCTTATTACCTAGCTTGTAGATCCTGGAGCAAAATATCGCAAAGTGTTTAAAAACTCTCTAAAGTGTACATATTAATATTTAAAATTTTGATAGCAGAAGAAATAAATTGACTTGTTTTAGGATTTCTGAACCTTCAATGGCCAAAATGGAAACGTGTGCTGTTCACAAGAAGCATAGCCATGATCCCAACATTTTTTACGGCTTTCTTCAGCTCACTACAGGACCTAACCACTTTAAATGACTTCCTAAACGCTGTGATGAGTCTTCAGTTGCCATTTGCCTTAATTCCAACTATAGCATTCACTAGCAATCCAAAAATAATGGGCAAATTCGTCAATGGACTGTAAGTTGTGATCCCTGTTTGTCCACTAAATAATTAACTGAACACCTTTTTAGACCTTACAAAATAACGTCGATTTTCCTAGCTACAGCTATTATCGGAATCAACATATTTTTTGTTGCCACTACAATCCAAGAGGAAAACTTAAATACTTATATTTTGGCATCTATTTACATATTGAGTGTCGGATATTTCTTTTTGGTTGCTTATGTAGTTGTTCATATGTTCATCAGCTTCACAGGCGACACATACAACGAAGTTCCTTGGGTAAAGAAGTATATGATACTGCCTTTAGATGAAAATAATCGCAACCATGTTCTCTGAATGGAAAAAACTACTCATTTAGGCGTTGATTTCAGTCAGGATATTTAACACATGACAAATAATCACTTCGACAAATTCATCGAATTTTAGATTTAGCAGAGCTAAAATGCAATAAATTTTATCAAGCAGCTAGATACATGATGTACATATTTATAAGGCTGATAGATAAATTCAAAACTCACTTTACAAGTAAAAAAGTTTTTAGAGTAAAACTTTCCGAGTGCTACCATTCTCAATTATTATATTTACCAATTATAATAGAAGATAGGAACTATTATATTATACTGTACATACATTTCTTTGTATAAAATTATTTACAATAAAAACTCTGACAATTCCGACGTTTTATTTTACTAAACATTACAGTTGATTCAATGCATGTGCCAACCTTTTGGCTAAAGAATATCATCTTTGAGCAGAAAAATTGATATTGAAGAGCAGTATTTCAAAACACCATTTGCGCATGAAGTGACAAGTATCTCAAGCAATAAACAGTTATTAGAATAATTATGCAGGGTGTCCGGTAGACCTTCGATGATATTTTGTCTGATGAAAAAATCGAAAGATAATAAAAGCAATAATGAAAATATTCCAGTTTTCAAGATATAAATCGTCCAAAACTGATATTTCAGGATATTGCTCTTATGGAACGTACAAAATATATTTTTATGTATTCTAGTTTCCACTAACATCAACCACAGTCAACACTTTGAAAAAATACTTTTTATCATGAATTAGTTCTTTTTTCTTCCAAATAATGGGAGAAAGCATGTCAAAAGAGGTAGGTATTTTATTAGACTGATTGACTTCATTCCTCCTGAAAGTTTGGGTAACATTTTTCACACACTTACCCCATTGGTCCAAGAATGATTCTGTTTTCGTTGCTTTCTCATGACCGATTAATACAAACTACAAAAGAAAACTTCTTCTTTAAAGTTCGAGATTCAGAATAATTTCCGCGAACTCTTTTCGATGCTCGGTTTTGTTGTCCCGACAAAAAGTTAAAATCCTCGAATTTACATAATTGTTGTTTGCCCAAAAGCACCTTATCTTTATTAATTTACTTCATTTTACTTTGTGTAAGTCCATTATATATAAGCAAAATCTGATAATAAATCCAAAAACGTTTTTCTTTATTTAATAATCATTAGAGCAAATACATGTTATATTTACATTCTTTGAGCGATTACAGTGAGTACCTAACTTTGATATAACTGGATATTTTTGTGAAAAGGTCGATAAAAAAATTACACGCTTAACTAGTTTTATTTACAGCATATGATTTTGTTCTCATATAAGTAGTAGATAAGGAACACAATGAAAATTATATAAACAGCAGTGTTAATAGATGTTATGAAAATCCATGGAAAGCCTTAGCTGGAATCCACTCTAACTATATGACCATCAGAGCCTCCAGCGTAAATCGAAGAAGTTTCGCCAGTAGCAACGGCATTGATGACTATATCTACATTTACGCTACCTTCGTCAGAAAGGCCCACATTGGTAACTTTCCATTTTCTCAGGACCTTATCCCAGCCACCACTAAACAAAAGTTGGTCATTTCCCCATTCCACACCAGCTAGAGCATTGATTACTCTGTTATCTTCTGAACCATGCTAGAATGTATAAATAGAATGTACATCAAAAGTAAAAAATATGAAATACAAATATAATTTTTTAATGAAATTTATTTCCTTATTAAAAAAGGGTTTGTCGTTATTCCAAAACAAATTAGATTTACTAAAGCAAATGAAAATATGGACTTTTTTGGAGTTTTAAACCCTTTTCAAGCTGGAGAGATCAATAATAACTTTGCAAAAACCAATCGAATAACTGAACTTCAAAGTACTCTCTTTGTCACCCAGGAAACGAAAGACAAGTTTGAAGTCCAACTCATGACTCGCAAATAAAACAAAACATTCTAATAGTTATATCGATTAAAATGTCTTGACTTTTCAAGACTGTTCAGTTTAAGCGAAATTCCTACTTACCACAATTTTTGTAATTTGTTTAAATCCTGTTGATTTATCTGCACTATGTAGGATAATTTCTTTCCCATCTCGGTCAATAAAAGCAAATAATTTGGTGCCAATTAAAGTTACTGGCGCCCTGCCTGCAATGGTGGTGTCAGTAGCCCATTGGATATTTTCACCTAAGTCAAATAAAGGTTTAGAAACTTGGAATATATAAATCTTGCAAAATCGGCATATCATGGGGCTTAATGTCTACTTTTGAACATTATGGGCGAAAAATGGAGGATGGGGCTCCAGCTTGCAGAAAGTTGGTAAGAATAATTTTAAATCTATAAATCCTCTAGTTTGAACCGAATTTAGGTTTCCGCAAAGCAGCTAAAGTTTTTTGGATTATTCACATGTCTCTGTCTTTGTTTTGCTGATTTTCAATTAAATGACTTTGAACAGATTTTACACAGCACCAAACGCATTTTCCTCTTTCTTTCCAGGTGGAACGAAGCAGTTTTCGGTGAGTTGGGCATTACTTTGCCCCTGGTTGCCATTTAGATGTAGAATACAGAATTTTAGCGGTCTGCATCCGGACAGCATTTTATTTTGTAGAAGTAGATGGCAACCAGGGTTGTAGGTTTTCTTTGACAACATTTATGCTGCTCGCATGTGCAGAGTTGAGACTTTCATGGAGTGGCTTTCCATTTCGCTTTTTGCGGATTTTGTAGAGCGTTTTTTTGAAAATGGTAGCGCACTTGTTTACGTATTCCAGGTGAATTGTTGATCTATTTTTATAATTCTGATTAGAAACCGGCAGTGCTTAACGCGTTATATCTAAAAAGTTTTATTGAGGGTTCCTGTATTTTAATGGCTTTTAGGTAGGTAGTAAACTTCAAGAGCCCTTAAAAATCGAATATTTTCTTGATCAAATTTTTAAATGTCCAATTTTCCATTTGCAGCTAATATGGAAAGGCAGTGCTCGAAGTGTGCAATCGAAAACGTTCGAATTATTACTTCAATATTTTGTACTGTTTTCCCGTTAGAAGTTCTGAACCGTCAGACGTCGTTGATGTAATATCCGCTCTCTCTTAAAAATTTTAAATTGATGTTTGATTTTGAATTTTGTTGTTCTACGCACCTTCTAATTTAAATTCTGTAATAACTAAGTCTGTATCCTGAACCGTTAAGACATACGGTTCTACCACTTGCAAATCCTTAACAGGTTCGGCGACGTTTACCAATCCGTAAAACAATTTGTTCTTGAAAACCAAAACCTGAAATGAACGGACATAATAACATTTTTAAATTTACTATAATATTTATGTAAGTGTACTCACATTGCCTTCATTATCTCCAACATACAAATTTCCATTAACACACTGAACTCTCCAGTACTCAGCATTTTCTCCTTGCCTCAGCACCTGCTTTTCGGCTAAAGTATTCAGGTCAAAGAGCTTAACAGAACCATCACTCGAGGAACTGTAAAGCCCATCATCAGAAGCTGAAATACTGTAGACGGGTGCACTATGGGCTTGAACTTCGCCCAGTTTCAACAAATCAGCAGTCCAAACCTAGGAATAAAAAATTATTATTATTAGCTGAAACAGAAACTATTAAAATATAGAAAAATAGTGGTATATGCAAGTTAGCTTAGATATATAGTGTCTATGTAAGTTTATCCAACGTGTCTGGTAATGATGCGAAAAAATGCAAGGAGTGATTCTGCATGAAAGATTTTAATCATAAGTTCATACAGCTGTTTACCGGGACACTAAAAATACCAGAGCTGCTAGGCTTTTTTTAATAAATTGATTGCTAGTTTTAGAATTTATTTCAAATCTAGCACACTTCCTCCAAAGTGTGTTTAGAATAAATGGCCAAATTTTGCCATTCACACCATACTCCCGAAGCGTCGAAATCGAAATGTAAATGAATAACTTTGAAATGTTTTAACTAACAATAAATAAAACGGGAGAAATTTTGTCGAAAAATATTTTGGGAAATATGTCAACAACAGCAAATAATGTAATAGACTGTAGAAGACTAGGAGCGGTGAGACGCATCAATAAAATCTATTCCGTGTAAGTTTCCAAGTTATTGCTCCCTCTTGACTTCAATTATTTTTATCATTTTTGGTCTATTTCGGCGCCTACTTACCTTGATTTTTCCATTGTCGCCCCCACTGTATAATTTTCCTTTATAAAATGCCAAAGCGGTAACATCTCTGTCGTGCTTATCAGCATCGCCAGCTCTGCATGCAACAGTCAGAGTCATTTCCTAAAATCAAACTATCCAAATGACGCTCAAAGTGCTAATAAATTTTCAAAAAATTATGCAGACAACAAAAAATTTCCGGAAGGTGTATTTATATTTCTCTTCTACACAAGCTTAAAAGGACTCAAATCGAACATGTCGCTAAGAAGTACGTTGAATGTATTTCTTGCATAAATAAGTACTTAATAAAAATGGAGAAGGATATTTTCTGAGAAATTGCAGTTAGCCATCATTATTGACACACACAGTATATATTAAATAATTAACAAAATATAACAAACAATAGATTGAATATTTGTCATCCAACACCTTCACGTTGATCCTCTGATTGAAACGACTAAAAGTTTCACTTTCAGCATTGTAGACAAAAACCTAGTAATAATTCTATTAAAATAGTATCATCTGAACAGCGTAAATATTATCCAAAAAATAACCAGATGAATAACAAAATATTTGGAGAAGCCAATTGTTGAAGATGCGAGATTGATGAAGTTCATAAATAATTTCACGCTAAGCAAATCAGATCGCTATTTTTGTTTTCTTCTGTAAGCGATTTCCAATCCAAACATTTCGATAATAAAAAGTTCCATCGGAATTCAAAGGCTCTTTAGAGTTTTAAATATAGAAATCTATTTAAAGTATTTCTTGAAGTAGATTCTGTTATGGATACGGTAGTTTCGAACACAACGGGCAATTTTGAACAGTTCTGTGTCCGAGTTGAAAACCTTTAAAGTTTGACTTATGCCAAAAACAGTGAAATAAAATAACTGCAGAAAAACTTGTATAAAATTTAATCGATTTGAAAATGATCATATTTACAATAATCAAAATATATTAAATTTACAGCGCTTCAAAAATAATATTCCCACCATTACCCAAATGAAAATATTCTTAAAAATTTAAACATTTTTTTTTATTTCAATGTTTCTACGAATTAATATTTCTCTTTCTCAATTATTGTTTTCTTTTTTTTAAGTTATCATCCATTGCATGAGTCAAGCGGAGTAATGTTGAAAGAATAATTCTCAACTTGGCCCTCGCCATAATGAAATCTATAGCTATATACATTACAGAATGGCCATTTTTCAAGTCCTTCCTTAGAGAACACGACAATTTCTTTTCTTCTCTGATCTTTAAAGGCAGAAAGTCTGTTAATGTCGGGTGGAATTTGAAAGCTAAGTGATATGCGTTCGTAAAATTTATTATCGAGTTTTAGTTACTAAAATGCATTGAAAACATTAAGTTCTCAATTTTTCCAATACTCGATATTATAGACTCTCATATTTTTTTGAAGGCAACAATACTTTTGTTAACAGTCTGTAGAGGTCAATTTTGCTTCTTCTCAATTCGGTTTATCGGCTTGGAAACATACAAATTATTTAAATACATTTTTAAATTCTAAACTCCTTTGCTCATTTAAGAGAACGTTTAACTTTTAAAATGAACAAGTTAATGACGAAAAAATAAAAAACTTTCAGATTGTGGATTCAATGCTTTCGTGTCATTACAGTTCAGTAGGTAAATAATAAACAGTATATTTTCGGTTAAAGGAATCATTCATCAAGACTAACGATGTTAGCTATTAAGTACTCGTAGATACGTAGCAGTAAGAAGTAAAATTTAAAAGCTGAATAAAAATATGCTCAAATGTATTCATCAAGAAATCATAGTAACTTGAGTTTTATACCACCGGACATTTTTTATTATTCGATTCATTTTCTAGTGGCTAATACGCGTGATAAATAGCTTTTAACATTTATTGGTTTGATATTGATTGATATTCATACATTTAAGAATCCTTTATTCGGAATAAAGAATCGATTGCAAGACGATTAATATCAACATTTATGGCTTATTTAAATAATACGATTTTTCATTATTTTTAGTTGTTTTGTTATTCATTATTTGGTCTTTATTTAATAAATTTTGATAGAGTAAAATAATATAGAACGGAGCCGGGAAAGGTTCAATTAAACGTTTGCTATATTGTTTGCGCTCACATGTAAAATATTGTAACTAGCTTTTAAAAACAAAATTTTTTATAAAAAAACAATATAAATTAATTGAGAATTAGATTTGTTCAGCACAAACAAAATGATTAAATCTGAAAATTCAATAATAAATACCGAATGGGAAGTCAGTGAAATTTTTGGTATCCATAAATAACAAAAATTGCTGTTCGTGCATAATAAAAAAAGAATTATATGGATAATACTGAAAAGAACAAAAATTTTAGAATGAACAAAAAAATTTCATCAAACAATAATATTAATTAATATATGTTTAACTTAAAAAACATTTGCCTGAAAACTTTAAATTTTACTTTTGCTGTGGGATAGTTACGCATACAGCAACCTATATATTATCAAAAATTACTTCGCAAGTTTTTAAACCGTCTTAAACTTAAAATTTTATACCCACCATAATGAATATATTAATCATCTAACATCGGGTTCAAAAATGGTTTAGTTAAACCATTTAATAGAATACGGAAAAGTATTGAATTGAAAGTTAAACGAAGCTGTTTCGATATTACAAAAGTGATTGAGTACAATAAATAAAATATTTTAGTTGCAAATGAAAAAAATATATTTGTATTCTACTGTTTATAACTTAAAAGATTTTGACTTACCAATTTTCAACTAAAAATTCACACAGGAAAAACAACGTCGAGAAGTTATTGAACTATGCTCTTCAGTTACTCCAGATAACTTATTTAAAAATGCAGCGTTCCTTCCCTATTTATAGTTCTGCAACAGTATTCGGCGTAGGAGAACCAAGTTTAAAAAAATGCTCGTTGTCGTTTGTAAACGTTTATTTCTTGGCACCAAAAACAAAGTATTGAAAAAATAAGCCTATGAATCTAATTCTTACTTATCCTGTCGAGAAAATATGTAAACCAACAATTATAGCCGAAACACATTTGTCAGTTTTAACTAAACCAAAGCCCGCATGAGTATTTTGAAGGAGCTTACGATTAATGTAAAATAGGCTATTTTTTTCCTTTCTTTTTCTTTTTTTGTGCTTCTGGCCAAGGAAATCCTCTCCATTTTAGCAAGTCTTGAACGCTATGGCAGGTCGTATAAGCATTTTCCATTGCGGCTTCAGTGAAAATATCAACATTACATCTATATGAAAACATAAAAAATGGTTATGCGTGTTTGTAAATATACAATGCGGTTCAAGTCAAATGTCATTAATTAGAATGTGAAAAATCAAAGTAGACTTCCCTCGAAAAATTTTGCTCGCAAATGTTTCCTATTAGAGATACAGGGTGTTAAAGTTTGAAACATTTTTGTTTAATTTCTTATCATTTGCTTAATATGCCTAAGTTAATTATTAAAATGTATAGTTGTTTAATAAATAACGGGAAAAATATATGTATAATAAACGTGAGGGTTTGCAAAAAGCAAGTATTTGAGACTAAACATTGAAGCATTTTCCAGTTAATCACAGCTTCAATAAATCAAAGGAATATATGTAGTTAATTTATATTTCATTATTGTAAGCGAAAATAAAAGTACCTACCTGGCACTTTTTGATCTCGATTTCTTGCCTCCACCTTTTTTTGATTTAGTAGTAGTTTTCTTCTTGCCCTTATCTCCGTTTTTATTGTTTTTAGGTTTCTTCTTTTTTCCTTTCGGCATGGTATTATCTACTAGTTCTAACTAAATAAACTGCGTTTTTTGCCCTATTATGTATTAGAGTTTGATCGATCATATCATCCTAGTTGCTAAGTCGCTAATAGAAACTTGTATAATCTATAAAAATAGGGGTTGAATTTAACTTACTTGGAAACTTCATAAATATTTATTTTCACTTAGATCATTGCAAATTATTTTTGTAGCTTTAGATACTGTTGTTAGATTTAAAATGACATTCAAATTTTGGCTTCAAATTTAAAATCGTATTTTGTATTCATGGTATAAACATTAGTTTAAAAAGTTCGTTTGTGATATTTTCTGTTGACTCTGAAAGTTTCAATCCCGTACTTGAAGTTTATTGATTCCTTTCAAAATTCGGTTTCTAAAAGCATTTTATTTCAAAGTTATACATTTTGTTCATAAACCATACCGATTGATTGAAAGTGACTTCTGTCCTATCTTCTATCCTGATCTTTGCATAAATGATAATCTCATCCTGCTACAACCTATTTTTATATGATCGTAAGCCTATTTTTATATGATAATAATTTTTATCGAAAATACTTGAATTGATCAATATAAATGTAGTTATCAATACTTCCAAAGATTAATTATTCTACACTTTTCTAATGTTCCCGAAAGCTAAACTACTTTATGGAATAAATTGAGTTGGTCAAATCGATTTTTTCAGGATGGGCTTAGTAATGCCAGTAACACAAGATAGATGACATAGATAGACGATAGATGATAGACAAGGTAGATGCCAGTAACACAAAAATACAAAAAATACGTATACTATAATACGGTGGGAGATGGTAATTGAGAACACGATTATCGCAGTACCAACCTCTTACCAAGTGCACCCTCTACTCATTTTATTTAGGTAGCACCGGTATCATCGGAAAGAACTTTAAATAGGATTTTCGATGGTCCCAAGGTTTTATTAATTCCGACCGCAAAAGTATCCTGTAACGCCAAAATTCAAAATCGACTACTAAGACGTGAAGGCAAATGCAAAGCATATTTTCTTAAAATTAAATCAATGCGTAAATTTTGGCGCTCAATATTACGAATTTTTTCCAAACGTGTTGGAACTTTCTTCACCCAAATTCACAAGAGTTTTTAGTCTGTATTAATCGGCTGTCCTTACGATTGGGTTTTGAAAATTAAGTCCAAGCTTGTAAGTAGGGAGACCTAAGGGGCCATTATTTCGGTCCTCTTGCTCAAATCCATTTTCATGGGTTGTTCAATTACACAAAATGTGTAAGTTTTTCTGCCTGTTGAAAGGTCACGGTAGATTTTAACAATCGAATTATTATCAAAAAACAAAGGTGCTATGATGGAATTCCAATAAATGCGGCCAAAACATTCAGTTTTAGGGATTTTTTAAAATCAATTGAACTTGATTCTGCTTCATCAAATGGACGATAAAACGGATTTAAGGAACAACACGAATTTTCCACAACATATAAAAACATCAAGATTATGAAACTTGATGATCTGCAAATGGCTGAACGAAAATAAAATGAGTAAATACATTGGATAATGAGTAAAACTAAATTCGTGAGTTTAATGAACGTCCAGATGTTTAAACACGATTTTTTTTTATTACATTGCTACCAGCATTAAATAAATATTTATCCTAAAGTCGTTCGGATTTAGAAAAAACAAGATCAATTCTCTGCTTGTACGCAAAAAGCGCTAAGGAATATAAGGTGTAACGAATATTAAACGATTTTCAAAGTAATCACTCAGGCTCATAAACAACCACAGTAATTAGTGAGAGATATAAATAGTTGAAAGTAGGTATTTCAGAAACTTGAAATCGAAGGTAATTCTAAACAGAACAGATATTGTTAGCAGATGTCTAGAGTGCAAAATTCTTAATACCCTTTTAGTGATACCTACACCAGATAAACCTCAGTCATGAAAATTGAAGACCATTTTTGGGATCTGAGAGAAAGCCAAAGTTTATTTATATAGAAACGTAAATATGCTTTAGTTTTAATTATATGTTCCGCAGTTCTTGTGCGTGTGTTGATAGTTTTTTCACCGAAAACATTAGCACAGCTCTATGCAATTAGGGCCAATAAACATTAATTTCCCAAATTTCAGCAAGAATTAGTATATTGAATTGTAGGTACTGATGAATTGTCTAACAGCGGCATTTCTTTATACAGAATACAGTTAAGTAAAAAATAATAATTTTCTATTGTGAGATAGTCACTAACAAATTGTTGTTTATTCCCAATTTGTTCCCAAACAAATTGGGATTTATATGTGACCAGCTTCGTCTATCTATAAAAGTTTAAAGTATAAGTATAAACAGCAGCAGCTGGCAGAATTATTACTGTTTCAATTCTCTTAAACACTCTGAATATACCGCATTTATACGTAAATATTTATGAAGCCAGGAGGTAATGCAAATAATACCAGATAAAATTATTTAAATATAATTTATTACACATTAGCTATATTTCTAATAGACATATACATATATTTTTTTGTTACTAAAAATCGAATATTTACTGCAAATAAAAAAAACGCTCAATATATCTATTTCCTTTGAAATTTGTAATTTTTCGATAATGATTGTATATAGTAAGTTTATCACAGAGACATATTTACAGTGTTAAAGATAGATATATGTAGAGTTTTGGGGTATATATAATATACATATAATATATAGGAATGTTCAGGGAGTTCAAAGATTTCTAAAAAATCGCCATATAAAAGTTGGTGTTGAGTAAAATTTGGCACACAAGCTTTCTGAAAGTATAAATATAATACATTTTTTGCACATTTACAATTAATAACTGAAATTAAGAATTTTTGTTCATACTAGTTGTAGAATAGTGTGCATGGTCCTTGATCAGGAAATATAAAAAATCTTCGTTATCACATTTCTTCAAAAAGGCAAAACGAGGCTTGGTGATACAACAGAGAATATGAAAATAACTTATATAAATAGGTTTGCTATTCATAAGCGTTTACTGTACATACGCATAACTTAACCACTACATATTGATAGTGTCTCACACATCTCGCAAAAGCCTTTGTAAATAATTTTGATCTTAACTAGTTTGTAAATATATTACAATTCTATTTTAATAATAATTACGTTCAATATATAGTAATAATATTATTAATAAAACTGGCTAGTCTAAGTGCTTGATCACATGAGTATATGTGATGAATTTGTGACAAAATTACTAAATTCCTAATATTTCTATCACGGAAAAACGCAAGCCCTTAAGTACACTAATATATCCTCCAGCAAACAAACTATCCTTTGTTTAGTGAATTTCAGGTAATAATTTAACGTTAAAATCAATAAGGATGATACTTGAAAAATATTTAATTAATTAAAATATTTTCAAGCTGTTTCTACGGGTACTGGAACAGAGGCGATCGGCAAACATTTTTACATTTTAAATCCATATGATCACACGATTTATCTAAGCTCCTCGATTTTCGATTTCCTACCATTTCTTTAAAACGGTAATATAAATAAATAGGTCATAGACTAGCTAGATTCTAGATGTCTGAATAATCCTTGGATTGAGTCAAGCTCGCTCTAATAAATTGTTATTTGAATACCAAAATGTTTTTATTATGAAGAGTTATTTTCAATGAAGGTCTGCAAAAAGTTGGTTTAATGCCTTGTTAATCATAAATTTGAATTTAAAGGACAATTAAAGAAATATTTTTGTTGAGGAAATTTAATTTGGGTTAGTTTGGGTTAGTCAAAGGTTTTTCTAATTAGTTTTTTAGTGAATGACGAAACGTGAATAAAGTCATTAATTCTTTATGATGTATTACCGTTGTAATATCGTTGTTGATAATGTTGTATTATCGTTGTTGATGTGTTCAAATGCTTTAAATGGATTGTTGTTCAATATATCTAATTGATGCATAAGCAATTTAAATTATTTGCATAGCCAAATATTTGGGCAATTTACTTCCGTCGAATTATCTAAACCAAGCTGCTACTGCAGGTTGTGAATAATCCTGTTTTCAAAGATTTTTTAGGCATAATTTCGTTTTGATTCGATGTCACTCTCTTGCTGGTTCGGTAACGTTTGTGGGAAGATAATGTTTTATGTTGATTTTATAAATATCTTAATTTTCTGAAATACTGTTTTAGAACTTGTGTTCTGAACCTTTGTATCCAGTTTTTGCCCAACAAGCTTGTGATCGAAGTACATTGCGAAGGTTTTCAAAGTGGATTGCGCTTTTCCTTACTGATAGTGTACGCTAATTGATGCGTTGTACAATGAACCAAAGATGTAGGATCTTCCGAGAAGGATGCAATTTTCCAATTGATTTGCAGATACTGATTGCTATCATGGTTACTAATTTACCACAACATAATAAATAACCATCTTAAATTTAGATCAGATTTGAATTTTGTGCTTGGAAAAAGTAGGCTTTATGTTAACGTTTCTCATATCTGAATATTGCCTTATGGGGGGTCTTTATATAAAATATAATATTTCGGTTAAAACGCCAGTGAAAATAGTTTTTTAAAGTCATAAATGGCTGTGAATAAGTAACGTTAAATTTCACATTAGATAACTTACATATACCTGCATATTACCTATATCGAGTTCCGTAGCAGTTGTTCTGATGTGACAGAAATAAAAATACATGTTAAATAAACAAACACAAAAAAAGTCTAAAAAATAAATCTCTCTCAAAAAATAAATTTCTTTCTGAAACCCAGAAAACAATTAAATTCCCATAGTTCGGATGATTATACAAATAAAATATAAAATCTGATAGTATTTATTTGCTCTTCTTAATTATTTTATCCTAAGGCATTTTCAGGTATCAGAAGCCAAGCGCAAGCCAAATATCATTGTAACTCCAAAGCTGCCATACAATTTTTATAAACAGTACAATATTCTGGTGGTCCTACATTTTTGTGCTCAAAGAGTGCAAAAACTTTACAGAAGGCTTAAGAAGAGCCTCAACACAAGAAGTCTTAAATGGCAAGATTATATTATTTCGACTTATCAAACCCTAAATTCTGTAAACTGAAGCGTGCTTAGATATATTCAGAAATATATTTTCAAAAAATATGAAAACACGATGTATAAGTATGCAAACTTTTAAGAAGTTAAAAACCAAGTATCTGCTTCGTATTCCGATATTGCTTTATAAATTCAGGTTGAGAATACTTACTTTCTTATTTATAATGAAAAAATTTTTACTTCCGAAATAACGTTTTTATATATTTTTTGACGACTGCATTAGTTTGTCTATCTATCGTTCCAATTAGAAAGTTTATATGCTTTCACTCGTGCATTGTTTGTACAAAACATAACATTAAATAATGTACATATTTTGGCTTTGTGTGTACAAAACCTGCTTTTACCTTATGGTATAAACAATAATAACTAGGCATACATTCTTTTCTAAACGTACTTATACTTTTGTCGGTGACTTAAAATTATTAATTGCTAAAATTATGATAGTTATTTCATTGGTATCCAGTTCATAAATTTACCGGTTCCTTTTCTCATATTTTGCGTCATGTTTAGGTAAATTGTTTCTCCTCCAGCTAATAAGGCCCCCCACTCACCAAACGTCCCATAGTCGTATATCGTATGATTACAATACGACAAAATTGCCATATCTTCAGCTGGAGAGTTTTCATTCGAAGCAACAAATACATTCTTCATCCGCCCGAACTGTTTGGAACACCAGCCTGGATCGTCGCTGACGTAGATGAACAGACAGTTGGAGTATTTGCTGTTAAAATAATTCATCGCGTTTATAAAGAATGCTTTAGTCACTAGCTTTTCACCGTATTTCCTACAAAAGTCTACATTAGCTACCGCTCTGGCTATTTTCTCTATCAAATCGAATTGTACCTGTCCAAATACCCCTGATAATCAGTCCTTCGCACATGAACACCTACGAAAGTGTACTCCTTCCGTGGCAGTTTCCTGCTTAAATCTAACAGAACCCGTTGAGCCTTGTTCCTAATCTCCTTATTGAAGTGGAATTCCTGTCGAATATCTTGGACCCAAGTTAAAACCAGCTCGGGTTGCAATGTATATCGTGGTAAAATTATGCTCTAAAAATTTGGAAAATTACTTATAAAACGTACCGAATAGCGACTAGTAGGGTGCAACGATATACACATTGTTGTATTTAATTGTATATCACATCTGCTTTAGAGGGTGGAATTGGGTTTTTTTACCAAGTTGACTGAATCTCTGTAGCAAATTTTATTGTGGTTTCAGTTATTTCTTAAGACGTTACTCAGGATTACTTGCAGAATCCGATAAATATTTTAAAACTATTTTAAGTTTACTGTTTTAAAATGTTAGCTTTTGAAGATTAAAATTCTACTTTAGTAGACAAGTATTTGACTATTTGTTCAAATGAACATGATAACTAAAATAAAAGTATTTTACCTGTTTTAATTAAAATTGTAATGTATAAAAAACTGGTTTTTGGATCACTCTCGAAAAATATAGCACAATCACTACCAAAACCTTTAGTTAATAATTAAGTTTTCCTTCCAGCTTGAGCCTAAATGTGGCTGAAGGTAGTTTTGGTGACGTTACTGAGTCCAATCCACAAGAGGAAAGAAATAATTATTTTAAAAAGAGCAACCATTATCAATTCGTAATAAAAAAACGTGGTGAATTATGTTCCAAAGAAATAGAAGGGTTTCTGAGAAAATATAAATTGAACAAATTACTGTGGTCTATGAGGTTCTTTACACATTAAAACAGTTAGTTTTTCTTGCCTGGTTAGTAGACGTCCACTCTTCGATAGAATTAACAAAAGTTTTAAATTCAACCGGACAATGAGCAATATCTTCAAATCCTGGTACTGTGAGCATGTCGAAAATCTCTTTCAATCTATTTCTGATGCATCTGGGCACGTAAGGTTCAAGTCCAGTACGTCGAGCGACTGCCCAAACCGATGCATATTCCCACATTTGGTTACCTGTAAGTACATAGTTTTTGTTAGGATGCAAATTGATTTTAAAAAAAATTTTGTTAATATATTCAGACGAATGGAGCAATACGGAACGCCGTACGATTATAATGTAAACGCGGCTTGGTCCCCACGAATGGGCAATTCTTAGGAACTATGAGAAATATAAAATTGGTTAAGTGAGAATCTTTGTAAGAATTTAGATCAGTTATGTTTGTTCATTAATAAAGTATTGACAAAAATTGAAAAATGTTGTGTTAGAGAAGAACTTTAATTAAATAATTTCAAATATTTTTCCACAGTTATTTTAATGTTTCTCTATTATTAATAATTGCAATTTTTTTTAAGCAGAAACGGAACATCTGAAAGATGTTCAGATGTTCCGTTTCTGCGAAATTCTGATTATAGGGTATTATATGAAGCATGGGTTTGATAAGCCCGTTTAACTTTAAACATGTTTGTGCCCGTGTAATCACGTTATTGCTCACTCTTGACAGCATTATTGAGCTCACATTTTGAGCATTCGATTAATTAACTCTGGCTCAATTTGTACCGGTGTGCGTTAAATCAGAGGTTCAATCGTGAATCCTTGAGTCGTGTGCACAAGCAATATGCCTGTATCTATCCGATAATGACAAAAAACATCACTGCCGCTTTGAATTTTTCTCAGAAAATTGTAGAAAAGTACTTTTTTAATATTAAAAATATCCACAATTTGAAGAAAAGATGATATTTTTTCTTTTCGACTGCATAAGTATTTCAATAGGCTACCAATCAAAGATGGACCATATAAAAATAACAACGAATAAGTACCTAATAACGAAGATGACATTAGATTTTCGACTGTTGATATCTTCAAAATAGAAACTTTGGAAGAAACTTTTTAAAATTATGTTGTCGTGCCCTCCAAGTGGGCCCGTAAAGCCCCTTAAACGGAATGTCGCCAATTTTGAAACAGCCTGTACTCAAACCGTTTCATATAAAATAGAACTTGATTATAGAAAATGTACAGAGCTAAATGGAAGTCATATAGAAAATCACTGATTTTAATCTCACCGTTTTTATTTATTTATGTTTATTCTATAGCGGCAATAAATATTGTTATTTCCTCAATGATTTTTATTTGCCTATCATATTTCAAGGTTGCTTTGATTTGTTGCTATTTGTAATTTTGAAAATGTAATATAAAGAAAACGCCTAAACATAAAATTAAATATTTTTTTAAATCAGGAAAAAGCTTATCGATCTGTCGAAAAATACATGGGGTCTTCTCCTTTCATTCGACAGAAAACAAACCAGAGAACTTATTGCTCCGGTGCGCATTTTTAAAGAAATTTATTCTGACGGCAAACTGTTAAAAAAAAAATTATATTGTTAAAAAGTAGGTAACTTTACCCTATTTTTGAAACAATCCTTTGATACATTTAACTCAAACCTTTCATTTTATTAGATGTCTAGTTTGCATTCCGAACATTGCACCCACTTATGCCACATTCATTTTGCCAAAAATCCTTTGAAAAAATGTGAAACACCGCCCTGAGCATGTTTTATTGTCATCGCGTAAGTACTGGAATTTCTTGAATGTGTCTTTGGAAACTTGAAGGTAAATATAAAAATACATCATAATACTTAAACAAAATAACATGATGAATACTGTTAACAATTGGCTGTATTTTAAGGACATTTTTGCTGATTATTTGTAAGGATATATTGAAGCACCCACGAGACCAAACTAATGCACATCTTCTAAAAATTTTTACGATCAATTGGGTTCAACACACTAATCTGATAACTGGCATCAATATTTAGAACCGATACCACAGATATATGTACTTTAGCTGACTCAAGACATCGACACAATTTAAGGTATGGCTTTTATTTCACTCATTTAAGGATATTCTGCGCGAAGATGAATAAATGAAGATATGTATGCATGTAAGTAATCAGTTGAAGAACCATCATGCACAACGTGTATTTCCATACATAAAAGCGACCATGTATTTTGAAAAACTATTAATAAAATAGTTTGAATAATGCGGAAAATAAATGGAAAGACGTTTACCAGTATGTCCATGCGTAAAAATCATAGAAGTAATTCCTTCCTTTGGACATGGACCCAGCCTTTTTTTAGTCGGTTTGCACCGCTTGGTAGGATTATGTCGTGTTACTTTACACAACCGTCCTTCAAAATCTCTGAAAGAGTATTCATCTGTAAAGCGTGCGGTATCAGTAGTTGACACTACTTCGTTAGAATTACCGAAAAGTGGAAAGAGAAAGTAAATAAAAATTAATATCCAAATCAAGAAAGATAATTTTATGAGAGCACTTCGACGACGCCTAATCATAATTGCTCAGCTTCACACCGACAGATAGTTCAGTCACAGTATCACACACAATCCAGTCCCAATATAGCTTTCTTTTAAAATGAAACGTCTGCAACACTTATAGCCGCTGGATTAACCGGAAACAGAAATTATTTTGTTAGAATACCTGAGTAGGTGCATATAAGAAACGCAAATATGTGGTGGTCAAGTGAACGAATATTTAGCCACTAATATTTCATTTATTTATGCGTAAATCGTTGATGAAAAGCTTCGTAAAAACAAGCCAAAAAATTAGTGATAGTAAATACATGATTATAATATAGGTTTACACTCGTGTAGGGTATAGATGGCTAGATGTTCCATCGGGCGCACCTCCAGGTGGCGATCACCAGCTGAACCCGGAGAACCAATAGTAAGAAATCAGATCAAATATATTTTAATGAACCATGATTTTAAAAAAGTATATCGAATCATTAAAAACCTTTCCAGGTTAATAGCGACCAGAATCAGACACCTGATATAATACGAAGAATAACCTTGGACAAGCTGAAAAGCCATGAATTCCGAGCGAAGAAAGAATCCAAACCTTAAACTAAATTTAAATAAATTAAGAAGGAGGGGCGAATAGAAATTGAAACAACATGGAACAAAATAAATAGCATAGTAACTGAAATGCGGGAAAGAGAAACTGGATTTCAAAGACAAGAAAGGAAATGTCAGCAACCTAATCGGAAGGCGTTACCAACGCAATTTTAAGGTGATTCGAAATTGGCACCTGTTTAACAAAGACTCTTGCAAAGGGTTCTTTAGCAAACAAGCTGAAATTATTGTTTTGCATATTTTTGCACATGGATGAATCTCAATATATTTAACTTTACCCAAGTAGATATCGATGATAGCGAGTTTAGAAGATCGCGTTTCTATATGAATATTCCATGAACTAAAATGATAGAAAATCGAAGAAGGGCAGTCATTAATTGATCAACATTCAAAACTAAACACAAATATTGTAGAGCAAAATTGTTAAGTGCTCGTTTCCATACGAATTTCTTATCTTTTGCAAATCGCAAAATCACTTTTGCGTGGATGTTGTCACATTATCCTTGCATTTGTATGAACTTGTGCTGTTTAGAATATTTTTACAACGGCTGCAAATCACACAAATTATTTCATTAACAAATAATATTATGTAGTTATTTTAGTTATTTAATTCAGGATGGAAATTCCATTATAAGTTTAAATATATTGTAAATGAGATCAGTTTTCGACACTTACACCAACCACAGTTTGTGATCGAAAGGTTTTGTTTGGATAGGAAGTGCGGATTCAAACTACTCATATGTAGGAAGTTTTCCTCCACCTTTAACAAGTGCGGTTCCATAGTTAGTTTTAAAATAACACTTATTGAGTCAAAACCACAATTGAATAAATTAAGCATATAATAAAAAATTAGCCTTATGAAGCAATAAAAATTAATACATTTTAAAAGGACCAATTGTTTATAAAATACAACTCGAATGGTTTCTGCTAGAAACAGTCATTTTATATATTTGGAAAAAACATACAATAAAATGGTTTGAATCGTGATTAGAATAAATACAAAGACATTTACCAGTGTGTCCATCCATAGAAGTCTTAGAAGTAATTGCATCCTTTGGACATGCATTCAATCTTTTTTTATTCGTGTTGTGATTCTCTGTGATTTTAAGTCGTTTTACTCTACACAACACAATTTCTAAGTCTCTGAATGAAGCCTTGGAATTTGTAAACTGTGTTACCACAGTAGTTCTCGGAATTTTGCTTGTTTGCCGTCGAAATGGTGATTCATTAGAACTGACGAAAAGTTGAATGAGAATGTAAAGCACAATTAAAACCCCAATAAAAAAAAATGATTTGTTCAAAACACTTCGACGACGCCAAAGCATAATTGCTCAACTTCACTCACTATAACTCAATCTAGTCACAATATATTGTAATGCTTCTCTACTAACGTAAGAAATTAATGTTTTTCTTTGAAAAATGAACGTCTACAACACATATAGTCGCGGGAGTAACCAGAACCAGAACTTATTTTGTTAAAAGGCCTACTGAGGTGCAGATAAGCAGCGCAAATATGTGGTTCACTAGTGTACCCATATTTGGCTAATAGTATTTCAGTTATTTATAAATAAATAATTTATGAAAAGCTTCATAAAAATAAATCACCGAATTCAAAAAAATATAAAGAAAGTAAATACATGACAACAATAGGTCAATAAGAAGTTCATTGCAGCTCTGAACGATTTTTTGAATTCAGAACATTCCAGGACTTTCATTTCAACTACATTGAAGGACTTTCTAGCAGCAGTCAGAGACAAGGTGAGAGAAACTAGTCTAAAAACCTGCTGATTTGAGAAGAAGCGTTAAATAGTATTTTTGCATTTGTCAATCTTATAATGAGTGTATTTACTCTATGTTAATTATCTTTTTTTACGTTAGTTAAATTAATTATTTGCATGCTAAAACGTAGCAATCATCTTACATAGATTTTTGCTTCGGTAGAAAAAAAAGTGTTCAGCGTAAATATTTAATGTTAAATAATATCGCCATTTTCATATAAAACTAACAACTGAAGTGCTAGATTTCCACAAATTTCCAGAAAACGCAATGGATGTTTTCACTTTCATAAATATAAACAGATGATTTATTGCTTATCATGACAGACGGTATCTTATAAATACATTTAAGTAAGTTGCTGGAAATTAAGACTGGAACAGTCACATGAAATTGCACTAATAAATAAAATAAACTGAAAAGTATTTACCAGTTCGCCCTTTAATAAAAACCACAGAAGAGATTGCCTTCCTGGGACATTGCACTTCACTCTTTTTTTTGTCCTGATCACTGTTACTAGTCCATTTTTTAGCTTCTTTGCACAAATTAAATTCCAAATCTCTGTAGGTATAAGTAAAACTCACATTGGCTGCACTAATATTGCGCACTTGAACCGAGTCACTTAACGGCGATTTCCCAGGCACATGTGGAACTTGCTGCTTAGAAGGAACATCATGGAGTGGAAAGGCAATGTACATTAAAGTTACCAACAGAACCAACAGTATAAGTGTTCTAAAAAACTTGGTATTTCTGTTCATTATTTTTCAACTTTTAACCAGACCTCTTAGACACAATTAGACACAATAAGCACTAGAATATCTATAGTCGGCATTAACTAAATTATAATCGGTTCCACATTAAGCAATGACTAAAAGGTTGATTGATTAATCTCCCATAAGTTTTTAATTATATTCTATAAATAAAAAAATCGTCAACTACACATGTAATACCTAGATTAAGGTAACTGAAATGATTCCATTATCCAACATATATAAAAAATGTATTTGGCAAAAAATTGTGTTGGCATACAGGATGTTCCACAGTTGAAGTGGCAAAATTCTAGAAGATATTCCGTTCCGAGTGTGTACTATCTCAAGTGTGTACTATCTCAAAAATACAGTGTTTTAAATAACAAAATGGTATCAGAAACGCATGAACCAATCTGAATGGAAATATAAATTAAACTCGAATTTCCAGAAACAATTCTCGCACATCTGCTGGACCCATTAAAAGTAACCCATAGCTTTCAGAATCGTACAGGATGATTCAAATATTTAATTGTTACTCTGCTTTAATTTAAATTCTTTTAAAATTTAATGACCATTTGGAAAGCCTTTAGTACAGTTTAAACATTATCCGACAAAATTTGCTAAAAGTTGCGGATCATTTCTAGTTAGTTTTCTATTTTGTTGCCAAACATGTTAGAATTGACCGGCATTGTGCTGGAATTCGCATTTTAAGATCATCAATATCAGAAGGTTATGTTTTATGAGCAATGCATTTAAGATGTCCCCAAAGAAAGAAGTCTAAGGATGTTAAATCCGGTGATCTTGGAGGCCATTCAATTGGTCCTCTTCTGATAATCTATCTACCCGGGAATCTCTCGTGTAACCACTGTCGAGCCGGAAGAAAATAATGAGGTGGAGCACCGTCCTGCTGAAGTTTTAAGAAATCCTCATGTAAAACTGAATTACCCTCTGCATCAATTTGAGTTTCTAGCTGATGGGTGATAACAGGATTCATTCATAATTTCTTCAAGCATATTAACATATACACACCACCTGTCAAGTTTATTTTAATAAATAAAGGGCCATTAATTGCATTTCCAAGAAAAAGCTCAAACATGAACTTTTTCAGCCTTCGAAAACTATCTATTTTAGAAAAATTTTGTATTTACTTCGTGTTAATAACGAAAACATCAACGTCATTTGTAGCTGAAAATCAAATACATTATGTGCACATTCCTGATTTAATTTTTTAATAAGTATCTCAGTTTTTAAAGAGAATCACTTTTTACTATTTTATCTGTAAGTAATCCTACTATAAACCCCCAGGCAACACCTTCGGAGCGCGCTAATTTGAAATCACCCAGTATCGTAAAGAATATATATTTTATATATAGCATTTTCTTAGATATGAATTTTCTTCAATGTACTCTATTGCAAAAATTTGCGTATCAACTCAAATTGGTAACCACTTAACCAATTACATCATTACACTGATTATCGATAATAGTAAAATAATGTGGTTCCTTAATAATGATGACTACATTGATAAGAATTAGTTGGATTACAATTAGTTATAACGTGATAATATTACTGATCAGACAGCAATAAAGATAATACAGTATTCTATCCGAAAATGTGTTAAATTCGAGATAATCGCCGACGAAACTAAGCTTCTTGTGGATGCCAATAAAACAAGATAAATTTAGTTATATGGAAACGACAGACATAACATGTGTAAAGATAAGAATCAAAATCATCCTCAACGAATTGTATTTATGTACAGGATGGGCAAATTTCGCAAAATCTAAATTGGCTATCGGCTTTTGATTTCGAACTATATACAAAAAGTCGATTTTGGGCATTTTCTTTATACGAAGATATCTGGATTATTTGATAAATTAGGATTAAGTGATTTACACATTTTACTAGAGACAATTTCTTTAGTAAAATATAATGTTTTTCGAGTTGTAACATGAACTTGTTTTTTTTTTCAATAAATCATAGCTATGGCCTAGATGAACAAGATGTTTGGTCTCGGATTTTATGATATACAGGGTGTCTCACGGTTAGCATCCATTAGAATATTTCGGGAAGTAATGCGATTTGAATCCTGCAAATTTGGGTAATGACATTTTCGGGGACGCTCTTTTCACTTACTTATTTTAAATAGAACACCCTGTATAATGTTTGTTTGTGATAATGCCTTTCTGAGCATATAACAGTTTTCCTCAAAATTTTACATATAAAAATTGAATATCTTTTCAAAGATGAAACAGTGAAACTCAAAATATCAGCTTAAAAATTATATATTATTGTGAATTTTCGGAAAAAGAAATCTAGATACAGCAAAGTGGAAAAATAACATTTTTATTCTCTGTCAAAAAAAACTGGAAAAACTTTCTTATTTTAAATAAGATAATACGTTGCTGATTCATTCAATGGATAGGCTAGAACATTTCCTATCTATCCAAATATGGTGTCCATATAGCAAACTGGAGTAGTTTTAAACTTAATTAAACAAGACGGTGCTCCTTGCCATAACACTGCTCAGGTAACTTTATTGCACCTTAATGAACAAGTAACATTAAGGTAACCTTAATGATCGATTTTCTTAATAGATGGGAAGGTTATGCACTATACATTGGCCGCCAAATAGCCCTGATCTAACTATTCTGGATAGCTATTTCTGGGGTCATTTAAAAGAAAAGTTTGCGGGAGAAGTTGATTTAATCATCGACAGAATTAAGGAAATTATTAGCGAGGAAACGTGCATACCGTAAATCGAAGATCTAAATGATCGGAGGTCATGTTGAGCATTTAGAAATTTGAACTACTTAGAAAACTAAATTGTAAATTATTATGAAAGAATAATTCAATATTCATTCACGTAGATCTGATTTGCCCATAGAATCTTCAATGACAGACCAAATAGTTTAGTTTAGAACATTGGTGACTTTTATTAAATACTTGATTAATTCTAATTTATGTTCAATGACAATTTATATTTGTAGAATTTTCTTAAATGTTAAACTGCTCATGAATTTAACTGTTAAGTGATTCCAAACCGTACTCACTTATCTTGCTTTTGAAGCTTGTAATGTAAGGATGGACTAAATTAAGCGTATCTATATGTTTCTGTGCCGACTTAAGTCTACTCTATACTTAAGCCTACTACCAAATATTAAAGTTTCAAAAATTGAAATAGACTTACCAAGTCTTCCTCCCAACAGAATGGTAACAATTCCATCTTGAGGACATCTACTCAACCTCCACACTTTTCTGCTTTTGATATTGATGCTGCACAAAGTTAGCTCAAAATCTCCATAAGTGCGTGGTGTTACTCTTTTTCCATCATACAACGGAAATAGAAAGACATGCACAACGGAAATAACACATAACGCAAGAATGGCAGCTTTGAACAAAATGTTGCGATTTGTGTTAAGCATTTTCAGCTCAGTTTCTGTTTTTTTTTTGTTTTGATGACCGTAGCTTCAGCCTTTCTGGATTAGCTGATGATGATGAATTGCGAAAGTAACTGCAAAAATACAAATCAAGATTAAATAAACTCACATAACATTGAAAATCACTTTATTAAGGCAGGCACTATGCATTGGCCAATTCTTGAAGAGATAAAACGAATAGAATCCGAATAGAGAGAATTGTTCCAATTTTATCTATTCAGATATTTTCGAATGTTTAATGAATAATTATCAGTTTTATCGCAATTTGGAAAATGTCAATATTTAAGTCATTATGCAGGGTATCCGGAAAAGGTGCGACCAACAGCAAAAATGACGGTGACAAGTTCCTATAACACTTTTGCGAAAACCCATTAGTAACTGGCCTACAGAGCGTTAAAGTTTAATGAACTAATGATATTTTTTTATGATTTAGTAAATTCTTAATACTTATTACCTAATTAAACATTTAATAAATATAAATTTATTCTAAGTGCAGTTGCTTCCATGGCGCGCTCTGTTAAGACGTTAGAAATAATTTAAAGTGAGTTATTACTTCACCGTGCTAAAAACTTTTAAAAGTAGATTTTTTCGAAAACGGCTCATTTTAGAGACAGAGTGACAAGTAAACCTTTTTTCTTTTTTGTGAATCATTCACAACAGAAAGCAAACATGTTAAACAATAGTAGATGACATGGGTGAGTTAAGTTCCCTAGAATTAACGATTAAAAATCCATTCTTGAACAATAAAAGAAATTATCATAAGTACAAAGTGTACCAAATTTTAAAACCTGCGGATAAATAAGAAAAAAGTTATTTCAAAAAGATAATTTTTGAAATCTAAGTTTAATGCCCTGTAGATTCGTTATTATTAAGTTTTCGCAAAAGTGTATACAAATTTATCACACTCATTTTTGCTGTAGATTTGCCTCGTTCAGTGTTGGTCGCGCTTTTTCCGGACACCCAATATTTGGTAAATATACATGGCGGTCCAGTTTGCAGAGCGTACATTTCAGGAAACAATAGAGAATCGAAAAACAATTTGAGTTTGCATATTGGTTTCATCAAAAAATATTTTTATTTAAATTATAAAAAAATATGAAATTTGCTCTGATTTCGGATCTGGATAAATTATGCTTACTTCAAGCGGTTTTGCTTCTGTTTGAAGCCTTATCTAGTCCAATTTGTTTTCTATTCGTCAATAATTTGGTAAAAATTAAGGACCTCAAATAAAGTTTCTACGGGTGGCAAATGAAAAAAGTGCACATTTTTGAAAGTTCGACATGCGCCTAGATGGACAAAATGAAGGTTTTTGGATATCAACACACATTAAAGACAAACCAAATGGCTCGTAACTGCTTTTGATTTATTTAGCCGTCTCTTCTTTTCATAGAGTGATCTCCAAAAATCAACATTTTGGTCTTGCCGCGATAACTTTGCTGCTCCTGGTCCGATTCTCACGATATTGAGCTCATGTTGAAGCTCACGTTATTAGAATATATTATATATACACCAAATTAGAATTAGCCACAAAATATGTGATTCTAGAAGATTTTCAACTAAATGAGGTTTATTTTCAAATACTTCATTCATGCAACCCAGAAATTCAAGAGCCAAAAAATCTACATTTAAAATTGCCTTACACTGGGTAAGTAATAACGCCCGTTAAATTAGTTCTTAACAGAACCTGCCATGGAAACAGGTGCATTTAGAATTAATTATTCTTTATTAAATATTTGATTAAGTAATAAGTATTAAGGATTTACTAATTGCTATTAATTTCCTAAACTTAAACTGCCTGTGGATGCGTTATTATTGAGTTTTTGAAAAAGTGTTATAGGAACTTGTCCAGCTAATTTTCGCTTTAGATCTAACACATGAAGTGTTGGTCGCACCATTTCTGGATACCCTGTATTTGTCTGAGTATCAATTGAAAATTTAGTGGTAATCTTGCATTGCATAGCAACTAGTGTGGGAAATCGGTTTTTGTTTAATTTATAGTGAACCCTAGCTACCGAAAACCTGTTATCCAGCATCACTATATCCGGGCGCTTTGTTGTTTACGCATGCAAAGACATAAGCGCAAGTGTGTACCAAAAGTTTCGATGTTGTTTTTGTAGTTTTTCAATTATTCAATTTTTACCCCCTTTTGCCAACTTCCGATATCTCTTTTCTGATCTCCTATATTGGACACGGTATAATCCACCCAAATCTACGTAAACTTCGAGCTGCAATTCTAGCAATTTGGTGGTAGTTATACGATTTATAGTCGTATATGTAAACGTTGTAATGCTTCAAAACAAGCTCGAACAGCCAGAATGTTGTCATACGGCATGAGCCTACAGGTGTATGTGAAAAATGCAGAAAATGTGTTTACCTGTGGAGTGCTAACAAACGAAAGTCTTCAGGACACTCTAGGGGAGGCGTGGCACTACTTTGAGGCGCGGGGGCTGATCTATCGAAGCACTGGAGTCCTAATGCCTGCCCGAAGCGACGGAGGCTGCATGTTTCTCTAAGAAAAACTGGTCGCTGCCTCGACTACATGCCGACGCTGGAATCAGTGGCGCTTATCGATTTTCATCCCGACGACGCCGATCTACGCAAATTGGCGCCAGGATGCGTGTGACGCTCCCGTCGACGCCACCATTCCAGAGACGTCCTACAGGATGCTGCTAATTACTGCCGCGTAATTCCTGAGTAGCTTGAATTCGCTTTCCTATATGAACCGCAGGCATCAACAGTGACTACGTTCTTACAAGTATACGTCTAATTGAAACAATAGCGAAATAGGAAAGTGGGCGGAAATATAGCAGGAAGTTCAAGAATGTGGAATCTTGATTTTTTCATCCTGTACAATGCGAAATTCCTTCGAGTAATAACATGAGCCTTCGGAGAGTGATATGATTTAGAACTAGACTAGACTTTAGGGTGGCCTCTTTAAGTTTGCATTTGCGGAAGCAAACCCAGATCAAGGGCTTAGCTGAGTGGGCTGAAAATAATGGAGTTTTTAATTTTTTTTTAACCATTTCCTCCACTGTCTCACAGTGCGGAAGTATATTTTATCTCTTAGATCAACCGTATACTAATGGTAAAACATGTATTCATTAAGAATTGTACAGTTCATTCAATCAAGTAAATATTTTCAGAAAAATTGAGTAAGACTAATCGGAAAAATTTTGTCTAAATTCCTAAATTATGGCTTGGCTTGAATGTGAGTCTGCCATTTAGCCACTCTTTAGAAAAAATATGCAGCTAGATTGAAATGATTCAATATTTGATAAAATCGAATAAAACGACTGATTTCATGATAGCTAGCATTTAATTAAATATAAAAATGTCTAATGCGTCCTATCATCTCCTCTCTCATTCCCAACGAGTTGGAACGAGAATTTTCCGTCTTTGGGTGTCTTTGAAAATATTGCCGTTCGAACAGGCACTTTTAACACAAATCTCAACAAAAAAAAACTGAGACCGAACTGCAAAGCTAAGCAATGAGTCAGTCACTCCAAGGGCGATGAAGCAAATAAAGCATCATGTTAGTTCTGTAGTTCGGTACCTTCGAAATGCGCAAAATTTCGATTTTACATAATTTCTTTGGAAAAACTGTCTGAATATCCAGTTTATTACAGGCAATAGACGAAATCGGTCAACCGTCTTTTGTGTCTTGTAAATCGCGTTTTGAGATGGAAAATATAGTATCATTGTGACCCTTAAGGAAAGTTTATAATTCGAAATGTATTTCCATTGTGTGATCAAGTGTAGTGTCTGATTTTTTAGTGTATTAATGGGTAGAAAATGGAGCATGGGGTGCCAGCTTGCAGAAAGCTGGTAAGAATGATTTCTAACCTATTAATCCCTTAATTTCAACTTAGTTTAATTTTTCAAAAACCAAATTCTTTAATTATAGTTATTTCTTCTGTTGTACTAAACCCATTTTCTTCTTTCTATCCAGGTGGCACGATGCAGCTTTCGGCAAATTTGGCATTACATTACGGTTGCATGTCATATTTATACGACCAGAAATCACGAGGGATTTTCCGGGTTCTCTTTTTCAATCTACTTTTGTAAAACGAATTTCAAGTCAGATTTTATACATTAACTCAAGATTTGCTATGGTTGACTGTTTTTAAATGAAGTTTTACAGACTAAAAGTAAAATCAGTATCCCGTTCTTCTGTAAACTTCACTTTTTGTCATCAAGTTATTATCGTTATTATCAATTATTGGTGTTTTTCTGCTGCGAATTACGCTTTCAAGTCTTAAAGTAAGTGAATCTTGTTCAATAGGTGGTGATGGTCTAGCGGATAGCACCTTAAGCCACTCCAAACAAATTATTTTTTTAATTGCTGTTTTTCCAAATTTAAACAAATCTAACGATCTGCGTTAGACAATTTCACGGACTAGGATCCGTCCAACTATTTGCATATTTTACTTTTAATTGTTTTATTAGCGGATGGCGCATAAAAAGGTTGCGTGTAATCCTGACCAACCATTTAGATTTCGCGCTGTTTTTTTATACTTTGAACTTTTTTTTTACTTTTTCATATTGATTTTTGTCAAACAATTCGTGTTAGGGATTTAAAATTTTCGGCAAAGTTGACTAGATTGAGCTTATAAGCCAACTTGGGATTTCTCAACCGCAGCAAGTTGAATTGTCTGTTCGATTGCTACAATTTTACATATTGAAACACCAAGCAGTCCCTGGCTGCGTGACAAATATTGAAAGAACTCTCACGACTGCAAAAATTCGTAGATAATTTTCCTGAAATATAATCAATATTAATGGGATCAAAACGGAATCATTACAAATATGTTTCGTTATTTATTAAATAACAGATAATCCTTATCGTGTACTTTGTGTGATTTAATCAGAAAGTTGCAAATCAACTGCAATCAAATCAAGTAGTAACAGAGATTGATATTTAAATATCATGATTTTACAGCTAGCTTGTAATAATAATGCAAAGATGGTAAATGATTTCGAACAAAATTAACTTTTATTCCAACAGTGTTTATTTAATAGATATCTACTAAAACGAATACATTTGGTTTTTTCCGATCTGTAATAGGTGATTAAATAGGCGTTTATAAATTATTTCGATGTCAGCCTAAAACTGCATAGCCTGGAAAAAAATAGATCATTAGAATAAGTAGTCAATTTTACTAAAGCATGTTCATTTGCTTTACTGCATTTTTGCGCATTTATTTAATGCGTTAACATTAATATCTCCGCTTTAACATTTAACTTGAAATATCGAATAATAATGTGAGCGTTTACTGACCACTGCAAATGAAAATTTTCAAACATTATTGAGATCGAATAAGAAAACAACGTTAAAAACATTACACGCATATGCCGACTTTCTACCGGAAACCACCAGGATCTTTCGATATCTAAGTACAATAAAACACAAGTTCTTGTAACTTTTTTGATACCCATTTTTGCGTCGTATGTGAGTTTTTGCTATCTATTAAACGGTTTCCGAAATAAGCCATAGAGACCAATTTTTGCCCACGCTATGAGTTTATCTCAAATCCAGTTTTTTTTCTAGACTCTATTTTTAGCCATTTTCTGAGAATAATAGTTTAATTTAATACATGGGTTGAAAATATGATTCATAATGAGAATTACCACTTATTTGTTGGAATGAATATAAAATACTTACCATAAGCAGGAGCTGCATAATAGTAGCTACTGTAATAATATGGATAGGAAGCATACGCATAAGGATTTACAACCCATTGAGGATTCGGACGAGGCAATGGAGCCGGCGCTCCAAAGGTAGTGACCAAAGCCAAAGCGATCACAACAAGCTGAACATGTAATAAACGAAAATGCATTAATGTTTTCTGGAGAATGTTGAAATTCGATGTTTTCCAAACATTTACTTAAATCTAGAGAGTGGGCCTGCGTAGTATATTTTAAGACAAACGTACCTTAAAGCGGAAGACTTAAGCTATGGATAAATTTTCAAATAATACACTGAAAACGATACATACGGTTGTTGGTACGAAATTAAAATACTTTAGTTTATCAATAAGCTGATACAAACCTGCACAACAAACTTACAATTAAAGGTGCATTTTCAAAATAAAATTGCTTTGCTGAATGGGGAGTGTCTATTATCACAAGAAATACAATTAATCTGAAACAATCTTACTTTTCCTGTATTTGAATAACTTAGATATATTCTGGAGATTTTTTTACAGGGTGAGTCAGTTTATATAACAGTAGCAGGACTTTAACGGTCGATAGAAAATCCAATTGTAAGATGAAAATATCATACAAATATATATCGAAAGCAGCCTTATTTTTTAGATACCTACAGAGTGGCAAAGTTAACATTTAATCTACATTTTTTTGTAATGATTTACACAACTCTTAAGATACTGGAATAAAATTGTAAATTCCAGGACTTATCGCAATACCCCATCAAGCAATACCTAATCAAGTCCAAGTTTTTGCGAAATTTTTAGGTGGCGCCCCATGGCATTAATACATATTTAATTTTTAAATAATAATATAAATATAAATAATGTAAATAAACTTTTTTCTGTCTGCCACCATCAAAACTATTTTAAAACAGAATATTTTTTCGTTCATTTTTACGTAAGAAATGTATTCTTGTCGCTAACGGTAACCGTTTTCTACATTTTTGCCAAAAAAAATTTATTGCAAATTAATCGCAACAAAGTAAGAAACTTAAATTAAACAATTTTAATTTATATAATTGAATTATTAAAAAAAATAATTAAAATTATTTATTATTTAAATATATTAAAACGATTTTCATATTGAAAACGTATCTTTTAATTAGACGTTTGTTTTGCAGTTTGTATAAGCTTATTGAATAAAACTGCTGCACTTGATAAACTAAAGTGTTTTAATTTAGTTTCAATATCCTGAAAATGATATGATGAATAGTAACGCGTTTTTATAATGTATAAGTATGCCTATGCAACGCCTTCGATGTATTATTGAGATTTTTATCAATCGCTTAAGTTCTGCCGCTATAAACTGACTCACCCTATATAGATTATCAGTTGAACGCCATTTAGTGTTTACTTGAACTGCCATGATATACAAGCATATTATAAGAAGTTCAAGTACTATAATAGCACAATAATTATGTTTCTGAAATTAAATTATCGTCAAGCCCTTGATTTAGTTGAGCGACGAATTAGACGATCTGATTAAAACATTTTAAGATGATTAACCACTTTAATTAAGTCATATTTATTAAATTTAGTTCGGATACTTAGCTATCTTCAGCTCTTTTCTGAAGTGTTTTACGTTTTTGATACCACGCTTAGAGCAGACCTACAGGATTACTGGATTACTTTTTAATTTAAGCAGAGACTAAAAAACAATTAGTTTCCGCTTGAAAAAGTACTTTTTGATTTATTTATTTTATTAAGTTGAAGATAGCAGGTGTGGGACAATGATAAAAATATCACTATTTAATTATTTGCCTATGATTCGACTTTTATTAGGGTCGTCTTCAAGGCTCAAATTATGTGTGAAAGTTCTGTCTAAGTAGTCTAGTGTTATAGTAAATGCATCCCCATGGCAAGGCACTAGCTATTTTAATTTAGTTAATTAATTAACAAAGTTTAACGGACACTGGAAATCGCACACAACCATTCACTGTAATAAATACTACCATTAGACAGAACGCTCAGTTTCTCACAGAATTTGAGCCTTGAAGACGACCCCAATAATGGTCGAATAATCGACAAATAATTAGATAATGACGTTTTCATCATTGTCCCACACCTGCTACCTTCCACTTTCTTTTCCAATTGGGACGTAAAAAATCAGAGGTATTAATTTCAACTAGCTAACCAACTTTCAATGTACTTTTATTTGAATATCCAGACCTCCACCTTAAATCACTAGCCAGAATATAAAAGCTTCAGAGCCCCGTACTAATTTCAATGCTTCAGAAGAAATGTTCAATCCGATTAACATTTAGAGCCAAATTCAAACATTTAACAACATAAATTTGATTTACCACTTGCAACAGAGTCAACTCAACATCTCAACAAAAATCAAATTATTACTTCAAATAATTATTTATTGAAACGAACTAGAACTAGTTAGTCTAGTGCCTTATATGCAACATTTCCTATAATTAAACATACAATTTTTATGAAGGTAATATTTAGTTTTAGAACCTATAAATCTGGGCAAATTAATTGGGCACACTTATCAATTGGTGTTTCGCCATTGTCGTTGAGTGTTCTGTAAATATACCGGCAAACTTTTATGGTGATAGAGAACATCAAATTCAAATCAATCAAATAAAGAACAAGCATATTTCCTTTATAAACATATCTTCAAACGCAGCTTTTTCGAGGTATGCGGTCTTGAACTTTAATAAATATTTTTTTTATTAACGAAATTCTCTTGTTTTTTTATTTTATTTTTTTAGTTGCAAAATACCGAACCCAAACAAAAAAATACAGATACTAATTCATTTGCAGTAATTCAATTCAGTACTTAGAATATATATATTATATCTTGAATAACTGAAAATATAGCATTTTTGTCAAAAAATAAATTTAACAGATCCTAATTTTTTTTAAATCAACATCCAATTTCCAAAAGTATAAAACACAAATATTGTCTTACCATCAACACAACTTGAATTAGGCGGCACATTTCGATCGATTTACGTTGAGAAGCGTTGGTCAACTGTGATTAAGAACCCTTTGCACTTGGCAATACAAGCTTGTGCCTTACCGATTGTATAATAAAATAATTTAGCATTCTTCAATTGGAGTCATAAGCAATTATCATAATGAATTATGGTTTTGAATGCCAAATAAGATGCATATGAATATGAGCATCTCCCAATCGATTGGAGGTGAAATAAGAGTTCGTGATTGGCATTGATTATATGTTCAGGCTAATGTTAGAATCAACGCGGATATTACAAGTTAATATGGAATTTCCAAAGTGTACAGCTTGTGAGGAATCTTTAGTGTTGGTGTGAGATAATATCAAATAATATACATGTAAAGTAAGACACTAAAAATATTGCTGATCTTTTTAAAGTAGAAGCATCTAAATAAAGTGTTTAGTATTGTCAGTAAATTTATTAAATTATTAGCAAGTAAATTTCAATACTTAACAGTTCTTATAAACATACTTTATAAGAACTGATCATTTGCAGTTACTCATATTTACAATACTTCCTGGCCTGCACAAAGTCAATTACTGGTACAGTACACTGGTCTGGTACAATTAATAAAATACAACATTACCCTACAATATAAAATAAACCAAAAAAAAACTGTTGAATTGCAAAAAAATGGAATTAGAAAAAAGGAATGATTAGACCCTAAAATTAGTTCGTGGAATTCTGAATATAAAAACAAGTAAATTTCAATTATTGGAAGTACTTTGCTGCTACTGCCGTGTCCTGTTCCTGATAATAGTTATAGTAGGTACAACTGGATATATTGTTGCATAGAAAAAAGCAAACCCCGATCACAACTAACCAACTTAGCATTGACTAGAACTGCTATAAGCACTGCTGTTGTCGTCATCGTGTTCATTTTCATTGTGTAGCTTCTTTACTGTCAATTCGTTAGAATCTTGTGCGTCATCTATAATTATAGAAAAATACAATTAAAACAGTAAGCAACAACAATCGCCGTTTAGCAATTCAAGACGAATTGGAAATATTTTAAAGACATCTCTAACAAGTCGAAAGAAGGGCTCACTCAAGGCGGGATTAACAATTGCCACAATACTCATTTTAATAGTCAGAAAAAAATCCCATGCTACGGAAGAACACAACTTTCACCCTTGACTTGTATTAAAGTATTGTGCCGCGGTTTGAATTAAAAATCATTGAGAGCGCGGTCTCAACAGGTTGACAAAGATGTGTGGTCTATTCGCATTCGATAGACGGCTTAATGAGGATAGTTCCCGAAAATCTTCGATTAATTTTCTTTCGATATCTTCCAACGTAATCAAGTGCCTGCTCATTTTTCAAATAATGCAAGGAATGAAATTTTGCAATTGTTGGCTTGCGTTAGGTCTGAGAACACTGTGTTGAGTTGCGCTTTTGAGTTGATGCCGCTCTGTAAGTTGGTGAGTTATAACTAATCGCGCCTCACTGCGCCACACCTCGAATTGCGCTTGTGGCGGAATACTTCTTGAAATCAGAACTTTTAAATTACATTTTTAATTAGTTAAAATTTCGTTGGTTTCTATCATCGCTCGGAAATTGAGCAACAGTTTAATTTTTAAGTGATTTCTTCGCGGTTTTTTAGTTTAGTCAATATTTTTTGAAAAACAAAAATAATTCGGTTATTAAATTTAGTTGTGTATTAATGCAGCTGAGTGAAATGCAGACAAATGGAAATGGCTCTAAATTTAAATTAGTAAAAGATCGGCGTTTAGAGAGTTTTCCGTTTAGTTGTTGTTGACTTTCGTTAAGTGTGAACATGAAATTTGCCTTTGGAAATATTGCCATGCGAACAGACACTTGCAAAATGCCAACAATAAACAATCTGAAATCGAACTGGGAAGTAAAGCATGAATCACTGAAAGGGCGAACAATTCATTACATGATTACATAATCATGTTTATTCCGTAGTTCGATGTCTTTTTTCTCGAAAAAGTTTTTGAATGTTTAGTTTGCTACCGACAGTGGACGAAATTGGTCGATGATGGTATTCTTAGATGGGAAATATTGAAACATTGTGGCCCTTGTGGCAAGTGCTGTAGTTTGGAAAAGTGTAGTGAACTTGAGAATTAATGGGTAGAAAATGGAGGATGGAGGGCGTCAGCTGGCAAAGCTGGTAAGTGATCTCTATAAATTTCTTATGGATTTTTTATTTTTCTATATACTTTCTCTTTATGATTTTAAATAAGTTTCGCTTTGGAGAAATTTCCTGCTGTACTATACACATTTTTGTTGTTGTGTTGGAAGTTGGAATTTTTGGAAGAGTATGCAGTTGCGTAAACGAGTTTATTTCAAAATCGATGGAATCGATCGCGATGCAAAATGTGTCCGCAATAGTTTTTTCAAATCCTAAGCAATATTTTCTTAACGATGAGTGAAGTTCGAAATTTTGACGGCATTTAGAGTGCAGTCTTCTTTAATGAACGCGCAACTCTGAACTTTTGGAGTATTTTCCGTTATAACTCATCGCGTTTCACGGTGCCGAACTTTTAATTACGCTTAGCATTTAAGCCAAAACGCAACTGCACTATGCTGAATGATGAATGCTGATGAATTAATGCTATTTGCTTATGACTGTGTGCTCTGTTTTGTTGGATGTATACTCATTTTTTTTTTGAGTTTTTAAATTGTGCTTATGAAAAATTAAAAATTGGACTCGAACATTCGAGCTTATTTTGTTTATTTGCACATCCTAGACATATCCTTGAAATATTTTCATTTTATCCTGAATCGTCATTTATGTTATTGCAAGCTAAACATCTACTTAGCTATAACAATAGAAATTTTAAGACTTAACAGATAAAGATAACCAACGCTTTTTATTATTCAAAGAGCAAACGCGTCTCGCAAAAAACATGTTTATGTCAGTAATAAACGCAATAATGCTCTGTTGCAATGCAAATTTCAATGTAAAGTAATACGATTTTAAATGTGTTATGCAAAAATGAGACATTTTACTATTAAAAATAAACTTTTGTTTAATGTTACAATTTGCGGATTTGCAAAAATTAAACCATTGATAAATTGTGTAGATTTCTTTCGCCTATTTACTTTATTACTGCTAATTTCAAAAACATATGGGGTCATGCAATATATGCAAAGCAAATATATATATATAAAGCAAAATATGATGCCAATAATCAAATCGGAACCGGATTCTTTGTATTTTGTGGTATAAAAGTAATTCGCTGGGTAGAGCCTGATTTTTTAACGACTGGTATTTTGTTTAAATAACATTTGAACAATAATGGTAAAATTTTTGAAATGTTTCGATAAAATTTTAAATATTGCAAATACGCATTGTTGACATTCCTAAGCTTTTCTCGTTCTAACCATTCACTTGCAAGGCAATAACTTCAAAAATTCCTTACCTGAATCATAATAATCGCTTTGCGGTTCTCGTGGGCTTAATTTGCACCCTCTAGACAAATACGCTTTCAGCCTATCCTTTGCCGCTAAAATCAAACCAATGAACGGAGGAGAGGGTTTAACAGGTCTGGAAAGATATTCAGGGTGAAATTGCACCGCTACAAAATAAGGGTGATTATCTAATTCCAGTATTTCCATGCGTTGCTCATCTATGTCTACACCTGGAAAAAACAAAAAGTTTGTTAAGAAAGTTGTCCGTAGGTGCAACGGAGGCTCTTACCAACAAACTTCAACCCGTGCTTCTCTAAATTCGGTATATATTCAGGATTCACCTCAAACCTGTGCCTATGGCGCTCTTCGATCGCACCTTTGCTTCCATATAGCTTTCCTAAACAGACAGTAAATGTATTTCTAACAAAGTTCGTATAGGGATATTTAATTCTTACGGATTTTACTGTTGGTGCTGGTTGGCTTAAAAACAGTTGTTCTTTTTCCCAGCCTCATGGTACCTCCCATAATCCCCGTATTATGCTCAGGCATGTCTATTACAACTGGATTTTTAGTCTCTTCATTAACCTGAAACATTTAATTTCCCTTGTAACATTTTATTTAAATTTTTTCACAAGTCCAAAATTCAAAAAGTTTTTCTATAAATAACTATTTCAAATCTAGGAAAGAACTTTTCGATTTTCTTTTACAGAAAAGTTGAAACATTAAAAAACCCGTTAATTGTCACGATTTTACAATAGCTACGCTTTAAAAGTAATATTTTATACTATAAAATAGAAATTAATAGGAAATAATTAAAGTTATTCCAAGCGCTAAAAACCTCAGTAGTGATAACGTGAATCTGAACAACGTCTTAGAAAACGCAATCACGTGTTTACAGCATTTTTGCAATTTACAGTGAATAAATTCACATATTTTAAGCAAAATGTTCGCGATTTGTCCACAACTACGTCCCTTGGACAACTTTTGAGACTTGAAGGGTTAGCTAAAAAAATAATATCTCCAAGTTTTGTTAAACATAGACTCAAGCATATATCATACCAACTAAAACAATAAAAATAATTTACGGAGTTGTTAATAACACAAAATGGATACTTAAGAAAATGGTTCAGCAAACCCTGTCATACTTTTAAAAAAGTGAGCGGTTAAAAGAATGCGATTTCAAAATGTCATTTTCTGGTGCATTTTTAAGAAGCGTAAAAACGACGAAAATTACTTTTAGCGTTTTGCCGTGCAGTCGTCAATGATTACTTACCTCTGTTGAATGTGCATCTTTTAAACCCAATTCGCTTCGTGCGAATTCGATAACGGCAGTCTGGAATCCTAAGCAAATCCCTAAGAATGGTTTTTCTTTGAGTCTGCACCATCTCACAGCTTCGATTTTGCCCTCAACTCCGCGTTTACCAAAGCCGCCTGGCACCACCACGCAACTAAGAATAGTTTTTAACTTATGGCACACTTTCTAATCAAACGTAAACTTACTCGCAAAGGCAGAGCTCTCTCCAAGCAGTATGATAAGCCGTAGGATCGTCGGTCAGCATCGTCTTTTCTAAATTAGACGCTTCGATAAATTTGATAATAACTTTGTAACCAATTTTGTTTCCTGCGTGATGAAGAGCTTTGGTAATTGATGTATAAGAGTCTTCTAATCTGTAATAGAAAATCAGATCACTTAGTTTCACATTTTCGTTAAGCTATTTAAATTCGAGAACCTTGTATATTTGCCTACAATGGCAACAATCACATCATATTTAAGATGCCTTATCCGTTCTCCTAACTCACACCATTCTGCCATATATTTCCTCCTCGGAGGAAGTGGACAAATACCAAGATGTAATCTATTGCTCAAGAACTCAGCCATACCATGATTTTCTATAAAAACTGGAACCTCATAAACAGACGGCAGATCCGGAACACTAATTATCTTTTAAAAATATGTGAAAATTATTAAAACCTTATTGGCATGTAAAGTTCAATATTTACCTGCTCAGGAGCAACATGACAGAAATTAGATATTTTTTCTTTGACTCCGTCCTCAATTGGCCTTTCTGACCTGCAAACAATTATATCTGGCGAAAGACCCAATCCCCTAAGTTCCCTAACGGATGATTGTGTTGGTTTTGTTTTTGATTCCCCAGTAGTTTTTGGCTGTGCCCAAATATTATAATAAGTATCAATTAGTGTTGCTCAGTACTTTCAGCTTCTTACCTGTGGAACCAAGGAAACATGGGCCACACAGAAATTTTCCCTTTTAACTCTAAACTGAAACTGCCTAAAGGCTTCCACAAAAGCCATACTTTCAATATCTCCGATAACTCCTCCGAGTTCTATGATGCACACTTCCGGAAGTTTACCACTTTGTGATACCGGCTTGTTTGCTTCTCTTTCTACCCATTCTTGAATCGCATCGGTAATATGTGGAACAACTAAAAGAAAGACAACGTTATTTTTAAACATTGTAGCTGTTCACAGATTCAAGCACTCGAATCTACAATTTAATTATATAACACAATAATTTCAGCAAAAAGTCGATTTATTACCTTGAACTGTTTTTCCCAAATAATCGCCATGTCTTTCTTTAGAAATAACAGATTGGTAAATTTTGCCGGTAGTAATATTGTTATCCTTATGCAAGGTAATGTTCAGAAATCTTTCATAGTTGCCGAGGTCTAAATCCACTTCTCCTCCGTCATTTAGTACATACACTTCCCCTGAAACAATGTATTTGCAAATGAGCAAAAAGCGAAGACAAAGAGAAATTTGACATCGAAAAAAGACATTCGAAAGAGGCACAATTTTATTTAAAGACGCCAGAGAAATCAAATAGAAGTACTGTTAGAACAAGAAGTTGCAATAAAAGACACTATTTTGGCAGGAAATAATTGGCGTTTCCTGATTATTCAAAAATGATCATTTTACAAAATAAACCAGATACAAATTATGTGTTAACAGAGCTAAAAAGTTCTCATGGTTATTGTTATCATTTAATTTTTCTATTTAATGATTGAGGTATTAATTTTCTTGCCAAATTTCTAAATTTTGTGATTTATCAGCGCCATGAAAATGTAAATTTTCGGCATGAAAGCCGAATAACTGAAAAAACTATCAAAATTTCGCTCATATTTTATATAACCAAACGCAATTAAAATTTGCTTAACTCAATAATAGTTGGTTTTTTCTTAGATTAATTTTATCAAAATTAAATCAGTTTTGATTATTTTCAGTTGTATTTTTAGTTTTTATTAGTTCGGATTCGTCTTGGCTAGGTATTAATGAAGGGCTAGGTTTTGGCCAATTTTATAAAATTTAACAGATTTTGCACCCAAAATAAAAAAATTGGCAAGCGGTTTTTGCCCGTGTAGCATCGATCTGGTGGGAGGTTTTAGGAGTGCAAACTAAGGCCTGTTTTACTATGGAAAAATTGCAAACTTCAATGGGCGAAACCGGTTGAAAACCACTAAGCCCCAAGCTTGCTACCTATAAGGTGGGTATTTTGATAATGTGGAACTTGAGGCCCTGACAAACCAGCAAATTACCCATATTAAATATAGTCTAATTTATTTTCCTGGCTGCGTGTACTTGTTATGATATTCCTATCTTTCCTGGGTTTCAGTCAAAGTGTGAAGTAAAAATTTTGAAACATCGTTTATTTCATTAAAACGCCGAAACGTAATGAAATAAACGATGTTTCAAAATTTTTACTTCACACTTTGACTGAAACCCCGGAAAGATAGGAATATCATAATTAAATATAGTGTTCCATTAGCCAAAAGATGTTTTAACGAAACTTTTATGGCGCTTGTATAGTTCTCAATATTTTTGACATAGGTACCATATATTTTTGTGTTGTTCGGTAGTTTGGAAATAAATGCAATTTATTATGCACTCACTTTTTATACAAAAAGGGGTTTACATAACATAACAAGCGTAAACTGATGGTATTAAAAAAGATACAGACTACGCTACAAAGAGGCAAAGAGGCAATGAAAGCGAAGAAATGACAAAACATAAAACTGAGCCAGAAAGCAAGACACCCTAACTGAAACAATTTTTTTTGCTCTCAAATTATGTGTAAGTGATCAAGTATATAACGCAATCGAGTAATACATGTCCTATCAAAATATATAGCAGATGTTAGTTCGGCATGTGGAAGATATTTGGGGTTATGTGGCTGACATTAAGAAAAACAGCATTTACTTGGCAAAGCTAAAACAAACGTACAAGTAATTAAATCAAGATGACATCACTTACCATGTTCGTAAGGGCTAAAAGTACCCGCATCCAAATTGATGTAAGGATCGATTTTGATCATAGTGACTTCTATACCGCAACATTTTAAAATCGCCCCAAACGAACTTGAAATAACTCCTTTACCCACCCCACTAATTACACCTCCCGTAACAAGAATATATTTCATTTTAATGGGTAAAGAGACTATTTCAAATCCACAATTCGAGCACTTTTTATACCAAAATTGGACTAATTTAATCAAACTGAAACTGCGGAAAAGCGCACGCGATCCACCACAGATTACAGAGGTTATAGATTGGAAATGCAGATCACAGATTACAGAGTATAGATTGGACAGTTTTGCTTTCCCGCCAAAATGATTTTGCTAAATGCAACCACTGAGAGGCGTCGTCCAAAAATCCAGA